TGAGCCGACCTTGCCCTCCAGCGTCCATTCTTATGAGCGTAGCCATTTGCGATCCCCATTTTCGTTGGCACACGGCACGTACATTCTCCGGCGTTGCGGAGTGGGACGGTGGAAGGAAGAGGAGGCAACAGACGCTGCCAGACTCAGGTGCGCTTGCTGGCACGCTGCCACTAGATCTAGGACCTCCATAACGGCCCCTATACCCTTTGGTGTATAATCGTGCGCTTTCATATCTCCCTATCCGAACTCCGTTTGCCGCTAGACCGCCGGTACCCTCATCCTTCTTCGAAATTCCTGCGGACGAACGACTCTCGATCTACGGTGGACTCTCAAGCTTGGACATATTCTTCATCTCTCAACGACGAAGACATCGCTTTTGACACTCGCGCTCGTACCCGCACTTACGCTCGCATTTACGGACACTTTTTCCCGTACTACTAGCTATTATGAGACGCAGTCGATCCCCCTCGCCGTCCTACAGGGCGCTCGCCCACCACCAAGCCGCTAATCCTCAGTCTGCCGATCCCATGTCGGTAGTCCGGTCGTTTAATGTCGAAACGAACCCCGCTCGCCCGGTACGCCCCTCACCGCTGGCAACATCAACGATACGAGACATGCCGCTTGATCTTGTAGATCGCATTCGATCGTTTCCGCTCTTCATGTCTGCGCCCGAAGAGTTCCTTCTGGCCATTGGAAACCATTTAAGGCCCCAAGTTCATTCTGCTCATGATCAAATATTACGTGAGGGAGACGAGGCTAAGGCCATGTACTGGCTTGTGCGCGGTGCTGTCGCCGTCATCTCGAGGGATGGCGAGGCCGTTTATGCCGAACTCAAGCCAGGTGCCTTCTTTGGGGAGATTGGTGTGCTCATGGACATGCCAAGAACTGCCACCATCGTGGCCCGATCAAAATGCCTGCTCCTTGTGCTTAAGAAGGAGGACCTTCAGGCAGAGCTACCCAAGTTTCCCGAGATGGAGAAGGCGATCAGGCAGGAGGCGCAAGAGAGATTAAACATCCTGAAGAAGAAAAGACAGGAAAGGGGGATGGCGAGCGGCTTTTCCGCAGGATCCAACGGGGCGAGGGAGCCCGCTCCCGGAGAAGTATCCACAGGTGACATGGGGATAATCAAGGAGGGCAGTGTTGTGAATATGAAAAAGCGCAAGTCCCCAAGCCCTGGCATCAACGTGATCGAAGACCCTGCAGCAGGAAGCGCCCTCGGGAGCGGGTTCGTTAACATTCGGAAAACGCTCAAAGAGCTACCCCTCTTCTCTACACTGCCAGCGGATATCCTCCACTTCCTCGGTCTCAGCGCTCAGCCGAAGACTTACCCACCTTTCACGGATATCGTCCGACAGGGGAGCGACGGAAACGACATTTACTTTATTGTTAGGGGAGAAGCGGAAGTCATCCATGAGCCGCCCAAAGGCAAGGACGACCCTGCCAGGCATCGGAAATTCTATCAGCGGCCTAGGTTACGGCAAGGGCAGTACTTTGGCGAGGTCGCCAGCCTTGGTCTCTCGCGAGGCAGAACTGCAACTGTGAGAGCCATCACGACTGTTGAGTGTCTGATGATAGGCGGCGAGGCCCTCGATGAGCTATGGAGGCGGTGTCCGCCCAATATTAGGAAACAGGTCGAAGAGACGGCCCGGAAACGATATCGGAAGCCCGGAGAAGACGAAGACCTTGACATGGCGGATGTCAAAGGCGACGGTACGTCTGCGACTAAGGAACTGTCTGGTAGCTCGAGGCAATCCGTACCGCACATCTTTACGACCGCACCTAAACACAGCCCGCAAAATAATGTCAACGAAGAGACGATGGAACCTGGAGATCCTGATCCTTTCCTGAGTGTCGACATGGAGAATCTGCGAAACCGTCGGAGGAACTCTCTCGCACCTCCCGTCCCGCAAACCACCTCTACCGGGTTTCCAGACGGCGCAATATCGCCGACTACAAACGGCGTGCGATCGCCGCTGTCGGAGGCAACGTCTCCTATCAAGTTCATCATGCCGTTCGTCCATTCTCCGACCGAGTCCGAGGTGCCCCTGAAGCGAGCACGAATCCTCCCTCATTCTCGACGGAGTTCGATGGCGAATGAGCCCAAGCCAATTCTACCGGACAGCCTCCTGGCCGCCTTTATGCAGTTCTTAGACCCGGTGGAGCTTATGCGGCTTCGCGAGGTGTGCACGCACTGGCGAAACATTGCGACAACGTCGGACAAGCTCTGTAAACATGTCAATTTGACCCCTTACAGTAAGTACATCAACGACGCCGTGCTCGTGAATATCTTAGCACCATTCATTGGCACGCGGCCGGAGTCGGTCGACATCAGCAACTGTTTTCATGTCACGGATGAAGGCTTTGCGGCGCTCTGGAAGTCGTGCGGGGGAAATGTCAGGATATGGCACATGCGGTCCGTGTGGGATGTTTCCGCCAGCCAAATTCTTGAGATGAGCGAGCATGCCAAGTATCTCGAAGAAATTGACTGGAGCAATTGCCGTAAAGTCAGCGACAACTTACTGCTCCGCGTCGTTGGATGGGTGGTGCCCGAAGCCCCTCCTCCTACTAAACAGGCGCCCACGGCGGCAGGCCCCGGAGGAAAGCCAATCCCCCCACAGAAACTTCCAGCGCACCAGAGCCAAGGGCAGGATCAAAAGGCCAAGCAAGAGCAACGCCCTCCCAATATGCCGGCACCGGGAACAGTCATCGGATGCCCCAACCTGAGCCGTCTCAACCTTTCATACTGCAAGCACATCACCGACCGATCGATGGCGCATCTAGCGGCCCACGCCTCCAGCCGACTCCAGTCGCTGTCCCTCACACGCTGCACGTCCATCACCGACGCCGGCTTCCAAGCCTGGGCGCCGTTCAACTTCGCTAAGCTCACGCACCTCTGCCTCGCCGACTGCACCTACCTCTCCGACAACGCCATCGTCGCCCTGGTGAACGCGGCCAAGAACCTCACGCACCTGGACCTTTCATTCTGCTGCGCCCTGACCGACACGTCAACCGAGGTGGTGGCGCTGGGCCTGCCCAGGCTCCGGGAGCTCCGTCTCGCGTTCTGCGGTAGTGCCGTGAGCGACGGGAGCTTGGGATGCATCGCGCTGCACCTCAATGACCTCGAGGGGCTCAGCGTCAGGGGCTGCGTTAGGGTCACGGGCGCCGGGGTGGAGAATGTCCTTGACGGGTGCGCGTCGCTGAAGTGGATCGATGCTAGCCAGTGTAGGCATTTGGAGCAGTGGGTGCTTGGTGGAGGTGTCTCGAGGTGGGGGTATGACGAGCGTGGGAAGAATGCGGCCGTGGTGGTAAGCGGTGCGGGTCGTAAGGAGGCCGCGGCACCGGCTGTTACACTACCGATTGGAGCTGCAGTGAGGCCTTTTGGGAGGGGCTTTGGGAGGGCGAGGCGGGCGAGGAAGCCTGTTAGGTTTATTCTTGAAAAGGGAGCTCAGGGATTACGATGACATGCTGAGTGCAGGGAGTGGTTTTTTCTCTCTGACTATGTTTTACTACGTGAAATGGTGATGGCGCCTAGGAGTGAGGGAGGGCTGGATACATGGGCTTTTTGGGAACTGAGGATGAGTGATACCCATTTTTTTTTCTCCCTCTTCTTTTTTTCCTTGTTTGACAATCATGCTGTTTTGGCTTTACGGATCTTCATCGGGGTTTTCCACATAAGAGTGTGTTTGATGAAGAGGTTCTATCTGGTGGCGTCGGAAGTGTGGCGTGGCGCAGGTGTGAGAGCCTTGGGATATGATGCGATGCTGTGTATCTACGTGGAAAGAAACTATTGCATATTTTGCGAATATCATGTCGCTTGATGTGGAACGAAGAACAAGTCCTCTAGGTGAAGCCTGCGTTCGCCCTCTGTGATTCCTTCCAAGTCGTGTGACTGGGACTGAAAGGAGACCATAGAACGACCAGTTCTTGCGAATGATTGGCGCGCATCGGTATGGGAATTCAATTACTGCCAATAACTTGTTTAGATGTGAAATGATCATATATAGCCAGATGCACCCAGGGGGAACCAAACAAGAGAATTCTGCGCGGAAGCTCTGTGATAGGATATAAGAGTATCAAGGCTTGGATGGACGAGATCAACAGGACGTGATATGCTGCATATCATATCTCTGCGAACTGCCCTTCAAGCCTCATGTTGACATTTCTGTAAAGGGGAACGATAACGTCTCGATTCTTCTTCAATGTGTCCGCTTTAGATCGTCGATGTGCCATGATCGGCGACGCCATCTAATTCGTGGCGTTGAACCGTTCAAGGCTAAATGTCGTCCATCAATATCAACCCCGATTATTCGATCACTCCCTCGCTCACAGTGGACATAACACAGTTGTCTGCTATAACTGAGCCTTCTGGAGGAGAAAGGAATGTTTCTATTTAGACGTTCGATCCCCAGAGACCCAATAATAACGCCGATCCCGCTGTCCGGACGTCTCTTCGGCTATGCACCCCAGCCAAGCAAAGGCCCTCCTAACCCACTCTAATGCCGGCATGGCAATTCCGGATCTGGTAATATGTGGCAAGTAGGCGAGGAGTTGGAAGCGAGGGTGTTAAAAAATCCGGAAGTCGAGAAACACCCGATAGGTTGGCGGCGGGCAGGACTTATATTGCTCTTATAGTGATTTCGCCCCGGCACTTGGGCGAGATAGTATCATACGGAGATGGGACCCTCTTTTCGTCTAGGAGACAGCGGGATATAGTGGGCGCGGCGGTAGATGAGGGATGGTTCTATAGTCTGGTTCGGAAGAGTGGTGTTTGGGATGAGGGAGCTCTGGAAGATGGGTATAAATCGATGGAGGTGGGCCAAGAGACGACTCGGTGGTTAGTGGAAGAAGAGGAATGCAGAACCAGACATCCCATTTGGGCTTGAATCGTTGGTAGGGATTCGCTGTATCCAGGCCTGTCCTTCCCGTCAATCCATCCATTCAAAGTTGAATCGAATCAAAACAAGTTCGTCACTCGCAAGGAGGATCTCAACGTATTCAACATGTACTTTCGAAATCTGCTCCTGGCGACGGCATCGCTGCTCGCCGTCGAGGCAGGCGTTCTCCGCTTCTCCTGTTCCCAGCTCGTCGTCGACCGCCTCGATCCGCTCGTAAACCCCGGCCAGCTTCCATCGCCCCATCTTCACCAGATCGTCGGAGGAGTTCAGTTCTAACCCTTCTCCCCGTGGTTTTATATACCTTTGGAAGTGCTTATACTAACACGAAAGGGATAGAACTCCTTCAATGTCACGATGGATCCCACCAAGGACATCTCCGTCACGTCATCTTGCACGACGTGCCAGTTTAGCGAGGATCTGTCCAATTACTGGACGGCCGTCATGTTCTTCAAGGCTCGCAACGGGACGTATCGTCGCATCCCACTGATGGGGAACATTGGCTTTGAGCAGGCGAACGGCGGCGTTACTGTTTATTATTTGAACAGCGCGCGTGGTAATGCCAAGGTTACCGCTTTCCCGCCTGTACGTTAGGCCTTTTTTTTTTTTTTTACGTCTCCTTGCCAGTATCGCCGTTTAGTTATGCTGACGCGGAAGATCTTAGGGCTACCGGATGCTCGTCGGTGATGCCAACTATCGCACCAAGGAAGAGGCTCAAAGGTTCCGCCAGCTCACGTACACTTGCCTCACCAGCCCGGGTACCCGAAGCGGCGAGACGCTCGAGTTCCCCAACAAGCCGTGTCCCTATGGCATCATGGTCAACGTCCGCTTCCCAACGTAAGTTCTTCAATTTGTCTTGTTATCTCCTCACCTTGTTTCCTTCAGAAATGATTTCAACCTCCATGCTAAACCGAGCTCCTTATTTCCTCTTCCTAGCTGCTGGGACGGCAAAAACCTCGATAGCGCTGACCACATGAGCCACGTCTCCTACCCCGAATCCGGCACCTTCGAAAGCGGCGGCCCCTGCCCCGCCACCCACCCCATCAAGGTGCCCCAAGTCTTCCTCGAAGCCATCTGGGACACCCGCCCCTACAACGACAAGGCCCTCTGGCCCGAGGACGGCAGCCAGCCCTTCGTGTGGAGCTTCGGCGACGACACGGGGTATGGGAACCACGGGGATTACGTGTTCGGATGGAAGGGGGATGCGTTGCAGAGGGCTATGGATGCCAATTGTAATGTGAATTGTCCGACGTTGAAGAGTCAGAGCTTGCAGGAGGGGAATAAGTGTGCGGTTCAGCCGATGGTGAATGAGGATATTGATGGCTGTAAGTTTTCTTCTTTCCTCACCCCCACTCTGTTTTCTTTTCTCTCGAGGGATGAGATGACGCTCTTTATATCGAGAGAGTGTTGAGGGCTGACACTGGTGTGATAGGGCTTACATCACTTCCTGGAATGGGGGGAGCTGATCACATTCACAAATAAATGAGAGTATTGGCGGCGGTTATCCATTTCTCAGGGGATAAGTCCAGTCTTTTGCTGGTTCCGGGCCGAAGAGCTACCTCGCTCAAGCCTACAACTCTACGAAACTGGCCGAGGTATATGGCCATTTCATTTTTGGGGGGCGATGTAAAAGGGCCTCAAGAGTGCTGGTTCTACCCCTTTTCGCTTTTCTTTCTTCTTTAGTATTTTCCCTGGTAATGAGGGCTGTCGCATTCCCGAGTCTAAGAATTGTCTGTGTTTGTAAAGATTACTTCCTGTCCCTTCCAGGTGGGAGATTGGTCCAGAGTGTCACTGTGGATTCCAAGATGTGAAAGTAATATGCTACTTCAGGGAGTGAAGGCTGTTCCCAATCTAAGGTTCAAGTAAAACGCATAATACACGTGTTCCAATCCAACACGCGAGATGCAATCATACAAGAGCTGGAATGTAAAAGAGTTAGGACCTCTGGGTCCGCATTGGATATATTACTATCATAATGTTCAAATCCATCTTTGCCGCCCATTTCTTGCACTGCTTCCTTTTTCATACACATATACACTACTGAGTGCCCAACGACTCCAACGCCTTTCTCAACTCCTTCACCGCCGTAGGCACATCATCAAAGTTGAGTGCCGAGATAGCCCACTTAGCATGTTTCTGCGCCTCGGCAATCTTGACCTCATCAATGACGGGAGGCTGCGGCGGCGGAGGGTGATGTGCGTAAGCGAGAGGATGGCTCGTCGGGGGCGGGTGCGCAGGATAGCCGTGGGTTTGAGGGCCCGGCGCCGGTGGCCACGCCGGGGCGGACGGGACGTGCTGGTGTGGGGAAGGTGCTGGGATAATGCTAGGACCGGGGAACGGTAGCTGGGGTTGAGTCGGGGGCTGTATGTGGTGAGAGTCGGGCGGTGCAGAGAAATGGAGAGGGTGAGGGCCTGGTCCCGCTCGTGGGGAGATGGGGGCGGGAGCGCTAGGTGGGGGAGGAGTTTGAGCCGGAGGCAGTGACGGGCCAGAGTTCGCAGGAGAGACGCTCACGCGAGAGTACGGAGACGGTATTCGTTCCTGAGGATGGATGGGAGATGGCGGCGTAAAGTCGGGCGGTGGTTGCTGGTGGAGACGGGGAAGGGGGCGCGAGGGCAGGACGCTCGCCGCGGGATCGAATGGGAGTTTCGGTGGAGGTGAGGGCTGGCCTGCGGGATGCTCAAGAGGAACTGGCGTCCCTACTTCTGGCAGACCGGGGCTGACTGCGTCCTCGGCTTCTAGCTCCTCTTCCTGGCGCACCGGATTCGACTCGTTCGGGTCCTTGCCCTCTTTGATGGCTCGGAGGATGCGTGCGGCGTTCCACTTGGCGTACTTGATCTTCTTTTGCGTTTCTTCGTCCGGTGTTTCCCAGATGCTAATAAGCTGGAAGAATGTTGCAGCTGCATCAAACGTATCCGCTGTTTGTCTATACAGAATACCCTGTCAGTACAAGAAGGGTAACAAGCAGGTCGAACGGCCTAGCCATACCTCGTAACCTTGTTGGCTAGGAGGACTTTCTCTCCCCTGTCAAACGTTTGCTGGGCGAACTGCTCTACATAAGCTTGTCCCGCCGCATCATCGCTTATGGCGTCGTCATCGGGATGTTCTGTTTTCAACTGGTGGTCCTCGTCAGCAGCTACGCTCCCCCACGCGACGAGCAGCTACCAGCACATACCTGCTCCAGCCTGTCCATAAGAGTCGTTGTAAACCCAAGACATTCTTCATCGGTAGTATGAAGCTGTTTGGAAAGAATCTGCTTCACCGCCCAATATTCACCTGTTAAAAAGCAAAAGAAAAGGAAATGACCGGTTAGCAACTTGTCCCCCCGTAGCCAAACCTGCCCTGGCGCTCGCTCATCTGAGAGCTGGCGGGGTAAACATACACCAATATGTAATGGCAGGCTTGACTTGCCTTAGCTGGTTCGCTCTGTGAACGAACCGAGCTATCTCGGCTTGCTTCAGCGCAGCTGGGATTTGTTCCATGGTGATCGGAGAGTTTTATGTGTTTTGCTGGAGCTGTGAAGGAGGAATCTAGGCAACGGAAAACGATCGAGGTTGGAGGTCTGACCTCATCGATAGCTACGAAGTACGTACTCCTGGAAGGTGGCGCCAGCTGATCTGGACATGTGGATATATACTTTGTAGTACTTACGAGGTACCAGCGTACCTCCATTATCCACGTGATCATAAGTCCGACAGGCGCTAAAGTCCGTCAGGAACTTGAATAAAATGGATGGGTGCTCCATGGCTACTTCCTATTGACTTTCACTGAGAGCCTATTGTGTATTCTGTTGGAGCGTGCTAGGAATACCAAGTTATTCTGCTTTCTAGGAATGCCGCCAAACGAGGACGCTGGAAGAATGACATGAGCGGCAGCGGCAGGAAGCTCTTGGCTGATGTGGATCAATTCCTATTGTCCATTCCAAGACCCCGCCAAGTACAATTTTGTACCAAAACGTCCCCTCCCCTTCACGCCAGTCATCCAGGACGGTGCAGTTGTAACCTGGCCCGCTCATTCGTCAGTGGCGGGTACTTCGTCCCACAGTGCTGCGTTTGGTTGTGCTCTGCCCTGTTTGTGGAAACCGCGACAGTAAAATGAACGTGGTCTTTTTCAAGCTCCAGTTCGTACCCGCCGGAAGGAGCTGCGAATATCACCACTTTTGGCTATACTTTCCACCGTGGCCTTTTTCCCCCGCCGTTCTTAACCTTTCCCTTCCCTTCCACATTGGTTTTGTTGGAAAGAGCTTGTTTTCCTCCCTCCACAACCTCTTCACTTGCGGTAGGTTTTTGCCAATTGGATCATTTTGACAACATATTTTCTCGAGTCTACTCATTGTCTCGGCCAAGACGATGCATTATCAGCAGCTCCTAGCTGCCCTCACCCTCGCAGGTGCGGCGCAAGCTAGCCTCTATTCGAAGAGCTCTTCCGTCCTCCAAGTGGATGCCTCAAACTACAACAAGCTAATTACCAAGTCCAACCACACATCGGTGAGTTACGATGAGCATTTCCTTCCCCCTCGATTGTAGCTTCATCTAACACTAGTTCGCCAATTCCAGATCGTCGAGTTCTACGCGCCATGGTGCGGCCACTGCAAGAACCTCAAGCCCGCCTACGAAAAGGCGGCAAAGAGCCTCGAGGGCCTCGCCAAGGTCGCCGCCGTCAACTGCGATGCGGCCGAGAACAAGCAATTCTGCGGCACCATGGGCGTGCAGGGATTTCCTACCCTCAAGATCGTGAAGCCTAGCAAGAAGGGCAAGCACCCGATCGTAGAAGACTACAACGGACCTCGCACCGCCAGCGGCATCGTCCAGGCCGTCACGGACAAGATTAACAACCACGTCAAGCGCATCACGGATGCTGACGTCGAAACTTTCCTCTCCAACGACAAGGAGGCCCCCAAGGCTATCCTCTTTACGGAGAAGAGCACCACGAGCGCAGTGCTCCGAAGCATTGCCATTGACTTCCTCGGCGTGATGACTGTTGGCCAGGTCCGCAACAAGGAGGCGAAGACGGTGGAGATGTTTGGCATCAAGTCTTTCCCCACATTGGTCCTGCTTCCCGGTGGAGAGCAGGAGGCTATCGTCTTCGAGGGCGAGATGAAGAGGGGCCCCATGGTTGAGTTCCTCTCGCAAGCAGCTGAGCCTAACCCCGATCCCGCCTCACCCAGCTCTGGAAAGAAGGATAAGCCTAAGGAGAAGCCCAAGGAGAAACCCAAGGAGAAGGCGAAGCCCAAGGCCGAGGAGCCTGTTGAGGATATCATCGTCGAGGAACCGGCCGAGCCCGAGTCGGAAGCCGAGGCGCCACCCCCGCCCCCGCCGCCGAAGAGAGATATTCCTCCCATTACCACGCTCCTGACCTCTGACGAGATCACCAACGCCTGTCTCCAGCCCAAGTCTGGCACCTGTGTCCTCGCCCTCGTCCCTGAGGAGAAGAGCGAGGCCGCCGATGCGCTTCTTGACAACCTTGCCGACCTCGTACACAGAAATGTCAAGGCGGACCGCAAGCTCTTCCCCTTCTACGCTATTCCTAGTCTCAACCCCACCCACACCCAGCTCTCCAAGTCCCTCGAGCTTTCCGGATCTGTAGAGCTCGTTGCCATTAACGCGAAGCGAAGCTGGTGGAGGCACTACCAAGGCGACTTCTCCGAGCTCAGCATTATGGAGTGGGTTGACGCTATCCGCCTGAGCGAGGGAGCCAAGAGTAAGCTGCCGGAGGGTATCATCGCTGGCGAGTCGAGTACCTCGTCCGAGGAGGCTACCGAGACTGAGACTAAGACTGAGACTGCTGAGGCCGAGTCAGAATCCCCCAAGCCAGAGGATGGTCATGACGAGTTGTAATTCATTCTTCTTTTCGGGCAGAATGTACGTAAAAAAGGAAAGAGGAGTAGATGCTCACCATTGGGGTTTTTTTTGATATTCGCCGCGATGTAGTATTAGCGCTTCAATAAATGAAAAACAATTCCGTTCAATCGTGTCAAAGTCGTGCAACATTATTTTGTTTTTCTTTTCTTCTTTTCCTTCGAGGTCTATATCATTTCGCTACCCTTCTCCTTCACTACCTGGTCCATAAACTGCCTCACCTGCCTGCAGCCGCTCACGCCCACAGCCAACAGGCCCTCTAACCTGCTCACCTGAACCCTACTCTCACACACGACAACAACGACCTTGTCGCTGGCGCCCAGCGTGGCCACGGTCAAAAACGGCAGCTCCTGCTCCTCTTGCAAGTTAAGGTCGAGGAGCGGATCGGCCGAGTCGTCCTCGGCGGCGTAGGTGGACGTGGAACCCGACGTGCAGGCGGCGATGTAGTCGGTCATGGGGATGCCGGCGTCGACGAGGGCGAGGGTGGACGCGTTGATGAGGGCAGCGAGGAGGGAGCCGTCTTGGGAGAGGACGTGGAGGGATACGTGGATTGTGCTGTGGGGGAATAGGTGGGTGTGGAGGGAGGCGGTGAGGGCGTTTGAGATGGTGGCTTCGAGTTCTTGAGTGCGCCTGTTGAATTCCGATTGTTAGCATCGGGATATTTAGGACTCCAAAGGTGCGCGCTTAGATATGGGCAGCGCATTGAGGCCGCGCCGTAGAGCGACTACGACAAGAAAGAGAAAAAATAGACATCAACATACTTGTCGTTCCGGGCTCTCTTCCTCCGATCCACAGAACTAAAGCCCGCAATCACAATGTTGACGCTGACTTGGGCGTGGCCCGATTGTGTCGCTCCACCTTTCCTCGGCGCTTCGTGAGGACCCGTCACGACGCACATGACTTTTGTATGGCCCATCTCGAGGTAGCTCGAGCCGTCCGAGGCGTGCTGGGTTCGGATCTGGCCATTGAGTCTCCGGAGCTCGTTCCACCGGCGGCCGTCGACGCGGAGGAGGGCGAGGGAGTAGGTTGAGGTGTCGAGAGACATGGCGTCGGTCGTATTTGGGTCGAGGTTGGAGGTTTCGTTGCGGCGAGGAGAAGCGGTGGACGTTGAGATGCGAAGGTGAATTTTTGACTTGGATTTCTTCAGCGCCGTTTCGGGGTGGGGCTGGTGGGGGAGCTCCTTCCGGGCTTGCTCGTTTGGCGATTGTGTTGGTTGATTGGTGGTCGTTTCCTCCTGTTTCTCCACCGGGAGGTACACTGTACTGTGGTGTACTTCGTGCAAGTTCATCCTAAGTCACACCAACTGTAACAGGATTGAGTGATTGCAGCATCCAACGATCGTACTTCGTAGGCGCTACAGGGTACATCGTGAAATATCCTCTAAAATGGCTCAACTGGGCGTAGCCCTTCTCCACTGTCTCTGCATCTCTGCACTATAATTCTGGTACGCTAGTTTTGGGTCGGTCATGTCTCTGGACCGCTACCACTCTTTTGGCTATGCAAGATGGGTTTCATCGCTCCTGCCGTTCACACTGTTTGGATAAACATCTTGAGAATGTTGGAAAACGACTCTCTTTGTCTCTCCCGAAGTGCGGATGCAAAGTATCTCGCAGATGTCCCGCATCCCCCTTTCATACTTCGTACTGTTCTCCGCACAGATTAGGCCTAATTAGACAACACCTTATCCGGCGCCAGTCTGGGCCGATGGACAAGGTACCCTCTGGCTACCCTCTGGCAGGAGCTCACGTGTCCCCAAGTGGATGATCCCATCCTCAGCCGGTCTGGGGAATTGCAGCCACCAGTCCCAGTCAGTCCCAGTCCGCCCACGCCTCCCTTTGCCTCCGAAGTCGTTTCCCGATTCCCATACATATCGTCATCACTCGCCGCTGGCTTCTTCCCCCCTTTTCTCCCAATTCATCTCTGCTTCCAACAACACAATCGCGATCAAGATGGCCGCAACGAATGCTGCATTCTAGAGGGTGGATTCCCCCATTACAGACAATTAACAATGGACCACCCTCTGGTATCTGACTCGTCCAACGAGACTTTGCTCCTCATCTGCAAGCCCCAATTCCACCACGTGTGTTGAATCTGCTCATTAGCGATTGCCGCATAACCTCGAAAACAGCGCGCATTATCAAACTTTCCAATCGACTAAAACAATCCACCAAGAAGAACTGCAGGCGATTGTGTGAATTCGTCCGCCATGGCCAGACGATCCAAGGCGTCGAGGGGTCTGCCGACCCCGGTCGCTTCGACCTATTCCACCCCCCTCAGTTCGGCGTACCCTACTCCGCTCAGCTCGGCCTATCCGTCTGCGTATCCTTCGGAGGACGAATCCGACTTCGCTCCCGCCCCGAAGACGCGACAGAAGAAGCCGGCGCCTTTCAGGTTCCTCGACCTCCCCGCCGAGCTACGTCTCCGCGTCTACGGCTACCACTTCGCCGACATCGCCGGAGACGTCATCGACCTCGACCCGGACAATTACAAACGGATCCATCGAAAGATGGCTCTATTCAGGACCTGCCACCAGGTCTACTACGAGGCGTCGGCCTTCTTCTACGGCAGCGCCACTTTTCGCATCTTCCCGACCCACCCTGGCCGCTTCTTCAAGACCAAGAAACCGCTGCTCGCCAGGCTCTCCCCGGCCCAGCGCGCGTCCATCACGACTCTTGAGCTTCGGCTCGGACCTGGCTGGAATAGGCCACCCCGCGGGTGGGTCGTCAACGAGGCCCTCGGCCTCCGCCACTGCATTCAAGCGCGGAAACTCAAAGTTTTCGTCGAATGCGACCCCAGCGACAACATCTTCAACGGGTTCCGTCGCGCAGACGGTTTCTACGAAGAATTTTCCCGTTCGTTGCTGCAGGATATCCTCAGGGACATGCCGTCCGTCGAGGTTATCGAGTTTGACGCCTGGAAAAGTGTGAAGAAGTCTGGCGCCATGATGCGGGGGCTGCTGGAGTCGGTGCCCCCGCGCTATACCCTAACTTGGGGCCCCGAGAGGGGATGGACTGATAGTTTGGATGAGGAAGACCTCCAACGCTCTAACAACCTTGTTGCCGATATTATCGGGTTTGATCAACTCTCACTTGTCAATGCAATTGCAGCAGCCTAAGTGGGATTAAGGGAATAAGGCGTACATGGACCGAATTGGCTTGTTACTTTTTACTTTGATTTTTCTTGGGGACCAGGGAATTTGGGATATCGATATCTTCTCTTGAACGGCTACTTTTTGTGTTTAATGGGCTCGCTCCTAGTTTAGCTTTACTAGTTTCGCTGACGACCAACACCACTCAATCATGAACTTGCCTGCGTCCTGCAGGACAAATGCAACTCGCTTGAATTAAAAACGAACAATTGAACAGTCTTCATTGTTACTTTTTCGCCTCCCATTGAGATCCTTGAACAAGTATGAGGTACAGCGCTGTTTTGCGCTCTCGCGCTTGTGACGTAATGTACATTGTACCCTGACCAAGTCCAAGTCTGGAATGGCGTCGGTTAAATATCGGCTCTAAAACTTTTGGGTGGCATGGAAAGAGCTTGGAACCCCCAAGAAAAGTTCGTCATGCCATTATAATTACCGATTTTCTGGCCCAGCTCTTGATCGAGCGAAAAAAAAAAAAAGAATTAATCCGCCTCACCTCCTGAAATCTAGTGGTGAACGTAATTCCCCCCACAGATCACCATGCTTTCAAGAGTAGCGCTACGGCTCGTTCGTTCGAGCCGCCCGGTTCGAGTGTCACCACTCCTCGCCGTGTACGCTGCGAGGTCGCGAACTTTTACGTGGACGCGGACATTGGCGAACAATGAGCCTCCGCGGAACTCGAGTCCCGCCGAGTCCAATTCATCCAAATCAGAGAACCCGGAATCCTCAAGCCCCTCAGAAACTTCGAAACCAGAAGCTACGGATTCGCAAGCGGCAGAGAAGTCTGACATTGATTGCAATCAAACTGATGCCGAGGGCAAGCCTGCCTTCCGTCTTCCCGACCTAACCCAGGGTATCCCATCTACCCTCGAATACGAAACCGCCGGAGCCACGAGGTCCGCACTCACTGCCGCGCCCGGCGAGGATGGCCGTCGTGAACTTCCCGATTCAGCCTACATCTCGTCATCCGACAGGAAACAACAAAGCTTCGCCAAATGGTCCTTCATCTCAGCGCTCGTCGGCATGGTGGGCGCCGTAGCCTACCTCGGCCGCAACTGGGAAGAGGATGAGGAAGCAAGGTTCCCCGAAGCGCCAAACGGATGGAACCCCGCGGCATGGTGGAAGCGGGCTAAGACGCGGTCCAACACCATCGTGACATATTTCAGCGAACCTGCCTTCGAGACCCTTCTGCCCAAGGTCGATCCCATGCTTGAGAAGCCTTATACTCTGTGCATTAGCTTGGAGGATATGCTTGTGCATAGCGAGTGGTCTCGTGAGCACGGTTGGCGGGTGGCGAAGAGGCCTGGCGTCGATTACTTTTTGCGGTATCTGAGCCAGTACTACGAGCTGGTTCTATTTACTAGCGTGCCTTCTGCGATTGCTCTTCCGGTTATCCAGAAGCTCGATCCCTTCCAGATGATTATGTTCCCTTTGTTCCGTGAAGCGACCAAGTACAAAGATGGTGAATTCGTCAAGGTAAGCACTTCCCATACCTTCTCAATTAGTAGCTCCCTGCTAACCTTCACCCTTTCCCCCAGGATCTCTCCTACCTGAACCGTGACCTTTCCAAGGTCATCATCCTCGACACCAACCCCGCCCACGTCAGCGCCCAACCCGAGAACGCCATCATCCTGCCCAAGTGGACCGGCGACGCCCACAACTCCGACCTCGTCTCTCTAATCCCCTTCCTCGAGTACATCCACACGATGCAATACGGCGACGTGCGCAAGGTCCTCAAGTCCTTCGAGGGTCAGCACATCCCCACGGAATTCGCCCGCCGCGAGGCCATCGCCCGCGCCGAGTTCCAGAAGCAGATCAAGAGCCAGAAGGCCAGCCGCGCCTCCTCGGGCGTCGGCTTCTTTGGGAACATGCTCGGCCTCAAGTCCTCCAACATGAGCATGATGGTGTCACCCGACGGCGAGCCGAGCCCCAGCGAGGCTTTCGCCAAGGGTAAGATGATCCAGGATATCGCGCGCGAGAGGGGCCAGCGGTATGTGGAGGCACTAGAGAAGGATATTCGGGAGAATGGGGAGAGGTATTTGAAGGAGCAGCAGGCGTTGATGGAGCAGCAACAGCAGGAGATGATGAATAGTATGATGGGGTCCTTCTCGACCATGTTTGTCGATAAGAAGGATGGTCAGGCGCCGCCGCCGGCCCCTAAGAAGGATTAAGAGCGAAGTTGATGGAGAGGGTGTGTGTGAGTGGATATATACGGGTTGGGATGTTACGAACTGTCGACATTAGGCGATCTGGCATCACAATGGGGTGTTCTTCCTTTTTTTTTCGTTCCTCTCTTCTCCTACATTTGCATGTCTGTCCTTTTCTTATTTCTGGTTCAAAAGGGGCGTGCGGAAAGATTTTGGAAGATGGGAGGTTGAAAAACATCTGGCATAGAGAAACGTATATTTCTGTACTAATACTGTACCAATATAACTCTAGATTTAAAAGATTGAAGATTGACGACATGATGTGTGTATGTGTATTAAATATGTTATACCCTGGCTCATAGCAAAGGACTTGCTTCCATTTTCTGGCGGACCCCATCCACTCATGCAAACTGAGACATGATAGCCTCCAAAACACAACATCCTACTTTCGTTCTACGGGATGGGGACGCCATTAAGGAGCAGTCCTGGTCGTGAGCTGCTCGAGATCACAGGTCTAATAGAACAGTGACAAGAAAAGTGTGATGTAAACATAGTTAAGAAATGCTAGTGTGTATGCGTATGGAGCACTCTCTAAATACCAACTTTCATTTACAACTTCTTCCTCTGCGTCCGACCAGCAGACCGGTCGCTCCTCTCCTCCTCTAAACTCAACCCCGATACAGCAAGCCCCATGCGCAAAACAATCCCCACAACGACGACAAGATCCAAAATATGCACAAGCCACCACGCAAGCGGCGTGCCCAGCCTACACTCGGCATACTCATACTTCCACGTCCAGTCCTCCTCGTCGAACCACATGCTCAGGAGGCCGGCATTGCCGTGATGATCGCCCATCATGCTCCTTACTGTAATCTCTCTCACGCCGGGATGTCCGGCCTTTCCGGGGACGCCGCGCGTCTCGGCGTCGTTCCACCTCATCGCCTCCCAAGACCTCTCGGAGGACGTCGTCCCGTTCGTCTGGTTAATGAAGTGATACGTGTCGCAGCCGGCGTGATCATGCCCGTTGAGTACGAGCCCGCGCCTCCCCATGCCACCACCGGCAGCGAGGACGTTCCCGCTCAGGCCGAGCATGCCCTCGAGGATGCCCTTGCTAGCGGGACCGGAGAGGAGGTTCTGCTCCTTGACGCCGCCTCCCTCAGCTTCCGTGTGGAAGTCGAAGAAAGGGGAGTCCACGCAGACGCCGGCAGGTTTATACAGGGGGATATGCGTGAGGATCAAGGTGAAATGCCCCACGAACTCTACGGCCGACGCCGTGTTGATGACGTCGTTGATGAATTTGTAGGTTGCGTCCTGGAGGGGCACGCTGATGGCTGGTGTGTCGAGGTTCATGTCGTTGAGAACGACGATGCGCAGCTCGGGAATCAAGCGGTCGGAGTCGATATTCGCCTCCTCGTCGAAGAGCGAGGCGACGAGAGCCGGATCAGTAACGGGTAGCTCGAAGCGTAGTTCGTAGTTCGCCTTGCCGAAGACACGTTCGAAGCGGGCGAGGCGTTCCTCGGTGAGGTCGCCGGCATAGCCAATGTCGTGGTTCCCCGCGACGTTAATAAGTCGTCGGCGCCATTCCGTCGGATCCCCTAGGCCCTGCGAGGAGCTGCTGTCGTTGCCCGTGGAGGGCTCGAAGTCGCCGAGGTAGCCGGCGATGTCGTACTCGTCGGCGGGATATTGGGCAAGATCATCCGGGACCCGCTGCGTACCTGCAAACACGCGATTCCAGAAGCGGTTCCCGCGGCGCTCGAACTCCTCGTCGTCGATCCATTGGCTTCCCAGTAGGTCGCCCAGCACGGTCGCGTGCGTCGGGATGGTCCACCAATCGAGGGTGCGGTAGATGTGGGCGAGGTAAAAGTCGTTTCCGAAATGATCGATGCGTTTGCGGATTGACTCGAGCTCATTGGGGATATCCTCGAAGTACACGTCCACTAACGAATGCATAATCTGGCGCACGCGCTGGCGCAGGGAATAGTGCTTCGTCTTAAAGGTGACATGGTTGATCAACTTCTTCAAGTGCGGCATCACGCCGAGGTACACGTTCGGGATGGAGGTATCCCCCTCGAGTTGCGGATCGCCGAGCGTGAGGAGTCGGAAGGGGGCGCGGCGCTGCGCGAAGCTGCTGTCGAGGGCAACATGGCGGTTGGCGGTGTCGAGGAAGGCCGAACGGGCGGAGTGCGGCGCGGGGAGCGGGAAGGCGCATCCTTGGAAGATGGGGTAGAGGTAGAGCCAGATGGTGGAGGCTATTGCGATGGGGAGGAGGATGGGGAAGAGCAGGCGAAGGCCATGGCGGAGGAGGGCCGCGATCAACATCTATAATAGCGGCATGTGGTGAAGCCGGGGAGTAAGTGATGGGCGGAGGGAGAGGGAGAGGGAGGTGGAAGAAGGGATGTAGTGTACAGAGGCTGAGGTCTGGGACACCCTAAAACCGCGATGAAGAACCCAAAAAAAAATTAGCAAAAGAAAAAAAGGAATCAATGTAGAAAAAAAAGAGTTGGAAAATTAGTTGAAACGAAGGGTGGTGATGTAACGAAGAAACTTCAGGGGTTGAAAAATCAAGGTTACCTCCCCTGGCAAGGGTCAAAATAAACATCGAATCAACGGCAAGTCCGATGGGAAGGAACATTGAACATTCCAGTTGACAGGCGCATGTGAGTGAAATTAATGTTTGGGTCTCAGCTCAGGGTTCAGCGCTGACTTCCTCGGGGTTGCTTCCAGTGCTTCCAGTGGCTTATTAGCGGTGCCACTCGGTGTGGGGATAAATGCATGGGATTGCAGTGGGCAATGTAGCACTGCGGACTTCTGAGACACTAATATTACAGTGGTTGGTTGGTCGTGCTGCTTCAATCTCCGAAGGTTCAATGTTGTGTTGCTGGATCAATTGTGTCTCGTGGTTGGTTGGTCTAGCACTGCGCTAAGACCTGGTGTGTTGATCGAATGATGAGATCATGGATCTCGATATCAATTCTGGAGATCAATTGCAGAAGAGAAGCCCGCTCGCCCACGGGAGATGTTAACGAAAAGGATCAAATGTAAAATTCTCCGTTACTCCTTTGCAATCATCAAATGTATAGCCCTTGGTCATTAAAACATTAATTCATCGTCCCAGTCTAGGTATCTCCATTCGCATCCGCCTCCTCATCATAATCATCCAACGTCGGCCAATCGACCAGAAACTCCACCTCGTCAGGCTCCCTCCCGTCCTCGTATATCGCAAAAGCCAGAACGGTATTATCGGTGATTCCTTTCTTAACGGGCGTGTCCTTGTCCGAAATATCGAGCGGCTTCCAGCCGTCGGCGGGGTCGACGGGGTTGTTAAGGCGCGCGTAGTATACCTTCGTCGTGGCGTCGCTGGGGGGAATGGGCGTGGGTCCTTGGGATGTGGTGAGGGTGCCTTGAGGGTAGCGCTCTCGGAGGACGTCGAGGAGCTTGGTGTTGATGTCGGAAAAGGGTTTCAGGGAGTCGACGAAGAGGAAGATGGTGTGCACGCCGTGCTTGAGGCGCAGGGAGAGATGTGTTCCATCCATCTACAGATTGTGAGTCAGTGCAAGAAGGCAAGTAGGGAGGGATAATAGTACCTTGAATATTAAGTATGATTCAATTCTCACAATGTAGAGCTGGAAGCTGTTGTTAAAGATAAGAACTCAATCCTGGATATGCTCGCATGATGATGCGTTTTGGGGACCTGGAAAGATTAGTGGGGGAGGGGCCATGGGTCCATTGAAGTTGCGAAATCAGGTGACCTCGCGTTCACTGGAGTCCACCGAGCCAAGGCCAGGCTCAACCGGTGATCACCAGCCTAGCTTCATGCATGGTTGGTCAAGCTGCAAACTACAAAAAAAAGAGAAGAAAAAAATTAAAGCATCTGAATCCAGCCCAACACAACACCACAAAGAGCCACCCGGCTCTCGACATGCCGACAAAATGGCAGCGATAAAAACCCCACCAAGTCCGCCGACCTCAGAAGACATTACCGCCAAAGACCTACGAAGATGGAGCCCGCACGAATACCCCCGACTCTCGATGAGCACACCCTCCAGGCTGGCCCTCACGGCGCTGGGCTCCTTCAGCATCGGCATGGTCCTCGGCGCCGCGCACGGTGGTAAGATGGCGCAGCTGCGATTCCGCGCCGAGCACGCGCACAAGATGCCGACGACGACGACGGACTGGTACTTTTACCACCGGAGCAAGAACTACCACGCCGCGTACGGCGGTCTGAAGGAAGGGTTCAAGATGGGGAGCAAGCTGAGCTTCTGGGCTATATCCATGATTTGGCTAGAACACACCGTGGACAGGTATCGGGGGAAGTCTGACTTGCTTAGTACTGTTATCGCCAGTCTTACTGTGTCGGGGGGCTTCAGTCTATGGAGTAAGTAATAATCGTGCCCCGAAACCGGTCATATTTTTCGAAATGTTTGATCCTTTCATGCATGTTTACGGGGTTCGATCACTGACACCAGCCGGTCCAGATCGATTCCCGTTGACGACGACCGCGAGGACCACGAAACAAGCACTTGCATTCGGATTGGTCTTTGGCGGGCTGCAGGATGCACTGGCTCTGGCGCGGGGGCAGTCTATCGGGTATGTCGACTTTGTGAGGCGGCGTTTGGGGAGGTCTGGAACCACTAGCCCGACACCCGAGAAGACGTGACAATGACGCTTGTGAGCGGGGGTTATGGATGGATGGAAATACCGCAGGAATTTGCATGTGCTATCAGCTCATCTGCATGAGCGGCAGCCTTTATTCCCAGAGGCGTCCACTCACAGGGTATTCCTGCCCTGCTCGGCGAGGGCGGGCTCGAGTGGGTGATGGGAACCCCACGACACCCATCGGTTAGGGCAACTGGCAGCGCGAGTTGCAGTTTGTGTTCCTCAGGCGCATTTGCCGCCGATAGCCCATCCACACCGCTCCAAAGGCTTTATGATCATATTTTTTATTATTCTTCTCGGGCCACGAGACACGAAAAGTCCGATGACGGATGGGACAGGTTGCTCTCTCCACCCCGGCGGCATTGGAATCAACCGGCGATTTCCTCGCTGGAGCTAAGGCATTTAAGGCATTGTACACTACTCACTACACTAGCGGCAGTATGGAAATTGTAAGATGGAACTATTTCGTGTTTGATTCGCCAATTCCCCCACTCCCAGTTCCTTTGCTCGGCGGTGTTCCTGACCCGGTCCACATCGCGGGGCTTCGGGTTCTCGTGGTTGAATCGTTGATGACGGCGGCTAGACTCGGCATATGCGCCACGATAAGCTAAAGCAGCCGCCACCTGCCGGGGTCTCCTATCAAATCATCGACAAATGGGACGCCGATCGGGTACCTGTGACGCAGTGAAAGCCTCAACCTTATCATCACACGTTCCGTCTCGAATCGGCTTTGGCCATCAGATGCAAGCGGCTCATGCAATTGCAGCTCCGCATTCGCAGAGGTGGCTTCTCGCCTTAACCAAATAGTAGATAAAGGGTAGTCGGCCAAACTGGACCTGGACCCTCCTCCTTAGTTAGGTATGGCGAGATTGTATTGTCTTGTATTATTGTACCCTGTGTTATAAGCCTTGCCTCCCATATCAACCCTCTTCTCGCCGCCTCCTCCATCTACAACTGTTAGGTTTTAGATTATACTTTTTTCTCTCTGTGCCTTTCTATTTCTTGTCTCTGCGGCTTCTTTACATAGCGTCTTAATTTTCAACACAATACCCTTGACGTAGTACCACCACCCAGTCTTGCTGCAACTGATCTGACACGGTCCAATGTCTCTCCAGCCCCATCGCCTTGTCCATACCGGGCGACTTCGGTTCCAACCATGGCGGACTAACGGCCATCAAGTCTCTGTTTTCCTTACTTACTCCCCCCAAGCGCCATTTGTCTCTCGGTGTCTATCCTCCATCCCGGCCAGGAAACACCAGCAGTCTTTCGTTCGCTCGCAGCCAGTGGCACCCAGCGTAGGCACCTACCACGCAAAGATGGCCGAGACCGAAACCCATCATTCTAACGGCGGAAACGGGCCTCCGCGTGGCCACGAGACATCCCCGCCTCCCCTTGCGGTCCTCCCGTTGAAGATGGTGCTTCGCTCTCTCGCCATTTCCACCATCTCCTCTTCCCGGCTTCTGCTACCACCCTCACTCTCCATTATGTCTCTCCTTGCTTCCTCTACCAATCCTTTACTTAACCCCGATAAGAACCCGTTTCTTCGGCTCTTCATCAAGAAGACGTTTTACGCCCAGTTTTGCGCGGGAGTCTCCCACGGCGAGGTTGAGCGGACCATCACTAGCCTCAAGAATCTCGGGTTCAGCGGGGTTATTCTTGGGTATGCCCGCGAGATCGTGCTCACTGAGGACCAGCTCAAGGGCTTATCCTCCGTCAAGGGGCTCGATGTCGAGGAGTGCGTCAGGAACGAAGTCACTCCGTGGGCTGAGGGAACGATTGAAACTGTCGACTTGGCCGAGCCCGGCGATTTCGTCTCGCTAAAGTAAGTGAATTCCTTTCTAGAATCTGATGAATAAGAGAGAAAAGAAAATGGGAGGAAAAAAAAAAAAAAAAAAAAAGGAAAGAGATAAGAAACAGAAAAGCTAACAACCCAATAGGTTTACCGGCGCTGGTCGACTAGCCATGGCCAGTCTCACCGCGAGAGAGGCACCTCCGCCCGAACTTGCTAGCGCAATCGACGCCATCTGTTCTCGTGCCGTCTCGCGTGGCGTCCGTCTCCTTTTCGACGCCGAACAAGCCGCCATCCAGCCTGGAATCGACGACTGGACGCTCTCGTACATGCGAAAGTACAACACCAAACCAGGCCATGCCTCCATCTACGGAACGTACCAAGCCTACCTCAAGTCCTGCCCCGCGACTCTCGCGGGACATCTCCAGAAGGCGCAAGAAGAGTCATTCACATTGGGCGTTAAGCTTGTTCGCGGTGCCTACCTCGGATCAGACCCTCGGCACCTGATCCACGACACCAAGGAGAACACCGATGCCTGCTACGATGGCATCGCCGAAGGCGTCTTGACTCGGAAGTGGAACGAAACCCTCTCGGGCTCGGGAGAATACCCCGGCGCGAGCCTCATCCTCGCCTCTCACAACGCCGAGTCGGTCCTCAAAGCCCGCGAGATTTGCGAACGCGGGGAGGCCAAGACGGAGATTGCCTTCGCGCAGTTGATGGGTATGGCGGACGAGGTCAGCTGCGAGTTGCTCCCCGCGGCGGGCAAGAAGGAAGGAGGCGCTGCTCCTGTGCCAGAGAGGACGGGCGTGCAGGCGTACAAGTACCTTGTTTGGGGAACGACGGGGGAGTGCATGAAGTATCTGCTGAGGAGGGCGTACGAGAACCGCGATGCTGTGCAGAGGACTAAGGTTGGGAGGGATGCCATGTGGGGCGAGCTTGTGAGGAGGGTCAAGGGAGTTTTTGGACGGGGATAGATTTTTCATTTCGTCGATTTTGGGAGTTTTAGGTTAGCGTGCGCTGCGTGTCTAGACAGCGGTGATGAAATTATTTTATGAAAGGTTGGATAGGATATACTAGTAGCATCCATAGAATGTTGATGATTTTTACTTTCTATATTGATCAGACACCTTTTTCCCCATACATTGAAATCTCTATACACCACGCAGCGCCATGCTGCCCAACACTAAAACCTCCGCCTCAGCCTTCTTCTCGGCCTCCCCCATCTTATCCAACCAATTCAGCCCATTCAGCTTGTAATACTTCCTCACCTTGGGCCAGTCCGTCAGAGAAGCTATGTTCTCGTCCGTCGGGGGCAGGGCTTCGCCCTCGACGTGGGTGGAGAGGTGAGTCCAGATTTGGTCGGCCGAGAGCGGGGGATTGGTCTTTGGGTGGGTGATTTTGAGGACGAGGACGTTTTGGGTTGGGGGGTTGAGGCCGAAGCGGCGGTAGGCTTCGGAGATCTAGGATATGTTTTGGTTAGGTATGTGGAGGGCGTTGCTTCCTTGCTTGCATGCTTGACGAGGATAATTTTGGGAAGTGAGGAAAACGTACGTTGGTGGAGGGATTGAGGTTGACCACTATTTCCGAGTGGACGTTTGGTGTGAGGAGGGAGTCGTTGAGGAGGGCGTTGATGGATTTGTAGGCGGCTGCGAGGAGTTGCCGCCTCGAGACGACCTGTTTCACGGTTAGTTGACCGTGAGCTCCGCTCCAGCTAAATCCCGATGAGATTTCACTCACTATTGATGCGTCTATAAAGGCATATTCAAAGTCGGCATTGCGGGCTAGTAATTGGGAGTGAAGGAAAGCCGCGTTCTTGATGTTCTTGAAGAGGGCGATGTGGACAATGCAGTCTGTTGGAAGATGTTCAAGGGTGAGCGAGTCCATGGCTGGGTGCGACTCTTTCTCCTTGCTTCGGTCTTCGGGTCTGACGGACTAATGAGTTGGAATGAGTATTGCGCGTGACTTTAGTCGTCGGGTAGATTCTGGCAGGAAAGCTGGAGATTTGGAACAGATGTTGATGAGGTGAACAATTTTCATGGGAGACCAAAGGAGTAGGGGAACATTCATCGGAACAAGTCTAAGAACAGGTTCACTCCTGCCTGAAGCCCAATTGCACTCTTGGCCACAATATCCTTTCAAAACAGGTGTATTATTCTACTTTCACCGAACCAAATATACCCTTTCCAAACAATAACCCATCCACTCTCCCCGTCTTCTCGCTCTCTCGGTGTCGAGATTGATGCGTCTGGCCAACGTCGCTCATGCCTGTCCTGCTCAGAGCTGCCCCGCCCCCGCTTCGAAAATTTGGTGGGGCCTGACCGAAGCTCGTTCTCCCATAATTTCGTCACGTGAAAACGCGGTTCTCCGCGTCCATCCATGATGGCTTGGCTTCTCATCACAGTCACCGCGTCGTCTCATCCCACCCTGATGCATGCTCGTCTTTACCATCTCTTTCCTCGACAAACGCGCTATTTCTCACGGGCCAGGCCACCCTGTCCTGCTGAGCAGTTAAGCAACTGCCTCGTGCCTGGTCAGAGGTGAAGTAATATGGAAAAAGTGATGAGAAGGAGAAGGGTTGGCGAGCTGTGAGTCGAGGCGAGTGTGCCTTGTTACTTGTTGGCTCCTGGATCACAGGGTGCTCGTGGAAGACTTCGCCTCCGTACGCCATGCGGAAGTAGATGTTAACTCCTTACCAACTTGGTAAACTGAACATGAAGCCTCAAAGTGTACGCTGTTGGTCGAGGCTGTGTGATGCCCTCGGCCTTTATCGCGGCCAGCCTCATGCTTGCTAGTTCATGAGATCACTGCGCGAGATCCGGGCGACCAACGGCTTGCTGCCTGGAGACAGAAGAAATCCAATCGTTCAGGACATGCTCTGTCAGTGGTGTTCATCTATATAAAATCCTCGATGATTCCCTCGTCCAGCTGTAATTCCATTGCTTGCCAACCTAACAACCGATTTCCCAATATCAACTCAGTTCTACTACTTGGTGAAGTAATACCGTGTTAAGATCTACTGATTGAAACCCTCTCATCAACAGGTTGGTCTTCTTCCTCCGTTTTGTGATGCAGTGAACCCTAGCCATATGGGCAGAACACAACTAACAGCGTCAACATCAATGGCAGAATGTGCACCAACCTTATTATCGTCACCCGCTACACCAAGTGTACCAGGGCTTGCGACTTGACTACCACGCAATTTATCAAGTGCGAGCAAGCACTACAGACTGGCGTTACATGCGCTGTTCCCAAGTCACAGAGGGCCGGTCTCCGAACTAGTCGCACCGAGTGCCCGACACACTGTGATGAGGGTTACAGTGATAAACGATATTGATTCTTCCTCTCTTTTATATTCCCTTTTTTTTTCTTTTTTTTTTTTTTCCCTCTTCTTTTCTTTTTAATTTTTCTTTTCTCCCGTGTTCTTTTTTTGCTCTGTCTGGAGTCGTGGACAATGGATTGAGGGGTTCCAATGAGTTGGTGGGAGCCTGGCTGCGGGGCTGAGTTCAAGTTAGTGGAATAAGAGCGAGGAATTGGAGGATTAATTCTGGAATGGTTTCTTGCAATTCATTTGATGCGCGCACGGGTGCTCCCTCTACGCCTTTCTCGCCAACAACGACTTTCCTCAGGCGCTGAGGGAGTCGCTGCCCACTGTCTTTCGAATTGTTCTGTTCTTTCATTGCATATTGCCTGTTGGAAGCGCTATTAGCCTTAGATTAGTTATAAACCCTTACCTTTTCTCATCTCTTGCGCCTTATTCTACATTTACCAGAAACGGAATGGAGGATCAACCTTCCTTCCAAGTCACGGCGCCACCTCCTAAGTCGCCATCCCCAACCATAGACACAAATCCGGCGACTTACGACTTTATCATCGAGGCGAAGGGCGTAGAGATAGTGGCCGTGGGCGCAACTTCCTTTGTCGAGCGTCTTGCCGACGGTAACATCATCAAAACCCCTCTTCAATCTCACCACCACGACACCACCGCCGAGCTTACAATTGAAGCCAAAATCTACCAGCGCATCGGGCCTCACCCGCGCCTCGTCCCAATTATCTCCTGGGACGAGGCGGAGCACGCTCTAACCATGGAATTTATGGCGAATGGGACACTGAAGGACTACATTGAGGCGCATCCTGACGATATCTCGACAGCGCAGCGCCTTCGCTGGGCTAGGGAAGCCGCGGAAGGTCTGCAGCTCGTACATGACGTGGGCGTGGTGCACTACGACGTAGGGCCGCACAACTTCCTACTCGATGAGAAGCTCAGTCTCAAGATTTCCGACTTCGGAGGGTCGTCCGTCGACGGATCGCGGCCCTCAATTTGCGCCGGTATTCGTTACGCGCCATCTGATATCGCGTGGCGTCGCGGTCGGAAACCCGACCCGGCCGGTGACTTGTTCGGGCTCGGCTCGACGATTTATTACATCTCCACCGGCACCGAGCCGTTTCATGATGTTGAGAGCGAGGAGGTGGATAAGCGCTTCGCCGCGTGCGTGTTTCCGGCCGTTGATGAGGTTTTAGCGGGCGATGTTATCTGGAAGTGCTGGATGGGGCGTTTTGCGTCTGCGAGTGAGGTCTTGTCTGAGTTGACGGCTTTATTGGGGAATAGTACAGACAATGGGGTGCCGCCCTAGATCATGAGACGGCGGGCCTTTACTTCTCCGCAACTCCATCATATCGCAGGATATCTCTCCTGCCCATTGTCCCGGAATGCGTACCTAGTTCCCGACTCCACGAGGATCTACCAATATGAGGGGCCCTGTGAGCTTCCTCGCGCTCCTTTGTGGAATCACTTCATAGCTATCACCCGTAAGCCATCCAGTGGCGTTGAAATGCGCCGATCCACCAGCTCAAGAGCAGTATTCTCGGCAGCAGCAGCAGCACAACTTTAACAGAGAAAGTCCCCGAGTCGCGCCGAGAAAACAGGGCGAGTAGAGTGGAAGATGGTGGGAGAAGAAAACACTAGCTTAGAAGAAGGAAATGGAAACCTTTAAATTCGAGAAATTTGAATGCAAATGTACATGGGTCATATACATCTTGCAGGCTGCAAGTCTCACATACAAATGTTAGGGGGTGACGGACAGCCTCCAAAATAGTGCCGAAAGTGGCGCATGCTGATGGATGGACCACACCCTGCAGCTGCGAGAAATGTAGGGCGGACGACAGCCAGATCGCCCTGCGCACTTCCGCTTTCCTATCCGGCCATATTTCGTCCGTGGCGCAAGGCGAACCACCACCGCAGCCGCCCATGACCCCATTTCTTCCTCTCAAAGATGAATCCGTGTGGCGACTTGGGATCTGACGTCTGCCCATCCTTCGTGATCCGTTGAACCTCGCCGTGATGGAAAGCCTCGCTGCGTTTGGGCTAGCAGCGAACATTTTGCAATTCATTGAATTTGCCACAAAAGTCGTCGGAAAGGCCAAGGCTGTCAGGACTGGTCGAATCGAACCCGCAGATCTCGAAGTGTCCAAAGTAGCAGAACGCCTTGGGGAGTTGGCGAGCGCAATCCGAGCCAATGCAGAGAGTACGGCGACGGCCCCGGAGCGGTGCCCGGAGCATTACCCAGCGGAGTGCCCGGCGCGGTGTCTGGAGCAGTGGAAAACGAATCGAGCCATCCAACATGTGTGTCAGGGCTGTATCGAGGCGGCCGACGAGCTTTCTAGCCGCCTTTGGCTTATACCAACGACGGGCGGTCGCAGTTTCTCACGCGCCAAAAGCTACCGAATAGCGTTGAAATCCGTATGGGGCAAGGCCAATGTCGATACGTTGTTTCAGCGACTTGAGAGATTCAGAGGCGAAATCAACACACTGTTGATAGTATCCATCCAGTAAGTCCACAACGTACCTGAAACCCAACACAACACACGGATACCCTGTAGTGGGACTAGATCACGCAAGAGACATCTGGGGCATTGCCCCAAGCCCCCGGCTATCTCAACTATCTAAGCAAGAGCGAAACCACTAACTCCGCACTTGGGTAACACTTAGGACTCAGCTTCAGGATTCGCAAACTTCGCAGACTTCTGCCTTTCAACAGCTGCTTGACTTGAGCACTTTATCGATCGAGGAGCATGCGGCTACTCAACGGCAAATCGGTTGGGTAGGCCAGTCTCACAGAGACTACATCGCCAAAGAACATACAGAAACCCGGCACCAAATCCTTTCGGCAATCTCGAATCTTGCGTTGAAAGGATTGGAGATGGACTATCCAGACGGACTTAAGATATCCTATCACGTGGCACAAGAGGAAGCGAAGAAGTTTGCCCGAAAGATGGTGGCGGATAGCTTAGCATTCCCCGCCATGGATCATCGATATGACGCCGTTCCAGAAGCCGTCCGTGGTACTTTTCAGTGGATTCTTTCTCCAAACGACCAGGATTTCGCCAGCTGGACAAACTTTACCCGTTGGCTGCAGGACTCTGGTCGATCTGGCGTGGATCGGATCTACTGGATCAACGGCAAAGCCGGGTCGGGGAAGTCGACGTTAATGAAGTTCCTCGTTACCCACCGGGACACCTACTTGTACCTCAAGAAATGGTCTGGCTCTGACCAGCTTATCACCTCACGACATTTCTTCTGGAGAAAAGGCGTCGAGTATGAGAGGAGCATCCCTGGGCTCTTAAGGGCCATGCTGGCACGTGTCTTTGAGAAGTGCCCTGACTTGGTGAGCGTTGTCCTCAAGGATCGCATCACAGAAGCAGAAGAAGCCATTCGTGACCATTGGTATATTACACAAAATGCCTCTGCCTCAGCCGCCTTGACCTTTCTTCCAAACTTACGCGAGCGGATTCAGACTTGGTCTGCCGGGGATCTTATGGAAACCCTTCGCCAACTCACAAGCACGGCAGCTCCAAACACCAAATTCTTCTTCTTCATTGACGGGCTGGACGAGTTTGAAGGCGACTACTCTGAAGCTTTGGATTTTTTCCAGCAGTTATCCGAGTCCCCGAGCGTCAAGCTCTGCATTTCTAGCCGACCACTACCAATTTTTGAAGCTGAGCTGGGTAATGGGCCAATGCTAAAGCTTCAGGATCTCACAAGAAACGACATCATTAGGGTGGTGAATCAGAAACTTCTCGGCCACCCGGCCATAAAGAGGCTCAGTATGGCACATCACGATAGAACCGTCAACCTCGCAAAAACGGTAATAAAGAAGGCATCCGGGGCGTTCCTTTGGGTTACACTCGTTACCAAGTCACTGATCATCGGTCTTATCAACCATGACACGATTCACGACTTGGAGCGTCGGCTGCAAGAGCTCCCAGTGGACCTGCTGGACCTCTACTGGCATATGCTGGGCCGTATTCAACCGATTCATCTACAGAATGCGGCGCTTTTACTCGAGATATCTTGTCGGGTTCCGGAGCCTGTTTCTGCTGTGACATTGTCCTTGGTTGACGATGTGGCCCAACGTGGTGGTAGCGTGGCCATTGATGCCAACCCCATGGCATTAGAGGAGAGAGATAGGGAGGAGAGAGTCGCCAGGCTCTCGCTCCGTCTACAAACGATCTGCGCCGGGGTTTTAGAGGTTCAGCCGGATGGTTCTGTTGGATTTCTCCACCGGACTGCAGGGGATTTCTTCGAACTGCCAGAGGTGCATCAATACCTTCGCGAAGCGTCGAAAGACGATGAGTTTTCGGCAGACGTGGTCCTCCTCCGCGCCTCAGTCCTGAACATTCTCTGGCGCACAGATTGGACGTGCGGGGATGACGGCGATATTCATTATTTCTGGGACACGGTGGAATGTGCGCTACAAGCGGCCAAGAGAGCCGATGAACGGGGAGATGGCCTCGGGCTCAGGCTGATGGGGTTGTTTGACCAAATCACAACAAACCGATGGGCTCAGCTCCGTGAGAAGGACCAGGATTTGGTGCACTGGAGCAACTTCTTGGGATCTGCTCGTGGTGGTCTCGGTTTCCGCAAGCTACGACTAGAGACGTTTCTTGATTGCGCTGTCGTCTTCCAGCTCACGAGCTTCGTTCGTGAGCATTTCATCCAGATGACTCGTACTTATCAAATGGGCGGTTTCGGCAAACTTCTGCAAATTGCAATACCACCCGTACTCACTACTGCCGAGTTCTAACCTCGTCCAGCGCCCCAACTGCCAAGTCCGAAATTGATCGAGTTCCTTCTTACCCAAGGTCTCGCGGCGAACGGGACGGATGCGAGAGATTCACCATGGGTTAGGGCCCTCAACCATGCGTATACCGATTTCAATCCCAATCCCCCATCTGACGCAATGACGACATTGCACTGGAGGGAGAAATATGGCCGAACCTGGTGTCAGGTTTTGCGACTGTTTGCCGAGCATGGTGCAGACCTATCGCAAACTTTCACAACCGAGGGTGGGGTGATGCGTTCAGCGGTTGCGGTGGCGCGAGATATTCTCTCTCATTTTAATACGACCCACGCTTGGGAGTTGGAAGTGTGTCTCACGAGTATGGGTGGGGTGTATTTTGCCCAGACGAGCTCTGGAAGACATGCTGGTGTCGCAGCCAACAAAACATTCCAAGCAACCCATCTTGCGCCGAGACAAGGTGCTGATAAGATTCGGGGAGTTAGGACTTTGAGGTCAATAGCCACGTCCCCGGGGGTTAGAATGAGTCTTTCCGGAGCCTTCAGGCAGACGAACACATATTTCAGAGATGAGTTTGGGATGCAAAGGGACGCGGGTTAGCTATCAAATGTAGTCATGTTAGAGTTGATATTGGCGTCCATCCAGAATGGCGATTTGACAAATCCCTCTCAAATAGAAGCAGAGTAATTGAGAGCGCTCCTTCTGTGCTTGTAGCTGTCGTCGACTCGTATATTGATGTAGGCGGGGCTTACTGATTCTTCAGTTGCCATCACCAAAGAGGTCAATTGATGTTTGCGGAGGGAAGTGGTACTTGATATTTATCAAAAGAGGGGCTCTCTCACACCGAAAACAATGAGCAATGAACGGGATAGGGGCCTACACACGTGACGAGATTGGGAGGAATCAGAAAACCACATGCTCGACCTCCATCGATATTCCAGTCCAGACAGCCCCTTCCCACTCCCACCTACCCACATGGACAGTGATCTGGATCTGTGCATGGCATGTGAGTTTGGCGCCCACTAACGTTGCACAGTATGGGATGACACGGTTCTTAGCAGGCGCAATGCCCCTTCCTTCCTTCCACTTCCAGCTCTCCCCGAGCTAACCCGCAGAGATGTACTCCCGTACTCCCGTACCCACATCTCGGTACCTGCCAATCAGTCAATCAGATCAGCCCAGTTCATCGACCCTTCCCACTTTCAACATCATCAATCATCAATGATTGCTCAATCCAGGTACCTCACACGTCGTACCTCTCCATACCCACCACCTCCATCACCCGTTCCCACTAGACCCCCCCAAAGCTCCCCATCACACACGGGATCCTCCGTCCAACCCGCAATATCCACACCCGCATCTCAAGCTCTCTTACATCCATCCCCCAAATGTCAACAGATCACCACGACCCGGCCCAAGACGGCCCATCATCAAGCTACCCACCACCCCCAACAACCGACGCCACCATCGACATGATGACAGCCGCCGCCGCAACCACAACAATCAGCCCCGAGCCGTCACGGCCGCCCGAGCCAACCCCGACCGCGACGCATCAAGTACACGTAGGGGAGAAGCGCCGACGCGACGAGGCGAGCTACGAACAACACGACCCCGCGCTGTTAATGGCCGTCGCGGCCGACGCGCGAAGAGGCGAAGAAGAAGGGGGCGGAGGACGGGAAGCCGAAGTTCATCAGCAGGCGGCGCAACTTCCGAGAGAGATGTCCAGCTATCCGGACCTTAATCTTGAGCTCGATAGACAGAAACGACACAGGCTGGACGAGGAACAAATACAAATCGTACAACAACAGCAGGCGCAACAATCATCACAACAACACCCAACGCTATTGCAATCACCTTCTACGAAACCCCGAGGTCGCAGAGCGGCTAATGCCCCGGCCGAATTCTCCCACGCCATCAAGACACGACAACAAACATACACTAGGACAGGACAAGCTTGCGACCGGTGTAAAGTACGTCAATGCCTCCCACCTTTTTTAACCATCCTCCTTCCTCTCCCCACCCAGCGCAATTGACCAAAAGCTCACCCCTTTCAAAACAGGTGCGCAAAATAAAATGCGACGCCCTCCCCGAAGGCTGCTCAGCCTGCACCACCGCCCGGGTAGAATGCTTCGTCACCGACCGCGTCTCCGGCAGGACCGAACGCCGCGGCTACCTCCAGGAAGTCGAGCGCGAGCGCGAGCGCATGCTCCTCTACATACGCGACCTCGAGCGCATCATCGCCGGCGGCACTGAGATGGACATCCGGCCGTCGCCTTGGACGGCGAGTTTACCCCCAGGTGGGGAGCTCGCTGTTACGCCGGTTGTTGTGGACGGGGATGCGCAGGCTGGTTGGGAGCAGGTTGGGTCGGTGCTTGTGAGGGGGTTTAGGATGAGGCATGGGGTTCTTATGGATGGGCATGATGGGGGTGAGAATCATGCGTAGCTGACTGACGGGGCCTGTTGGTTGTATCCTTGAGTGGAGGCTTAGATCGGATGAGGTTGGGTGTTTTCTATGGTGTTTTTATCTGGGATCCTTATGGTTTGGGAGGACGGGACATACACTTACTTCACTTCATTTGAGGTTGAATCATTTCTTCTTTTTCTTTCTTTCTTGGCCTTGTTGGTCAGCTGGGATATAGAAAGCAGGCAAGCCTAGGGATTTGGCTTCCTGCAACGAACTGGGAACAAAAAGGTCTAAGAGGACTGGGGGATTTATGTATACTATTAGTGAACGACATGAAGATTTGCCATGTAACATACAACAGCATGGTCAAGACATTGCCAACAAAGTTCACGAGCCATGATGAACCAGGACGAGCCAAGCATTGATTTCAAGTGAATAACGCAAATTGAATTATTAGTACAAGTCCCACGGGAATGAATACTCTAAACAATCTCGAGAACAACAGAAGAGAAAAAAAAAAAAACTTCAATCTTGTTCCATGCCAGGTCCCTAAGGAAGAGACGAAAAAGAAAATGAAGTAAACACCCAAGGAAAACAAAAAAAAGCCTAGACGCCAAAGTTTGCATCAAGTGCAATGGGTTTGGTCAGTAATGAATCCCTCCATCCCAATATTCATCAATGCAGCTCAGCTCGACGAACAAATTCTTCATCAAGCCATTGAAAGCAAAACAATTCAAAGCCCCATTCTCATCATCAAAACCAACAGAATCATTACACAACATGCATCTTCCAAACATCATAACGGCGGCAGAAGGGTATCATTCACATCTACCTCCACGCAAGGCTAGGCCGAGGCGCCCTCGCAGCCACACCACCAATGGTAACCCGCCTATTCTTCGACACCTCCAACGCGCCCTCTCGAGCGGTAGGGCTGGATTCGACCCGGACGCTACCACCAAGGTTCATCCTCCGAGCCTGCCCGGCAGTGAAGGCGCGCGTGACGGACTTCACTTCGGGAGGCGAGCAGCTGATGGGCGGGCTCTTCCTCCTCTCACCGCTGTTCCTCCTAAGGCGCGAGATGCCGTTCGTCGAGGACGGCACAGACGACAGCGAGAGAGAAGGGCGGTGTCCGCTTGCTCGCTCGGCGGGGACCATGCCGCGTTTGGAGGCGGCTGCGGAAGACGCAGCAACGGAGGGCAGAGTCAGAGAGGACATACGACGGGCCGAGGCGGAATGGCGCTTCGCCGAGTACATAGCCGAGGCGATCTTTCGGGCGTCGAGATCAGAGGTAGACTCGCTATCGGACCCCGAGGAGTTGCCGCCGCCGTTCTGTTCGGGCGGGTTATTTTCGTCGAACGAGTTGCGGGCGATAGGTGGGCTCGCGATCTTAGAGGGCCGCACGGGAATAACGCTCGGGGGAGACATGTTGGAGGACCGCGTCACGTCGAGCGATCTAAGCGGCGCTGTGAGGCTGCCCTCCGTGTTCGGAGATGATGACGCGGCGGCGAGGTTGAGCGAGAGAGAGGGAGCGACGAGGACGGGGGAGTTACTGTCGCGCTGGGCGGAGGTGCGCCCGGACTTGGAGAGGAAGCCAGCCTGGAACCTGTTAGGCTTGCCAAGCTGGATGGTAGGCTCGAGGATTTCGAGGGAAGGACTCGAGTCGGAGGAGTTGATCTCTTGGATAGTCTGGATGGAATGGGAATGAAAGACGGTCGGGGACGGAGGAGTATGTCTTGGTGCGGGAGAGTCAACTTCGGAAGTTGACTCGTATGGCTGTGGCGTCTTCTGGAATTCGACGAGTGGGCCATCCTCGCCGTCGTCATCTCGCCATCGTACCGTGCGTTTGGAAGGAGACTTCTTTTTGGGCGTGAAGGTAAGGGGTTTCCTAGCGGCGACAGGGGCCTTGCGGCGCTTGGGCGAACCCTTAATGGGGGAGAGGGGATGTTGCGGAGCGACAACGATTGGAGCCGGCGCGTTGAAGACGGGTTGGGGGACATCGCGGGGCGCATCTCGTGCCGGCCGCCTCTTCTTGGGCGTACCTCTCTTGCTGGGTAGGAATGCATCGATCTTGGGCGGCGCGCTGTCGGGCCTGACTACGTAGTTCGCGGCGGCCACGCCTGATTCAAGTAGCTTATGGATGATGTTCTTGGCGTGGGCCACGGCGTCCTCCTCGCTCATGGAGAGCGTGTCAGACAGCGAGGAAATAATCTCCAGTTGCGCAGTCAGTAGAACCTCCATGGTACCCCTGTCGGCACCCTTTTCCTGCTCGAGCACTTCCCGGTACATCTCCTTAGAAAATGTGGTCCTGAGCAGCTCCGCTTCCCTCTGGAGGGTGGCAATCTGCGAAGAGTTATCGGCGGTCTCGCCATCGGGAAGAAGTCGGATACTATGCTGCAGCGCGGTGTCGATGACTCGCTCCCAGTTCGAATTCTCGAGCCTCTGATGCAAGTGATGTCGACTGGTCTGCAACTCAGCTAGGATGCCGTTGGCGGTCTTTTGAATGGCTCGCAGCGAATCGGGCATGTCCTCTTCCGAGGCGCCCCGCGACTCGCAAACGGCATCAAAAGACGACAGCCACGCCTCCAGCAGGCTGATGCGCCTCTCGAAGGCCTTGAGCCGTTTCAGGCTCGCAATCTTCTCCTGGCGCTGCTGCAGCGCATTGTCGTACGCCGCCCTCAGCCTCTGGACGCCCTCGCGCGTAGTTGCCTCCTTCTTCTCGTGCTGCTTGCGGAACTTGGCGAAGAAGATGGACTCCGCCTCCTTTTGTTGGGCCTTGAGCTCTTTGATGAGAGCCATCTGCTCGTCGATCTTGACGAGGAAATCCTTGACGTGGCGGTTGACGTTGAAGACGTTACGGGTGACCTTGGTCTGGATGTTCTTCGCGCGGTTGGCGTACCTTAGGGTGTTTTGCGTCTCGTCGAAGTGGGCGCTGCTGGGGCTGACGCACACAATCATGACGGTCTTGCAGTTCCCGCCGAGCGAGAATTTGAGAAGTCGCGTTAGCTTGCTGTTTCGGTAGGGAACATGGTTGCGCTTCCTAGGGTCGCAGAGCGCATTGATGCAGCTTCCGAGGGCCAGCAAGGACTTGTTGATGTTGGCGCCCTCCATGAGACGCTCGCCTCGATTCTTCGTTGCGCTAGCGCGCTCGGAGCCCGCAAGATCGATGATGCTGAGGGTGGCCATAGTATGGGGTTCGCTAATGTCTGCATTGCGGTCACGCTGGGCGATATTGATCTGCAGCACGGCGTGGGACCGAGAGGATGTGGCGTTGGCTGCGGTGGGGGAGACTGTGCGGTACTCGTTACCGCGGACAATTATGTCCATAACCTCTTGCACGTCCTTGGGGTGGTGGCTCGTCAGGCCCGCAACGGTGACGGCGTGGTTCAGGTCCTCTCGAAGGGTCAAGCCCTGCTTGCTGCCGCCAGGCACGAGCAAGTCACGGATGGTCTCATTGTAGATCTCGAGGTATGACAACGACAACTCGGTGACCTTGTCGTCGCTCCGCTCATGGATCTTCTCGAAGAGTTCTTGCATTGTCAGAAAGATGATGCCAGGCTGCTGAGGGGTTCCAGTAATCGTGTGCGTCTTGCCACATCCGGTGGCACCGTAGGCGAATACCGTGGCATTGTAGCCGTCAAGGACGCTGTCGAGGAGCTGCTTCGTTGTGCCCTCGTACACTTCCGTCTGCGTGGCGTTGTCATCGAAGATGCGGTCGAAGGCAAAGACTTGGTCCTTGACCTTCTTGCCGGCGGGGACGACGGATCGGGAGAATTTTTGGACAGGGTTGTCTTCTGGAGGATCAAACACCCTTGCGGAGGTTAGCACATAAACAAATCGACGTGCTCCCCCTCAATCCAGCCAAACCGGGAGAGGGGGCGAATTGGTTGGTGACAGAGAGAACTATCTACTCACAGGCACCGGTCGTCAACGACCTTAATTACTGATCGGAGGCCCCTCTGGTGTAGTTTCGGCGCCGGAGCAGCGGCGAGCGAGCCGTCACCTAGAAATACCGTGCTATCATCTGTCCGAGCTCTTGAGCATCTCCAGTTAGCATTACCAATGCGAAGCAGCAGAGTGCCAGAGAGACACTAGGGAGGGCGAGGGAAGTCTCTCACAGTTGAGCCGCTTCTCTAATTGTGAAAGGACGGACACGAACAGTGACCGAGATCGAGGACGCTCCAGGGCCAGGCGCCATGATGGATTCGCCCGGTTTGTGCTATCGTTCGGTTTCGTCTGCAGCTGCGTGAATGGAAGGGTGTTTGGCGGTGAGAGATACGAAATAACGATTTGCTTTCTAGATTAGGAACAGAACAAGAGGGTTCGATGTTGATGCGATTTCTTAGGTTTCTTCCGAAATGATGCGAGAAGAAGAGAATCAATTGGTGAAGGAAAACATTGTTTTGCTCCTGGATCCTTTCTCGGAGTTGTTTTGTTTCGAGGAACGTTGCTGGATGAAGCTCGGAGGGAACGATGGGGCTGGTCAAGGATTCACATTGCAGGCAGGAGCGGTCAAACTCCTGGTCTCTTTTCGTTGACCTTTGTTGACGTGTTGTATTCTTGGGCGTGGAAAATGCCCCTTTGCACCCCTGTCAACGTTGCTGAGGGAACGGTTTCATGGGAATTTTAGTGGGTCTTGCGCCTGGGAGCAGCTGGAGCATGAGTGGCTCGCTGGACGGGAGGGGATGTACCTTGGTACATAATGACTAAGCGGACTTTTTCTTCATGTCCACTCAATGTTACTCATTCAGCTTCCTCGAACCTTGAAATCGGCGATGCAGAAGGATAATCTGTTTGCTGGCCTCTCTTCTAGAATGATTGTTTTCTTGTCGTGTGTCTGCCTTCACGGAAGTGCTCTCTAACTTCAGATCCGTGGGTTCCTCTGCTGCCTGCATCCACCGCCCGTTCTTAGCAACCATGGATAACTCATCCCATCATCAATCCCCGACCAAACATCTCTCTCCCGAGCCCAGACTCGATGTGCCCGTCCAGTGTTCTAGTGTAACAGAACCAGAGCGAATACCACTTTTGTATTCATGGGTCAACTCACGCTGTGGAGATCAGATGATCCCGATATTTTATTTTCCGACAGGCCCCGGAAACCGGGTGCAGTCGAAGTGAAGAACGAACTTCCTTGTATTGAACACTTTCTTCCCGAGTGCCTCACGTATCGAAATCAAATGCAATTTTCCCCAAACATGACACTTGTGCCGAGAAAACCCTCTCTCCTTGTCACCGAAACGACTACTCTTTTCGTAAAAGAAGAAAAGATAAAAAGAGGAAAAGAAGAAAAAAATATGTAAATACAGGAGATGAAGAAAAAAGTTAGCTTAATCGCAAGCAATCATCGGACACGCCATATCAGGCGGCGCACACCTCCCACAGCTGGCATTACAGCACACCAATCCCTTTCCGCAAGTATTACCACCGCATGGGGAAGCGTCCTGATCCACCTCCGGAATTTCAGGCTCAGGTTCGGGCTCATCCTCCTTGGGAGGGAGGCATAACTTCTCAATGCATCCCTCACCGGGCTTCGTGCAAATACCACAGCTATCGTTGCAGCAGACCTCGCCCTCTGCACAGACGCTGCGACCGCAGGGCACGGGCTCGGGATCGGGGAGGCAGAACATCTTGATGCAACCCTCGCCGGGCTTGGTGCAGATGCTGCAGCTGTCATTGCAGCACACTTCGCCAGCGTCGCAGATTTTCTTTCCGCACTTGACAGGCTCTTCAGGTTCCTCAGGTTCCTCGGGTTCTTCGGGGATGTCTCCGCACCACATCTCGATGCATGAGCCTCCAGGAGGCGTGCAGATACCGCAGCTAGGATTGCAGCAGACGTCTCCACTCTTGCAAGTAGTGCTGCCACATTGAACAGGCTCCTCGGGTGTTTCGGGCTCCTCTGGAAGCCGGGGGACCTCAGGCTCGTCCCCACAGAAGAGCGTGATGCAAGCTTGGCCTGGCTTGGTGCAGATGCCGCAGCTGGAATTACAGCAGACGTCTCCCTTTGCGCAAGTGACCTTTCCGCACTGGACCGGCTCAGGTTCGGGTTCAACAGGGACATCGGGTTCCTCAAGGCAGAATTGCATGGTGCAGGGCTGGCCTGGCTTGGCGCAGATACCGCAGCTTTCGTTGCAGCAGACCTCTCCCTCTGGACAGGTCTTCTTACCGCACTTGACTGGTTCAACGGGAGGTTTCACGCAGAGCTGCTTAGTACAGCCCTTCCCAGGTTTGGCGCAAATTCCACAGCTTTCGTTACAGCACTCCTCGCCCTCGTAGCACTGGTTGGGACCACACTTGGGACCGGTCTTGGGACAGAGCTGCATGGTGCAGCCCTCGCCAGGCTTGGTGCAAATGCCGCAGCCGTCATTGCAGCACACCTCGCCGCGCCCGCAGGTGACTGGACCGCATTCTTCGAGCTTGATGGGGACGCACTTGGCTTTTCCGTCGATGACTTGGCACTCGGTGTCTTTAGTACAGCGGACGGTGGCACAAGGGGTGATTTCGCCAGTGGAGGTGTCGGTGGGTAGAGGATTGGCGAGCGGGTTGGCGAGTGCCCCGGCGACGAAGGCCGCTAGGGCGATGCGTCGGAGGGTGAGCATGGTATGGTGATCGGGGTGGAGGGATGAAGCGAAGGTGGTTGAGCGGGAGGGAATTGAACAGAACTGAGGTGAAGAAGGAACAATACAATTCAACAATATTGAAATCTTCGTCTGATTATTAAAGCATGTCAAGGGAGAAGTCCCTTCAGTTGTTGAACACCTGATGAGGAAAATTAGACTTGATCCCGATGGGGAAGCGGGCGAACCGGCTGATTTATATATCCAAGAAGAGATCCGGATCTTTAGAGTAGTAGAACAGAACGACGGATATTGATGGATATATTGGCGATGCAATTACTTTACGCCCCCGCCCCCTAAACGTACTGTCTAAGCCCTCCGTCACGGGTCCGTCGAAAAAGAAAGGAAGCGATGGGGGCAAAAATTAATAAACAGAGAACTCTATGATTCCTAAGAATAGGACTGGATCTACGAAGTACATTGTTCGCAACGGTGTGGATGTGCCGCTACTGCAGAACCACGGGACTCGGGAGAGGGTTAATTGTCCCCTGCAGCTGAATCTCTCTCTCATTGAGGTACAGAAACAGACCACCACTTAAAGGAGAGGATCAGCAGATTCACTCAATTGGGTTGAACTGGAATGTGGAGCTGCCGATTGAGTGAGACGTGCCGCCGATCACTCCGTGTTGAGCTTTTACGAAGTACGACGGAAAGCACTCAGGCCTCCAAGACACTGAGTGGAATGGCTGATCTTACCCTGGCAGAAGGCTGGGCATGCATGGCTAGCTAGGCCGAGCGAGAATCGCAATCAGGCCCGGACCAGATGCTACATTGATATTTCGCGTAGTTTATGTCTGTTGGTGTCGTGAGGGTCCAATGCTGGCGATGACGTCCTCTCAAATTTCCTCCAATAGTCGTTGTTCGATGGCACAAATGAAAAGGGCTGTTACTTTTTTTGGTTTCTTTTTTGATCTTCTGCAAATCCCAGCTGTTTTCTTGGCCTGTCCGAAATCGCTCCCAATTTCACACTTCAAACTCTGGAGTTCCTGCGAATGTGCTGCGTTCGATTTGTTCTTTCCAATTCATTGATTTGGACATCCTTGGTAAACGAAGAACATCAACAAGGGCTAGGAAGGAGGGCGTGGTCAGCCAGCCGAGGACCTGTATGGAAGCAGACAAAGCTCCGAGCAGAGGCTTAAGTTTACGGCCTCCTTAGACTGACTTGTGTTGATCCCGTCAGCTGATGGCTTGCCCTGCCCTGCCTGTCTCTCATTCGGCTTCCTCGCCTCAGGACCTGAATTCACTTCCCTGGTCTCCGACTGGCCTAATCTATGAGTTGCAGATTATCCCAGCCGCAAGATTACTGTTCCCGGACCCGCCTTCTGCGCGCTTTCGTCCTAACCCTAGCTTGATGTTTTTACATATCAAATCTATCCAAAGAAGTGAGATGAGTGACCTTCGATTTTGGGGCTGATTGGGCCGCCGAGCCCGGAGGCATAAGCGTGGCGAAGTGTAGGGCTGTCCAATCCTTGATAGATCCCCGTCATCTCATCTTTCCCGATGCACTGACCGCAACCCCAGGAAGACATCAATTCGAGGGATTATTAATCGCTTGGTGCAGTCCGACGCCAAGTGAAGTCTGACGCATCGCGACAGCGCCTTCGGAAGTCTCATACCCCCCATGCCTCGAGGCGCCATGCATGCTGAGGCGGGGGAAGAGACACGAATGGGACAACACACAAGACATTTTGCGGGTCAACGCAAATATTACGATGGTCAGAATTAGCTCGACACAGTCGCATTGAAACTCGCCAGCCCGCGAAGAAGACAGGTTCCCGCGTGCCAATCAGTGGACATCTGCAGAACATTGTGTAAGTCTACGGCCTTTCAGCGAATAATCCCGTTTTCTCGCCTAGTTTCTCCACCAAGACCATCCATCGTGAACCGGGCCTGACCCCCGGCATCTCCGGTTTACAATGAATGGTGGGAAGAGGTTTGCTGATGATCCTACGCAAGGAGCTCGTCTTCTTGGCTGTGGCGCATATTCTCTCCCTGCGTCTTACAGGGGCGCTGTGCAAAGCTTGAGAGGTGGGAAATAGGAAAAACACCGAGAAACATTGTGCCTCTACGAGGAAAAACTAATAAAAAAGCACAGAGAGCCTCGACCCGGCCCCGATTCCCATTTATTTGAAAGAATACGGTGTGGATGACAGGCTACTCGGGACAATTATTTCGCCCATCTTACTGGCAAATGTCTGGTATTTTGCTCATGACTCGGTCTGCGTCTCAACTTCCCCGCCACTGATATTGAGATTGTCTCCATGAACCATGACCTCACTTACTCCTTTACCCTAGCATGCCTTGCGCCCCCATTGGCGAGAATTATGGATGAACATACTCTGGATGCAGGTCTTGGCTGCTGTGAAAGTTTCTCGTTCTATTTTTACCGGTTCTCGAACCGCTTCAGACAGTACCAAGAAACTGGCGAATTGCTCAATCTGGGATTCCCTCTCTATATTCTAGCTCGTCACCATGGAACCTGTACCTCGAACATTTGGCGGATATCACCGAATTTGATAGTCACTGGAGTCTCTGCTCGCCCTTGTTGTCCCATCTTTCCTCTTCCGTTGTTTACCCCGACTGATGAGAACTCTAACCCGCCAAGTGATCCTCAAGCACGTCACTCGTCACCCCTCACATCCCTCCCCTTCCCCCCAAGCCCGAGGGCTGGCAAATGTGAGTGTGTTGGTATGCACCAAATATCCGCTGCATGTCTATCATAGCGTCCACTCTCGGGAGTTTGGATCTCCGCAAAAATGAAGAATTTCCGGAGGGCTTGCATGCCTAGCAGTGAGAGACTCAGATGTTAGCCAGAGAGAGGGCCTGTCAGCTCTCAGCTACTACAAGTTGTTCAAGATGCCTTTATTATGCTCTGCGGTTCAACTTCAGCCAATATTCCTCACCCACTGCACAGAGACAAGGTTGCCGTGCGCTACTGTAACCCCCGCATGTGAGGCACGTCTGGGGTCGAGGTTTGACCCAGCCTCTAGCTGTAGCATGATGCAGCTGGCGACAGAATGCTGTGCTGCCATTAATTACCAGCGAGAACACCAATCGCGGTGAATTACCTTGGTACTCTCTCCCCATATCCGATCATGTAAGGGGATGACTTTAGTCGTCGAGGGCTGTGCAGTGGATGAAGGCATCGATAGCTTCCCGGAGGCCCGATCACCCATCCTATGTCTTTTTACAGTCCCTGGATCTCGGAGCTGCTTGCACGTTGATCCAGTAGATAGGGATACGTGCTGAAGCGCTGATGTGAGTGGGGGGATATTTGCCTCGGCCATTCCTCAACTCATCATGCTCTCCGCCGACATGTCAAGTGGACTCATTCTCGCGACGATGTGGCGTCTCCGCCTTACAGCCTATGATTACTATTTCTCACCGGCCTTCAATACTAAGTAATCGACGACCGAGCGTCGGGATGTGGGTGGGGCAGTCAGGATAGGTGCTGACATCGAATCTCGCCTCACCCGCTTGAACTCAGACCGGGTCTCACATCGGTTTGCCATTCCGTAAGAAAGCCCTTTGTGTGTTCCTGCTTTGCTTTCTGTTGATCAACCAACCACAAAACCTTGCGTTCCTCTCTTGAACCTTCACCCGATGGTGGAAGAATGCCGACCCTCATCAACACATGCCGCCCAGGGTGGGCGAATGTCATCGTTCATGTCAGGGCCCTTCCGTCTACAACATTTCCGAAGGAGATAGCTATCATTAATATCATATATCTACTTCGAAGACTTGACCAGGGTTAGTACTTCAGTGACCCGAAACATCTCAAAACTAGCACGCACCAAACTATGGATAGTTTTCGCTGCTCTTGGCATGGGTGAATACGAAGAATGACGATGATCATTACCCACTTTTGTTTTCCATTTTCTTTTTTCCGGACATTTCTATTTTTAGATAGATGAATGAGAAGCCCCGCGGCCCCTCGATCTGGGGTGCTCCTACTTGCTCTGTTTGGCTCCGTTAACCGAAGTTTTACAACTCTAATTCCCGGCTGGACAAGTGCAGTTAGAGATCGACGTTCAATCTATACATGTGCACCATATAATGCACTGAAAGAAATGGGGAGTGATGAAAGTGAGAGTTGTTCTGTCCTTAATAAGGTCATGAAAAGCGTCTTCCTTGAACCTCCTGACTAGCTTGTCCCGAGCACACCTCCTATGTTGATATCGTTACTTTGAGCTGAAGGGGAGAATGATGTGATCAAGGTGTAATGCTAGAGTCTCGCCCGAGGTAGGGAATGCTCAATCTACGATTAACGCCCAAGACTTCCAAACAATAATATGTGAAGTAAGGATATCATTAATGTGAATGTGTGACCGAAAGATCCCAGCTCAAGAGATGGTTTGAAGTGGACAGCTGTCAACCAGGTGGTCCCGTCCGCTCCTGCTCCGATTCCGGGTTAGTGTCGCTCTGCCACGTGTTGACAATGACACGGATCCGGAGCGCGGCCCGACAATGCCGATACGAGGAAAGGACCGGTGGGGAAGTGGACCTCGAAATCACTAACCACATTTGCCACGTTGAAATGTGTAGGACGCGGTTGTCTGTCTGACTTTGTCCAGGGCAGGGCGTGGCTGTTGCCCATTTCACCTTCCCCGCTCTTCTGGGTTTTCGGCCGGTCTTCTCCAAAACTCAATCTCATTGCCATTCTATAGAGTCACACCCAAGAATCATGGCGTCCGGATCCAACACTTGCGTTGTAGAGCTGACCGATTATTCGGTGCTCCCCGCTCGGCCCTCTCCGACCAAAGACGGGAAGTGCTTTTCGGGGACCCGAGGGGCCGCTCGCTTGGGTTCTTCGACTCGGACCGGCTCCCGATCTAGTTCCCGTCCGCCAGCGGAACTCGTCGATTTCGAGGAATTGGGAGGCAGTGGTCCCGATGGACCCGTGGTCAATGCTGTTGAGAAATGGAATTACCCTCGTATCAATGCCTACCGCGTACCAGCCACTTTTTGGAGTCTGCTGGTCATGGGTGCTAACGATGCAGCTTACGGTGTGAGTTAATGATCGAGCCCGCGAAGAAAGAAGCTCCTTGAAACTGACGTCTTTACTTCTTAGGCATTGATTCCCTACGTAGGTTTCCTCCGAGTCTGCGAGATCTTAGTTGTGATTAGGAGCAGTCGCTAATGTCTCCATAGCTGGAGAAATACTATGATCTAAACTACACCATTGTCTCTCTGGTGTTCTTGTCCCCATTTGCGGGTTATGTCGCCTCTGCTATCATGAACAATTGGCTCCATCTCAAGATCGGACAGCGAGGAATCGGGACGATATGTGGCGCCTGCCACCTCGCAGCCTATGTCATCATATGCTTCCATCCCCCGTATGCCGTTCTTGTCGTCGCTTTTATCCTCGCCGGTTTTGGCAACGGCATTGGCGATGCTGCTTGGAATGCCTGGGTCGGTAACCTGGCCAAGGCGAGTGAAGTCTTGGGGTTCATGCACGCTTTCTACGGCGCAGGAGGGGTTTTAAGCCCGTTGATTGCGACGACCATGATTACCAAGGCGCACTTACCGTGGTACACTTTCTATTATGTCATGGTAAGTGTTGAGTGTCCTGGTCTTTTTTCTACAGCAGCGGGTTAGTTTCGAAACTCGATGCTGATTTCGAAATCTTCTGTGTAGATCGCGATGGCTGCCATAGAACTAGTCGTCTTGCCCTGGTCCTTTTGGGGTTGCACTGGCGAGGCCTACAGAAAACTCTACCATCAAGAGCACGGCACGGAAAACAAGACCGGACTGAAGGATGCTCTGTTCAAACGACCCGCAGCCCGGGTTTCCTGGCTCTGCGCCGTCTTCCTCCTGGCCTATGTCGGTGTCGAAGTCGCCTTGGGGGGATGGATTGTCACCTTTATGATCCAGGTCCGGGACGGACACGCCTTTGCTAGTGGCATGACAGCAACTGGATTTTGGCTCGGTCTCACGGTGGGTCGTGCAGTTTTGGGATTCGTTACCCCCCGCCTAGGTGTCAAGCTGGGGATTTCCGTAAGCCGTCCTCTCTGCCTCCGTCTAACGCAATAGTACAAGTTTCTAACAATACTTCTCTGTATAGGTCTACATTGCCGCCGCAATGGGCCTCCAGATTCTCTTCTGGCTTGTGCCCAACTTTTACGTCTCGGCGGTTGCGGTTGCCCTCCAGGGTTTCTTCATTGGCCCGTTCTTCCCAGGAATCGTGCTTGTTGCGAGTGCCCTGCTTCCCCGTCACCTGCATGTCGTCGTGATTGGTTTCGCCGCCGCTTTTGGTGGATGTGGTGCTGCGGTACTTCCTTTCGGAGTGGGTGCCCTGGCCCAAGTGAAGGGCGTGCAAGTCTTGCAGCCCATCATCTTGGCTTTGCTGGGGATTTTGCTCGCGCTATGGTTGTGCTTGCCTCGAATTAGCAAGAAGAAGGAGTAGGCGGAGAAATACGATGAGCATGCTCACTCCTGGGGTTTGACGGCGTATAAAACTAGAGTCGGTATTATTCGAAGTCACAAGCCAATGATGTATCCTTCACTGCATCAATATAAAATGATATACTAATGCCTTTGAAGCTTCATCAATATGCAAAAGAAAAATGTCCGAGTTTTTTTACTCAAGTTCTTGAGTTCTTTGTTCGTCATCCTCACTTTTCCCATTCCTCAGCCCCATACATGCCGTTTATCCTGTGTCGAATATCGATTACCACTTCCTCCCGCCTGTCCCCTCCGCAACAGCACGCAAGCAGCAGGAGAATCGGAACAATGACAACAATCAACGCAACCACTAGAGTAGTTATGAACAAGAGTGGATGAGAGACGGCCCTCGTAGCGAACATCGCCACCAACATCCAAAACCCAACACCAAGGATCTGCTTATCATCCACATCTCGAAGTCGGAGGGTATCAGGAATATATCGCCCAACTTCATGGTTGATGATCCCAATAAAAATACCAATGCAAGTCACGAGAATCATCTCATCCACTAGTTCGATGATGAATACCGGCTTTATGAAACCGGAGCCGGTCCAAGCTGCCACAGCGAGTGCCCCCACGTTGAGGAAAATGGAGATGATGAGCAGGGCGAAGATAGCCGCCGCTAGTCTGCTCGTGAATGCGTGATCGACACCCTCCTCGTGAAGACCCTCGATACATTGGTCGAGGATGGCGGCTTGGTTTCCGGTTGCGTTGGCTGCGATTACATCGGCTTCGAATAACGTGACCCAGTTCACTTTTAGAAGTCTGTTTTCGCAGGCGGTGGCTTCCTTTTCGATTCGACACGCTCCTGGATAGCAGAAAAGGGAGTCAGAGAAATGAACACTACCGCCCGGCCGGGTGTGGTACGTCAATGACTCAATATTGAAGCTTACCCGAGAGACCAATACGGTAAGAATCTGGGATGAAAGGCTCGCTGGCATTATAACACTGTTCGCCCAGCATCTTTTGCAGAAAGTCATGGTCGGCGTTCATTAGGCTGTAGTTGCTTTCCGTCGGAGTTCGGCAACTTGCGAGGACGCAGATTGTGAGAGCGATGATGCCTTTCGGTTTCCAGTGTTAGATCTCTTCCGTTGGATTCCGTTGGATACCATGGATTGTTTTTCTACGTACCAATGTTGCAGACCAGGGTCCACACTTGGGACAGTTTGGGAGGCCAAACTCTCAACGCCATTATGATTGTCGTTAATAGGGATGGGCTCGGAGGGAGAGATGGAGCGAGGTATTAGTGTGGATTTCAAACGCCTAGTATGTCAAGTGTTACAAAACTCGAGAATGGATGGAGTTAAGAAGGAATGAAGGTCTCCAACCAACACTGGAAGACGAGAAGCGGATAATATAATCATAGTCATCTTTCTGAGGTGACCTGTCTCTGTGCCCCTGGAACTCGCGTCCTGCTCATTTAACGAAGCGCCTGCTTCACTAATAAGATTAGTTTTGTTGGCGCCTGCACTGCTTCGTCCTGCATTCAGCTCGAAGCGGGCGGGTTTCAAAAAGGGCCTAGCCCGCTTGGCAGTCGCGCTGATTTGTTGCGCCCCGGAGAGTGGCGTCGGGTTAAAGTTTGGTTGTCACGATCTGTTCCCGTGCAAGTGCGGGATGTGAATCCACATGTTGGTTCCCCTCCAATAATAAACCTGGCCGGTATGTCGACGTTTTTTTTCCCACCATGGCGGTGTTTTGAAGGGGCAAGGCCCTGCACAGTTGTCGACATTTACCGATGATGATCTCGTCATCCTGCCGGTTCCCTGATACGCGATAATCCATTCTGTCCTTGACTGAAGATAGCTCCCCTGTGGATAAGGCTTCAGCCCGCGACAACCAAGGTCGGTGTTCATGGAATCGCTGGTGTCCTAGGAAATATGGAGTAATAAGTGTCGTGGTTTCAGCCTTCGGAAGGGTGCTCAGTTTACCAGATCCGCAGCTCGACTGGGGGCATCAACTATTAATATGCATTGACCGATGCATCCTGCAGTCACCCCAACAACAGCCCCTGTTAGTGGTCGACATTGTTTCGTCAATCTGCATATTCTGCAATCCGGTCCGCCAGGCTGCGGCCCCGCTCCTTCAATTTCCCTCTGCACCATGTCGCCAGTCACCCAGAATCCCCAATTCTGTCGTAGTTTATTATCTTAGACATCGTTATGCCAGTCACCCACGATCGCACTGGGATCTGAGTCTCAACGCTGTGGTTCACCATGGCCGAACACTGGGAGTTCAAAGAGCATTGGCGGAGTTCTCGCTATCATACGGGAGACATCTACCAAGAGAGCCGGCAACAAGAGCGACGAAAAAGCTGGGAGGTCTCTTCGTGAGTTCATTCAACTTAGGCCGATCCCGAGACTGGCTTGGCTTGGGCGGCTTTGCTAACACCTCTCCTTAGACACGATGCCGGTCCTTATCTGAACTACGTCAAGAGGGTTTCGTTGAAATGGCCAAATTTGAAGCCCCTGGCGGATTTTATGGAAGTTGGGACCGACCCGCTTCGATGGCGGAATTTCTTTGGAGATGATGCCAGAAATGCCTATACATACCCGGGTGATGTCGATAAGAGAAGTGAGCTGAAACCACATGGAGTGACGATCGGCTTCCCCGAGGCTGACTAGGTGGTGGAACTTAGAGAAGGACCAAGAAGAGCGAGTTCGCAGGACAAATGTGTGCCAACTTGAATACTTGAGCGACGGCGAAGTCGCCCCTCCTATCAGGTATACGACCCCAGAAGATCTTCGCAGGGCTCTTTCAACTCTGGATCGAAAAAGGCAAAAGTCCGCGCAAGGCGAGGTCATGCTCAAGCTCTTTGTTGTCGAGGACCTCTCACGTGAAGTTATCGAGACGCTTGGATATCACCTCGAGATCGAGCCGGATTTCTTCAGGGCTCACATCTATGACCACGTTTGGTTCAACATCCGGGATCCCTTCTGGGACCCGCCAAGCTTCCAGATGGATATTCGCCGCAGAAATTGGGTCCAAATCCGCTTCTGTAGAGCTCGGTATTTTCCATCACCCGAAAGCCTCCGCGAGGGCCAGGATGCTGCGAACAGGTTTAATGTCGGGAGGAGACTCTACGATGACGAGAACAAAGTGTACTGGGACAGAGACCCAGCAAAAAATATCACCAACGCTACATTAGCCCTCAGGGAGTGGCTAACAGTTCATTTAAAAAATTTGAGGGCCCAGAGCATGCGGGTCGTGAGGCGATCCACCGAACTTTTTCAAAAGTCACCGGGGAACAAGACGCCAAACATAGAAGCCCAGCGTCATGCATTAAATGAGCTACCACGGACGCCAGGAAACGATGACTGGATAAAGGGTACTGCGAAAGCCACGGATGAGGATAGGGTCGACGGACGAGTTGGGCTGATGAGGACCAGAGTTTCCTTTTGGAAGAAGAATTGCAGGGTTGGTGAATGCGATATTGGTAGGCAATCCATCTTTCTTGGAACTGGACGTTGTTTGAAGTGGAGTTCTGATCATCCGCCCGATTCTAGGGGTCTTATTACTTGACCCGACTATCAAAGCAGGATTCCAATTGTGGCGAGGGCATAGAAACTGGAGTCCGCTCCCGCCAGTGAAAGCTGCCCCAGTCCAACCAAGCTCCAAGTCGGCAGAAAGCTCCGACGAAGCGTCATTTTTCGAAGATTTTATAGCCTGCGCGCAAAGAAAAGATGAAGCCCTTGGGGACAGGGAACCTACTACATGTCCGGCCCGTTGTATCCCCACCCTAGTTCTTCTTCGTCTTGTCGGCGCCGAGTGGCTCACGGTCAGCCAGTACTTGAAATCACGTCTCTCCGCGATAGACTGGGAAGTTGCGCACCCAAAGGAGTTTCTGGCCCAGGCCCAAATTGATACCGTGCTCAGGAAACTACACAATTGGCGTCGTTGGGTTCCTGTCTTCCGGGAGATGCTCTTGGAGGCAAAGCCGCGACTGTCCCAGCTTGAGGACCTTGATTGCCCGCCCGGCAGTTTCGGTTTCGGAAGGGTGGAAAAACTCTTCGAACCCTATGCAGAAGAGTTCGCCTATATGTTAGATAGGATGGAGGACTACGAAAAACGAATCGACCGACTCACAACCGTGGTCGCGTCGGCTATCAGCACTGCCGATTCGCGGCGTGTCGAGCAACTGACACTCCTCGCAACTTTATTCGTACCGCTGAGCTTAATCGGCACCTTGTTCTCGATGTCCGAGGACATTGCTCAAATCCGGGTTACCTTCGCTTACTGGGCAGCGGCGTCTCTGATCTTGCTTTTGGTAATGGTCGCATGTGCTCGATTAATCAGTTCTCAGGCGATACAGAAAATAAAAGGCGCTTAAGCGCACAGCCTTATATACAATCCAATTCATTTTTAGTTTAGCAATAGAAGGGGGAAAGAGCCAATATTTTGTTCTAGCGCGGGGAAGGGGGCTTGGTCGGTTTAAGCTCCCTGGAAACAATGAGTTGGATGATGCTCCAACCCCCAATACGTCTGTGATAATCTGGCACAAGCTCCAGGATCGGTCCTAGTGCAAGTTTTGCCCAATGTCTCTAATTTTGAAGTTTATATTACCAAAGGTAAAACCAGAAGACGGATACCAGATGGCCCGCGCACACAAAGGCCCAGGTAGGCCCGGCCCATGTCGTTCGTCCCAATATGAGCCCACACAACTTTCCACCTGTTCATTGTCACGATCCGGCCAATGGAACATTCTTGAAGGGGACCTCACAAGATTGTGCTTTTACGACGTTTGTTTCCAAGGCAGGCAACCGTATCATAGTTCTCAAAATGATGCACATCCAAAAACCGCCGAGAATTGGCACGTTCAACGGCGAAGCATCTAGTCAAGGTCCAAGGTAAAAGAATCATGCGAAGCCTGAAACGGTGTCTTTCTGTAGCCCCAATACTAGTTGTAATTAAAGAGGGAGGTCGTCTTGGTGGAAGGATGTGGAAGGATAGCCTGAAATATGGAGGGCGCTGTCCGGGAGGCTAAGATTGGTCCGACTTCCGCAGCAAACCGGCGGACACATGATCTTACAGATCAGGGTTTCGGTTTCAGGTTTTTAAGTGTTATCATGTTTGACTCACTTACAGCTGAGCCATATGACAACAAAAAGATGCTATAAGTGTCACGACCAGCGTCACTTGGCTGTAAGTAGCCACTGCACCCAGCTGGTTTTACAGGTCTGAAAGAAGGGTAGTTGTAGGGCGCCGAGCTCATCACATTGCTCAGAAACTTGACAAGCCCAAACACTTACTCACCGCGCATTTTTAGGCTTCATGATTGGCTTCGGGCACTGTGACGGCCGGTCCATTGCCTTTGCACTGCGCTGGCCTGACCCCGGCACCTCCCGAGCAAAGTATTTGATCCCTGTATCTCCAGCGCCCATCCCATCCCTTACCTGCATGCAGTTCGAGCAATGCCATCCTTTCAGTCTCGGTTCCCATCTGTCAGCTGCTCTCTCTTCGGTTTACTTCCTTCCTATCGCCGCGATGGACTTACCAGCTGATAGGAAAGAGTGGGAGAAGCAAGTAGAGGGGTTTCGGCTTAAGAAGCACTGGTCTATCCACGAGAGCAAACATAAGAACTCCGGTTCCAAATTTACTATGGAGCAATTCCTTCTCCTGCGGGTTCTGTGGCCCCGACATATTAGCCAAACGGGTTTCGAGACGGCCTGTACGGGATTCATCGAACTCAATAACTTGAGGACCGCTCGGAAATTTCTGCAAAATTTGTCGTCTTGGCAGAGATACCTTGGAACCTATGATGATGAGGAATGCAGCGGGATGGACGGCCGCGTTCTGGCCAAGCACCAAGGAACATTTGCTCTCGTTCGTCACTATCAAAACCTATCATGCAAGAATTCAAAGGTGAAGCCTGAGGACTTGCTCCGGAAAGTGGAATTCACACTAGCCTCGGCTCCGAGCACGGCTGTGGCGCCGTCCCAGTCCCAGGCAGCTTTTCCAATAACTCCGACTCCGAATCGTCTTGCCACGAGAACAGCTCTTGAAGGTCTTGACGCATCCCTCGTCAAGCTGGAGCTCCGAGCCGAGGAAAACGAGGATATCAGTTGGGAAGAAATGGTGCTCTCTCCGCTGACACCTGCTTTGCCTCTCACTGGTGTGGACGCGAAGTCCTTTGGCGTGGTCGAGGACGAGCAGATTGTCAACGCCCTCATTGACTTCTTGAATGCGCTCACCTTGCACTGTGATAAGGTAAAGAGTGAATGGTCGTTCGCCCGAAAGCGCTTCAAAATGAATATTCGGGGCGACAAAACCTATGAGGCCAGAGTTGATGGCCTTCTTCGGGCGAAGGGGTCAAGAGACACGCAAATCATCGTCGAGGCCAAATCATGCCTTCGTTTCCAGACTAAAACCAACACAGAGGCCATCCTCATGCAGGAGGCGGCTCAAATGGCTGCATGGATCTGTGACCATCCCCCTCAAGTCGACGGGACCTCGGCCGGAAAGACCAGAAAGACTAGCAAGCCATCAACGTACAGGTGCGTGAGAGAAAATCGATTCATCTGTAATAGGCGAAGAGGCCTTCGGAAGGGGCTTTGACTAACCTGGGCCGCCATGTAGGCGCATGTTGATCTCGCAAGACGCAAAGGAGATATACATTAACGTCGCCAGCTTTGACTCTGACTATGTCCGTTATGTCCTCGGCGACAATGATGCAGACCTTTCGTTCCTGACGATGCAATCGTATGGGCCATTCCCGGTAAATAAGAAGAAATCCATGTCGAGGCTGGGGGAGATTTTATTAGCATTGTCGATTCAAGGTGGTTTGGCCCAGCGTCGTTCTGAAAAATAAAATAAATCGTTATCCCTGGCCTATGGTGCAGGTTTCAAGGCTTCAATTGAGTGGTTTGATTGCTTCTCGAATTCTACAGGTTTTACAAGATTTGTATATCGGTGATGGTGGTGACGACGAGTGGTAATCGATTACCTCAATCAATTTGTGAATGTGGTGCATTTTGTGTTCTGACAATTGCTTTGTGATGAATGACTTCTACGTCAGGACAATGGCTAAGACAAAAAGCTGAGTCCCATTCTGTCTAACACCAGCGCCTAATCATTTACAGAAAAAGGTGGATATCACGTGGGAGATATTGCCGGTGAGCCAGGTCACCGAAGTAACAGCCAGGTCGGACGACACAAAACATATAATACATCAATTGATCTCTAAAAAAAAAATACTCTCTACGCGCAGTCTTTCAATAATCCCTCTCTGATCCCCCTAGAAGGTGCTCAAAGCAAGAGCAGAGATCACACACCCTAGTAAACATGGCCAACGAAAGCTCGAAGCTTCCCTCCATGTTGACAACTAAGGAGATGAGGACCAACGTAAACCGATTCCTGAAGAACCTCGTCCTGAAGGCCAACAAGGACTACCGCCCTCGATTCAGCTTTGGAGAGGCCGAGGAGCGGAAAATCCGCGTTACCCCCCTCGATTTCGCCACGGGCACATCTCCAAATTGTGTTGAGCCCTTGATTCGGCCTCTCGCCCAGGTAGATGTTGAGAAGTTGCTCAATGACCTCTCTGAACCCCTCTACAAAGACTTCATCGATCCCTTCTATGACCCCGACTTCCCGGGTGCTCGGCGCCAAGAAGCGTGGTCCTTCTACGTCCTTATTAACTACTACTTGACGCAGCGTCAGGTCAAGAATCGCCGCGGTGCATGTATCATACCCGACCGCACAAAGTGGCGGGCTTTCGGGTTGGTGGTTTCTACAACTCCTACGGTATTGGGACTCTTTCTAACTAGTAGCGGTTACGCTAACTTTATCCTAGCCACAACATCACCCAACTTTTCCGATACAGCCGCGATGATATCGGTTGTGACTGGTATGTCATGGATGTGTGGCGTTACTGCACCGAGCCGCTTTTAGACCTCCACTTCGACGGATACGTTGACCCCTCGAAGCCGCATACAACCTGCTTTCTAGTCGACGAGCAGGAGTTGAAGGACGGATTCATCTCCACCAGTGAGCTGACGGCCATTTGCTGGCTTACGTGTCAGAGCGCGTTGCTCCCCGATTACGCCCACCAAACAATCTTTCCTGTAAGCCATCCTCCACCTCCTGCTGCCTTGACCATACCCCCAAGAAGACCAATCCTGCATCCTTCTTCCTACCACTAACGCACCAGCGCAGCTCACAGTGGTGAGCGCATCACATAGAACGGTTCGAATCGTTCAGGGCGTGGTCAATATATGCACCAATGACGTCGAGCTCCGGGTGTCCCAGCTCGTCCCCTTTGAGAAGGGTATTAAGGCCGACACTGAGAGCTGGCAGAATTTCCTAACTTTGCTTGGCTGGATTTTGGGAGAGCCGATCGGCGACACAATGTTGGCATGAGCCGGAGTTTGCCTCTGTACTGACGCGGCTTTGAGGGCAGACGCACCCGTCCTGGTTTCTCTCCGTTTAGGCGTGTGTTTCAGACTTCCTCGATTTTTCTCTCTCTGTCTCCCTTCTTTCCCCTCTTTCTGTTTGCAGGCGGGATATCATTGAGGGAATGCGAGACTACAACCACTGGCATTTTGTCCCAGCAGCAAGAGAACGGAACGATACCTTCTTCTAAGTTATCGCAGGGAAATACGTTCATTACTTGATTATGCTGACTCGTGTTTCTGAGAGCACAGTTCTAGAATCATTGACTTGAACATGGTGGCACTTTCACTCGCATTCCACACACTCCTTTTCTTTGAGGTTCATTCCTGTCCAAATGAAACCTCTTGCTAGACCCAAGCGGCATCTTCAGTCTAATACCGCCGGAATGAAAAGGAGTTATTCCTGGCGTGCTTCATCTTACACATCTCAGGGCAGGGGAAAAAAAAAAAAAAAAAAGAGAGCATGCGAGATATGCCCGGGTTGATCGTCGTCTCGGAGTGAAGACTATTTATAATTCATGGTGTCTGGTGGCCTCAACTTAGTTAGCTTCCGTCCATTCATTCCATCCATTCCATCCTTCCCTGGTTCCGGTTTGTTGATTCAATCTCATTTCTTCTCCCTTCCACCTCAGTAACCCAGCGCGAATCGAAATGTGGGAACGCACTGTGCGGCCAAGCCGCAGCCCCGCCACCCTTCGAGTTGGCAGAAAAAAGGCGGGCAGCCGCTGCTTCTTGCTGTCAATAGCGAAGACGAATTCAAACACGAATCTCTATACCTCGTGGCTCTGATTTCCCCGTAGAGGGGGGAGGTGAGACTATGCCAGCATTAAAAGCGACATAGACTGGCCTGTTGGTTCTTTGCAGGAAAACGTGTTCGATTAAGGTTTCTTATCAAATCTAGGTTTGGGAAGCACCTCTTGCAAAAGGTGGGAAGGTGCTATGGTACTACCGTCGATGCACAATTAACAGGCGGCACCGCCACATATTCGGTTCCAGAATACTTGCATTGGCAGTTTCTGCCTTCACGAGAATTCCTCCCTCATTTTTCGCTGTTTGAGGCCCTTGGCTCTGGAGACATGCATCTCGTCCTTTTGCCACGTCAATTTTCCTCAGCATCCCCATCCAGATCGTCGAAAATATCTCCTAGATATTATACATTAATTGTACACGAAAATTAACTTCCCATGCTTTCTTCCGTGGTGAAGCATGGAGGAGGTGCAAGAACTCAAGCAACTCGCGTCCGCTCGGTCTCACGTCCACCGTCACGCTGCCTCAGTTCGAGCTAAACTTAGCATGCTTTGTGGAGCCATCGCAGCCCCACATATGTATCGCAGCCCAACTTGCAGATATGGCGGCGACTGGCAAGGACTTTCATGAGCTGCCCAGACCCGCAGTTGAGAGGTTATCGTTCACTCGGCCGTTAGACAATAAATCGTCCCCCTCACAAATCTCCGTCTCTGTGACATGAAAATGCATAAGCTTATACTGTGACGCTTCCCAAGGGTGAGGACTATCCTCTCTCGACGAGGTGCATAATAGAGATCTTAACTGAAATTCTGGTTACCCTCTGCCCTAACTTAGAGAGATTGGACACTAAAACTAGATATGGTCACGTCTTGCTCTGCTACTGCTTCCGGAACACGTCGGTGCCCCTCTTCCATGTCATGGTTAGACCCGCAGACACGGGGTTTGGGCATGAAATTTGATGAGCTGGTACATCTTGGAGCTGCGGCTCCCCGGATTCCGATACTCTTCTGGCATTCGGTAGCAGGCTGTGACCCGATGGAATCCGCCTCCTCAATATTACAAGAGAGCATCATCTTGGCTGCGGGTTTGGAAAGTGTGCTCAGAGGCAGTCCCGGCTTGGAGACTATTGCAATTGAAGCGAGCGAGGCCGTTGTTGGAGACAAGGAATTCACATCCCAGCAGGAGATCTTCCAGCACGCGCCGAGGTTGAAAAGTCTCGATTTTGATATTAGTGGGTGCAACATTGCCAGCAGCGAAGATAGAGAGAGACATTATTGGACAACAGACTCCTCAACGGGTTTGGCTTGAGCATGTGAGGCTCAAGACACGCTGCCTAGTTCCCCATCTTGACCTTGACGTCATCAAGGGGACCTTCAGAGGCCCCTGATTCGAAGATGACCCCTTTCTTGCTGTGTTCTTTTAACGTTCGTCGCTCACAGGGTCCAGACACTGTCCCCTAAGCCACCTTGAAACAGAGGCGTGTGGGTCGGTTAGGCAATCGGCGAAGTGGCACTGGGTGAGAAAATGGAATCAATGTGGATCGGTTCTGTTCCCCCATCTTTTGTCCCCTCGCCTTTCGCTGCCGAAACGCTTCAGTAGCCAGCCGTTACTTATTCCTCTCTCTATTGGGCAGTGCAGAGGTAATGAATACATGGACCATTTATTTGCCAATCTGATCTATTAGCCAGTCCAAAATCTCTACCTTGCGCCTGCTCCCTGGAACATGGCTTAAAAGAGCCTTGAGCTGCCCTGTAGTCATCGCCCTCGCCGCTTGTATAAAGGGTTGAAGCTTCTCTCCGATCTCACAGTGCGATGGATCGAGCAGAATTTTGAGAGTCGGAACGCCCGCCAACGACGCTGCCATCCACAAGATGGTGGCCTTGACGGCGGGATCGCCACCAAACGCACCACAGCCCCAAGGTCCCGTAATGATGGTCCTGAATGAAAACGATGAGAATCCGACGTAAGCCTTGCGGAGATCTCTCTCGAGGTTGTGGGGTTTCAGATCGGCCAGATCTCCGCTGGTGTCTATAGCCATATCAAGTTCAAGAGCGTCCATGAACAGCATTGTCCCTCCTTTCCACCCAGAAGCCCATTCGCTGTAAGATTTCTGCCCGTCAGGTATTGGCAGCCGAGTCCAGGAAATGTTCCGTCGCTGGCCCGTGACATGTAGAGTTGATCGTGCGCCGGAGATAACGAGCACGGTATCATCGGTCAAAGTTGGTGTGAAGAGGACTGCGGGACATGACTCGGGAGTAACACCAACGTAAATTTCCTCTTGGGTCGCCGATTTCCCGAATCCAACCAGCTTGTTGGCGGATATGACGACTGCGGAATTTGGTCCTTGGACGTCCTGCCGCAAGGTGCTTGAATCGTATTCCTGGACGAATTGGACATCGAAATTAGTGAGAGACTTAGTCTCGCTGAAATCAAGATGACCCTGGTGGAGTTTGTATGTAACCTCTTCCGATAATAGAGAATTTTCGAGCAAGTTTGACGATGAGGGTAAACTCTCCAAATAATGGCATAGCGCAGTCAGGTACATCTCAGCCGCCTTTGGATGCGGCTGCTCGGGACCATACCATATACTAAAGTCATAATATGACTCTCGGTTAAATGGCGCATTCATGGTGCAGAGAAATTGGTGGACGACTAGACAGGCCACCGCCCCTCTTGACAGGCCCAATGACTTTTCGGGTGTCAAGACTGGCAGCTCTCCGTTAGGAAAATACTTGGGTAGGTCCAGGGCGACGGTTGCAAGCTTTGGCCAGGTCTCGGTGAGGAAGTTAACCCGCGAAGAGAGCAAGTCTCGCAGGGTAGAGAAGCTGCCAAGTTCAGGACAACATCCGAGACGCGTTGTAATGATGGTATCGATAATGTCGATGACATGGTCAAGTGATAAGGTCTCTCGATGAAGGAGTGACTTGACAATGGACCAGAAGGAGACGAGGCCCTCGTCATCCTCCTCTTCAGAGGAGATGCTGAAGCGGTCAAGGCATCGGTAACGAGGGGATGAAGGCAAGATGTAAGGAATGAGACAGGACTGTAACTGCGACATGATGGCGATAAAACGAATAATTCGGGGGAACCTCAAAGGTTAAAGGTTTGATGCTTTTCCTGAATTTGGCTTCATTTCATGGATGTAGGTGCCTGGAATGGATCATCGTGCTTGGATTGGCTAAAAATGCCTCCAAGTGACAGACGCGCAGAACGATTCGAGACGCATTAATACCCATGTTCTTGTCACATGACGAAGCTGAAGCTTCTGGATCGATGTAATGGCCAGCACTTTCGCTCATCAAGGAATCTACTTACACTTCCAGGTTCAAAATCGCAGATTCTCAACAGGTCGCTCTATTCGCGTCGCCTCAAGTGGCTTGTCACTGCGTTCAATTCTCAAGGACATTCAAGCACGGTCTCTGTGACGAGGGGGAACCCTGGTGACCAGGACTCCGAAAATGAATCATAACTTCCGATACCATGAGTTCAATCCTTCCTATTATGGCTATCTCCACAGTATCCATGGGACTTAGAGAGACTAGACGGCATTACGCAGGAGCTCCGTTGGTGGGTGTAAGACTGAACATCGGATTGCCGATGGCGACGATTTCGTTACGGTAATTCTCGCGTACCATTATTTCTCACGTAATAACGGGTCTTGCCATTCCGTACTTACATGCGACGAAGTCTGAGGTGATCCATGTCCTGATCTCTAATTCCACTTGCAGAGCCCATATTCTGACGGGACGAGAGGATATGACCACTTCGAGAACAAGGGGGCAGACGTAAGTTCATGTTACTCGCCTCTCGCGATTTCCTAATGCCAGGTATTTAGCCAGGACACGTTCTTTTTTCCGAAACAGCTTTGGCACCCTGACGAGAGTTCCTCACCACGAAATAAGAACCTCCTTTCGCAGAATAACCCGATATTGGATGTCCAAACGTAGTCCTCGTCTCAACATACGGTACCTCTTTGCTTTTTTCGCTCTCCTCGCTGGGCTGGTCGCTGCGGCTCCAGTTCGAACCGCATATGTTATTTCCTGCCATTTTCTCTCTCAGCTGAAAATGCATTTTCGAGATAGTTGCTCACTGTGAAGGAAGAGATACCTGGTGACGGCGGTGGCACGGCCGATTACCAGATCACCAAGAGCTTCCCGGGTGAAGTCGCCGCTGGAAAACGATATGAGGATGCTCACATGCATGGTTGAGCCCAATAGACTGTTAGTAATTCTTCGTCATCGACTCATTACGTTCCTTGCCATTTAACAACTAGCGAAGCACCAGAGTGATATCTTTTTACACAGAGGGACTTGGGGAACCGAAGTACTATTAAGACTCATTCTCCGAAAGCCTTGAGCCTCCTAGAGTGCCCTCAAGGACTCTCAAGAGGCCTAGCCATCAAAACGTCATGGTGGATGCTGGCAACGACGGGAAATGTCTGGATCAGAGTTGGGTGAATGGATTGGCCGTTCATTAATAGACGCATTGCTTATTTAACCACGCTTCTCACCTCCCCTCTTGGAGTTTGATTGTATCGGGTTTTGTTCTGTGGCATACGGAAAACGAAGGCGGCTCCAAACAAGCAGACGGGCTCCGCAGATATTATTTTCTTTATCCAATAGAATAATTTAGAGTTTGTAGTAAAGCACAGTTCACTACTTTCTACTTTTTCCTTTGGACTGCTACATATGTATACGAAAGCCGTCACTTACAGAAGCAAGCAGACCATGGTAATATTTACTGTTAACACTAACAGTTGAAATTAGTCGTTGAGCTCGGCAGTGCGCAGGCAAGAACAAGAGATCATAGACCTGCATCACTCAAGAGCCATGGCACGTAAATGCCGAACTGCAAGAACCATGGATTACGCGGAAAATTACTGATTTCTGCGAATGATGTGAGAAACTCCAATTCTTGTCAGTGCAGTATGGCAATCACCCCGATAGTCACATCTTCATTTTCCAGATCCCACACCAGTGACCTCGCTTCAGACCGGCATCTCACGCATGGCAAGGTCCACCCAATGGACGAGTTGTATCCGTGATGCCTGGTGGACAAAACACAGACACCTACTGAGGCACCCACATAAAGAGAGAGAATGGTCACAGAAAACAGAAAAGCCATGATTTCTGACACAATCAAAATGGATGAAACCGACGAGTCAATACCGTTTATCGCGGACGTGACCAGCCACGAGTCGGGCTGGGCTAGCCTCCTACCGAGACAATCGGGAGCCAGAAGACCCGCCGCCCATTTGCGAGGGACACTATTCTTACTTTTCTTGACTTCTGCAATCACCTTCGCCTTCACTTCTCTATTATGGGCCGCCGTTGTTATTCCCGCCGTTCGCAGTCCTCCAAAAGGAGGCGATAATTCATCCATCACCGAGAACACCCACCAGCCCGTCACAGCGACCCCATCCAAAAGCCCCAACTCATTCTCTGCAGTAAGACACCAGAAGAAGCAAAGAAATCCGGATGCCAGTATGACATTCTCACCAACCACTGGATACCTGCTGTCTGCGTGGACCAGGCTGCCATCGAGGAATATCAGAAGGACGGCACGTGGTTCGGGTTTGCGGACGAGGCCAAGATGCAGCAGCGTCTGACCATTTAACAAATGTCCGAGATGACGTATTACTATACCAACATGAAAGATCGCATCGCTCACTGCGCTTCGATCTGGAAGAAACAGTTCCGGGCGTTTATGGAGAAAAGGAACCTTGACGTCATTACCGCGGATGCCGAGCACACTATGCATTGCGCGGATTTTCTGGTAGGAGTGTTCGGTAAAGGGCCTGATTTCCGGTAGATCCCCATCACGGTCTGGGTCGGTACTGCAGGATGGTAGGTGAGAGGCGATTAAGGCAGCGAGGTATTGGTGCTCATTTTTGAAACTATTATTACGGCGCTGGGTGGGTATAAAACGGCTCAGCTTCACAGTCTCCAGGAATAATAATATCGGTATTGCGAAGTCTGCCACTACTATTCTTAAAATCACCATTCAATGTTGCCTTGAAAAGGGTGATCTTTACGTTTGTGACGAGATGAAGAAAACTGGTCGCTGATGTGTCCATGCGTCACTACTAACCGGCTCCTTAATTAGGCGTTAATATTGGCTCCATACTTTAAGAGCAACAATATAAGTGATTCGGAGCCGACCTCTACTGCCCTATGAAGAGGCGATAGGCCCAGAGAATCTGGTGCATCTACATCTAGCGAACCATTATCAAGTGGGAGCCCTTTCTCACTTCTTCTCACTTCTTCTCACTTCTTCTCACTTCTTCTCACTCAACCCGATTGAGCCTCATGTACTCAGGTGATATGAACTTGATCCCTATCCGATGGGATGACAATCGTGGGTAGATCATACCAATATTTGATGTCGACCACACGTGGCGCGACTACGAAGCTCTTCGGGAATGGTCTCTCGCCCGGGACGCAGCAGATCCCAGAAGATATCCCAAGAATGCAGAGAGACTCAAAGAGAATAGAGTATGAGAAAGATCCAAAATGGAACTCCTCCCAGTTTTATTTGTTACTATTAATTATTCATTTGCCCAATGCTCCCCGTAATTGATTGAAATCCATTTCGAGATGGGTGATCCTAATACTAGCCCATATATTGATGTGGTCTACCTCTTTGGATTGTAACTGGGCGGTCAATACCAATCCCGAAATTTCGGTTCATTCTTTTCTCTCCGTCGATTTACAATGCCTCGGACTTGTTATATGATGGGTTAAATTAGAAATACATCGCACTTGCTAAGCGTCGTTACTATAGAAGAAAGAAATGTGGAATGAAAAGATGTGATACATGATCGATTCACACTAGTCCCGACTCCTTGAAAAACGCTGTTGGATCTGGTTGGCGCCCTAAAAGTGCAACTATAAATTCCATTTCTGGGCGGCTTCCCCCCTTCTCCAAGAGTACGTGCCGATATCTTCGCCCCTTTGCGCCATTTTGCAAGTTCCCCTTGAAGCAACTCTCGAAGATGTCTGCGGAGAAGATGTTTGACCTCAAAGAAGAAATTAAGTTAGTGGATCCGGTCACTTACTACGGGTTGTAAATCTTACAGGAAATATCCATAATATCCTGCATGGTAGTCTCCCTTGATGAAGTTTCGATACCTCGTGTATGGGTGGCCGCATTTCTCTTCCTCGCCCAGAGTCCCAAGCCCATCCAGCGGAAAACACTCACGGTGCAAACGATTAAATGTTGCAGAGATATCCATCTTCTCGATGACTTCATGCGTTTCGGGCTGATGAATCGCCATATCGAAGAAACAGATGGCGAGCTCATTCAACTGACTTAGTGCCCTATGCACATTCTCTGCTTTTGTTAGGTTGTCTATCATGGTGTCGGGAATGTGTATCTCGGGTGGCGTGGTTGATCCCTTCGATGCTACCTTTCCCTGCCACGCGGTCAGATATTCCGGGGAGAGGGACGAGTAATGTCGGCTCAACAGTTTTAGCTGAGACGGGACCCAGCACCAGTTCTCGAGCATCTGGCTTGGTGCCTCGCCAAAGTCTACGGCTGTCCCCTGGGGCCCGTGGAAACGAGCGAAGACGGTTTTCGACACCAAGTCATGGATTCCATGGCCAAGCTCGTGGAAGAGCGTCACAACATCTCCGTGAGGTAGCAGGCTGGGAATTTTTGGAGTTGGCTTGGGGAAATTGCACAACAAGGCCACCGATGGGTAATTCCGCGTGCCTCCCGGTCGAAGATAACCCTAAAAGGCCTTGTTAGCTCTTTAAATATGCAGCCTAGAAGGCATCCATGTCCACGGAAACGACTGACTGGAACAAGAGGAAAAGTCGATGGCCCAGGCTTGAAACTCCTAGTGTAAAGATCCAAGTATAGGTAACCAAGAAATCCGGCACCACCAGTCTCGTCGTCCCAGGCCCTGAATAGTTGTACGTCTTCGTGCCACACACGCGCCTTCTTTACATCCAGAGGGATAGCATCGCTCGATATTTCTCGAAAAACGAGACCGAATAGCTGCTCGAATATCTCGAGCATACTCTTGACTGTGCTTTTCAGGGGAAAACATTCGGCAACGGCTTCGTGGTCAAGTGAATACTCGGCCGCGAGTAGCTTCTTGTTGTAATATGGCTGGTCCCAAAGGTAGTATCTGCCGTCCCAAATCTCCCCTCTGGATTCAAGATCTTTCTGTTTAACCGCTTTATACTTCTCCAACTCTTTTAATCCGAGCGGCCTCAGTTTGGCAAGCAGGTCACTGAGTAATGCATTCACAGTCTCTGGAGTCTTTGCGACTTTTTCTTCCAGCTCGAGCGCAGCGTGATTCGGATATCCAAGCAACCGGGCTGCCTCATCCCGAAGGACTACGACTTCCCGAAATAGTGGCACATTCTCTCTGCATCGATGGTCATACGCGACGCGCATTTTCTTCCTGGTTTCGCTGCTCCCAGCGAATCTTAGAACGAGGCTGACGTCCTTGAGGAATGAGGTGAAGAGCTTGCCCTCATTTTCGCCAAAACCCTTCTGAAGCTCGGCTAAACGGTCTTCGGGAATGCCCTGCAGTTCCTCCGGTGTAAACCATAGTCCTCCCTCGTTGCCTCGCGAAGAATTGTCCCCGAATTCAGCAGCAAGCTCTGTGATGCGCGTTTGGATCTGGCGGAGATGCTCCCTCTCAGTCCTTGGGAGTTTCATGCCATTCTTGATGAAATTGTGATGGACTCGGTTCAAGAAGTGCTCGGATTCGGGATCAAGGGCACTAGTCTCAATAGTATTTGTCTTCACAGCGTCGACAAGAACATAGATGTCTTCTCGCATCTTCCACTCTCGATCATAGTCATCGAATATTTTTTCAGCTTTGCTTGAAGCCTCCCGGAGCCCTTCGTCGGTCGAGACATATTGATAGAAGCCTAGGATATAAGCCTGAGACATTAAAGCGTTCTCGGCGTGTGCGAGGGGCAGGAGGACGTTGTTAAAGGTAGCGGAAGCGACATCGACCGACTCTGCTATGTGATTCAGAGCATTTCGGGATGTGTCTACCACACGCTCAGCGTCTTCGAGAATAGACTTGGGTGAAGTGGTGAAGAGAGGGGGTGCCTCAGGAGGCTCCGGTTCGCGAACCATGTTTGGGGAAGCAAGAATTGCGAGAGAGGTTCGGAGTGCACGCTGTACCACACGCAGTGGAATCAATGGCCAATGCAATCATAATGATGGAGGTAGAGAGTCGAAGCAGGGAATGCGGGGGTTTGTGATACATATACGATGTGAATGAAATGGTCTGGTGTTACACAAACTTCTCTAGTTTCGTAAGATTCCCGACATTACGGCATCGTTGATCTGTCTCAGTCGCTGAAAGAGGAGGAAGGATCGACGACATAGCGAGCCCCGAGCACATAAACATCACCAAATACGCATATATGCATAAATGATGTGGAAGTGAAATCAGTACATTTATCCGAGCCCCTTGCAGGAGCAAATCTCGAACGTCTTCGTAAGTGACAACGCCGATTTAAACAGCGGGGATCGCAGCTCTCTAACGTAAGCCTGCCGCAGCTGCTCTCGCAAGCAATCATGGCGTGTACGAGGTATTTCCCAGGAATCCTCGCGGCGAATTAGGAAAGTAGTATTAATAAAGTGGGATTATAAGCCCATTTTTCATCTGCAATATCGTCTCCCTGCGTTGGCATGTTACAGGTCATTTTCTACCTTGTTAGAGCGATGTGTAGAATGCAGTGGACACTTTCAGGCATTACTGGAGAAAGGCAGTTGATGTTAGCCCACATTGTGAATACCTTGTTGCTACCCAAGCTCCAATACTCTCACTGATGTGTTAGAGTGGTAAGACTGCTAATATTTGATGGAGACGCCAGAGCCAGTGACCCGCTATTTGTGATAGTAATCGACTCCTTCGTAAGAGGGAGAACCGCGTGCAAAAGAACATACCGGAAGTACGAGCAGCTGGATACGGACACATGGGCATTGGCTATTACGCCGGGCATGGAGACCCCTCACGAAGCCGTTGGACCACGGGAATATGCCCTGAATTGGAGACAGTAGGCAAGAGATGTATGCACCACAAACCAGAATTCTGTTCGTTGGCTCCAACGGCGATCTGTCTTGGCGCACAACGTTCTGACATGTCTCTTTTCTGCTGGAAAATGTGGAGATATTCAGCACGACCAACAGTCCAGTGTTGCACTGCAGGTCGCGGAAGGGGTTTGAGCAGCCCCGAGTGGAGTGACGGTCCGTCCCGAATTTACCAAACTACTAACAATGGTCTGAGGAAGCCCCCTCTCTCTGCTTCGAGGTTCAGGTATAATTCCCTGCCTTTCCCTCTCATGTCTCTACCCAAGAAAAGTCCACCTTAGTAGTAATCTGCCTGTTTCCCCCGGCACTGGTGTCAATCCCAGCTCTGAGCAAGATGGCCGACAACAAAGCTGCCGAAAAAGCCAGCAGTCCGCGCCGAAAGTCCCCCGCTTCTCCGACGCCGGAAGAGGAGGCAGCAGGAATTCTTCCGCCTCAGCATTGGGTTGAGACAGCGCCGGTCCGTCGGGACCCATTGCATTTCATCCGCACTCCTTTGCACATCCCCAACTAACTGGCCCTTTGTATAGAGTGAAGGTGACGATGGCGATGCCGAGTCGGCTATTGGAACTCTTGATCCGTCATCGACCGCTTCCATCTCCTGTAGTATTCTTAAATATCGCACACTGCACGGCCGGAGGTATCATAGTGAGGTGGGCAATGCGGAATACTGGTAAGATTGTGACGGGCCCCAATCGGGCGCTGATTGAAACAGACTTCATTGAGTAGCTATGGCTAAAGTAACTCGTTTCTAAGGGGAGCGAACGACGAAAGACAGAGCGAGTCGATGGATATCAAGTACGTCAACACTGCGATGCTCCGATCCGACCCAGTGCCGACGACACCCTCCTTTCGGCATTGGACCCGAAATAGAGTAGTTTTCTAACGATCAATGACTAGCCACCACACGATGACTCTTGCATGTGATGGGAAACTATACCAAGCACCCTTGGAGAAGGGTAAAGTTCGCGTAAGAATACCTCTCGATCGCTCAGCTGCACCTACCTACAGACTGACACCACCGTCGACGCATTGACCTTCCGACTAACCCTTGATGAACACAGAAAGCCCTTGACGTGGGAACTGGAACCGGTACGATGGTTTGATGATGCGTCCCGTGTGTATCCCCCGCTATTTCCATGATCTAACACCCCGATTTTATAGGTCTCTGGGCCATGTGCGTGCCATTTACTGCCCATCTGAGGTCTCTTGGGATAGCTAACAACCCACCTATCTAGCGACTTCGCCGACGAGTTCCCAGAGGCCGAAGTTATCGGAACAGATATCTCCCCAATTCAGCCTGGCTGGGTCCCTCCTAATCTCAAGTTGTATGTGAGCGCCCATCTAGACGAATTCCAAATACGCTTCAATAACGGTTACCGAGTCACTGATCGGTACTAATTTGGTACTTGTCCCTTCCCCTCTTTCCAGCGAAATAGAGGACTGCACTCTGCCCTGGACCTTTGCGCCTAATTCCTTCGACTACATCCACATGCGCTGGCTCATCGGCAGCATTCCCGACTGGTCGCAGCTATTGGCAGAGGCCTACAAAGCATGCCGGCCGGGAGGCTGGGTTGAAAGTCTCGAACCCGAGTGCAAATTCGAAAGCGACGATGACACAGTGACGGATCATACCGCTGTTGGGCAGTGGGGAAAGATTTTTGCCGAGGGCCAGAAGAAGACCGGAAGGCCGTTTACCGTGGTAAGAGAAGATTTGCAGCGAAAGGGTATGGAAGAGGCTGGCTTCGTCGACATCCAGGAGTTTGAATTTAAGGTGAAAGACCCACCACCGATCAATTGATGGATAAATTGTCAACCAGAGTTGCGATAACTAACCGCTATGCGGCGAATAGCTCCCCGCCGGGACCTGGCCCAAGGACCCGAAGATGAAGGAACTGGGCCAGCTCACGCAGATGGTAATGGAGGCAGATACCGAGGGCTACGTACTATTCATTGCCAACACGTTGGGCTGGTCGAGGGACGAAATCCAGGTCTACCTTGCCCACTTCAGGCGTGAGGCACGCCAAGGCAAGCTCCATCCATACTACCGGCAGAAGGTTATATGGGGTCGGAAGCCTGAGTGATCAACTATCACACCTAGCCAGGTCGACACGGTGGTTTCGTGAAGCGAGTAGAGGAAAAGTCGACTCAAAATTAGAAACGAAAAGCCTATAAAGAAAGTATTGCACACCCAGCATGACGTCATCGACGTAGATGGTATTGTGGAACTCTAATAGTAACTTTTCCTCCCACCTGATATCCTGCCTTAATCGATTCTGAGAGACCCTTTGCCATTCGAGGCGCATCGCTTTTCTTCGCTATCCATATTGCTTGTTGTCCTAGGCGGGAGAAGGATGCCTCTAACCGGAAAGTGTTACCGAACCAAAGGGATAATAAGCCCTGTGAATCCGGTAGAGACGGGTCAGACGCGAGTGCACTTTAACGGGTTAGGTAGCCAAGAGCAGGGTTCGAATTTTCGTTAGCAATTTGCTACCTGTTTGAGTTAAGACAAATTTAACTTAAACCAGGAGACCAAGACAGTCTTGCCCTTGGCCATCGCCTCCCTCTCTCCAGGCTTCCGCTCATCACCCCGGACGAGACAAGCATGCGCCACACCCGGAAAATGTTGGTATTCAAACGGAACCGCATTCTTTTGAAGCGTCTCAAACGTATACGACTTCAGCTCGGCTGTGTAGACCGGATCGATTTCCGGCGCCAAAATTTGAACGGGCACCGCGGACCCGCGGACCCCATCGATATCCTCCTTGACTAACAGGCTCGGATGACCTGCTGAGACGCAGTCCACAATCGGAGGTTGGTGCTCCGCGGCCGCGAGCCGGAAGACCGCCCAGGCACCATAACAGTAGCCGACCGCGCCGACTTTAGCGTGCTTAGAGCGCAGAGCTCGAGCGCAGGCGAAAATTTCGGGTTCACGGGCCTCTCGTGAATTGCGTTTCATAAAGGCGGGGATGTTCAGGTTGGCGAATTTCTCTTCCAGGATGTCGTTAAAGGGGAGGACTTCGCCGTCGAAGAAGTCTGGCACGTAGACGGTGGCGCCGACCTCGTTGGCAATGTGGTCGGCTAGTAGTCGGATGTTGGGAAATGTCCAACCGAAGAGATCGTGGACCACGAGAACGCCGATGTCAGTGTTGTTTCCGGTCACGTAGGCTTGGTTTCGGTCCGTGAGCTGTTCAACACGACCAGTTGGAGTGCCATTCCAGGCGAAGCCCTTCAGGCAGCAGGCCGCTACAGACATATTGATGGCAGCGGCGGTAAAAACTACGGGAGGCCAGCCGGGGAGGGGGTATGTGAGAAAGGGCAATAATTGGGTAATGTAGATTATTATAGATGAGGCACTATGAGGGGAAGCTTGGTCTTGAATGGATGCTCTTCTCTGCATTTTCTATCTCCGACCGGAGTTAAGTGAGCTTGCGTCAGCAAAGCCCTTAAGCCCGACAGCGTCAGACAGAGACGGCGCTTGTATGACATGCCTGGGAAGGGTAGAATAGCTAGCAAGGACCGGAGACTGAAGTCATTGCAAAATTTTCAGATTTCTTGACGAGAAGAGGGGGTTTTCTGCCCTTTCCCATCGTCGTCGGCCGGGGTTCCAGGATATCGTTGACAGTTCGACGGTGGCTCTAAATCACAGTGCATATCTCCTTCCATGGCACCGTTACCGGGCGGGGAACTCTTGATGTCAACATAATGGGAGAGCGGGTGGTGTGATAGAGGGCGCGTACCCCAGTGCGAAAGGCCTCTCCTCGCAAGTTCAAACTACCTATTTAAGCCAACTTCACCCACTTTCCACCTCTCATCTTCTGTCGAAGTGTCCTTTAGCAAAAGGGCGATCCACCCATGTCATTCTTCTCAGCCGAAACAACTCACAAATATCACATCAGTGTATATGTTTATGAGTTTTGTCTGTCTTCTTCTGGACTGCATAGTTGACCGGATTATCTGTTTGCTGAAAGAACCATGTCCAAAAGGGGGACTAAGATCGACAGCCGACGACAACCAGGAGCCGATAGAGCTACACCTCAGCCATGTAATCACTCAAAGAAATCGTCGTAGCTGTGGTCCCAAAAGTCGGTTCCTGTCTGGAAGTTATCTGTAAGCTGCGCCAGCCAGTGCTGACCAGCTTGAAAGAGGTCGGTCGTCAAAGCACCTTGGACATCCCAGGGAAGGAACGGCGGGAGCACCATTCGTCTTCCTGTCAAGACGTCAATGGCCACGGTATTGTGGTACACGTTGCTCCTGTATATAACCCTAACCATGTTAGGATCCTTGAGCCGATTCGCGAGGTCCGTCGCTTGGATCTCCATGGCCCTCTCGGGTGCCAGTTCAGAAGTAGAGTCGTAATGACATCGCTCTGAGTTGGAGAAAACAAGACGATCGTCTTCAAACTTGGTTAGGTTCAAGTTCACTATCACGTCCTTGAGCGAGGGGGCAGTAACGTCCGGTGGGAGGTCCAGCAATTTCTCGCATACATGCGAGAGGCGACAGCGGAGGCGATGGAGAGTGGGAAGCAAGGAGCGGATCGCGCAACAGATGTGCGAGTCAAGAGGGACATCCTTCCTGCGTATTATCTCAGTACCTGCCAGGTCGATTTCCAAAGAGGTCAAGTGTCGTAGTGAGATCAGTTTCACCAATGGACCACTCTCTAGGTAGGGCCGAATTCTCTTGGGGACCAAAGGGCTGACTTCTATCTTTGCCGTGATTTTCATGGAACGCAACTTTCTTGACGTCCGCATCGCTGCTGCCATAGTGTCGAGAGAGCGGTTTAGCTGAGTCGTCCATGAGTCAACGAGCTCCATCTTGAAATGTCTTTCACTAGTCGCAACTGGCGATTTGGCACTCTTGTTCACGTGGAGGACATCATAACGCGGTTGCCTCGCCGACTCCCAATTTTCGAAGCCATGGAGATTTATATCCAGTTCGTTCGTAAATTTGGAGAAGCTCTCAAGAATGTCGTTCCGACCGGGCGAGCCCAGAAGTTGTCCTAGAGACCTGGCCGAAACGGGGACTCTGCGGACAAAGACTTGCCAAGCCGCGTGGTACCATTGCTTGTACAAGGTCAGACGACGGATATCCTGGTGAAAGAAGTCGGGGCCCAGGTAATCAAAAATTAGCACTAGAATCTCCGGGGAGAGCTGAACGATCGACATTTCAAGGCTAAAGGGAATAAAGAACAATATTATTTGATTAGACTTGTTAGATTGCAAGGCGATATTATTGACATCGACACATCAGGAGAGTGGCTGCCTGGTCAAGACCCATCCCATCGTCATAGGAATAGTGGATGAATGGTGGTCACTAGACTCTGCCGAGATTAGTCAGCAAGTAACGAATCACCTCAGCATTGTCTTTTAGCAAACAAATAGACACTAACCATCAACAATCAATAACCTGCCCGGTTAGCTCAATCGGTAGAGCGTGAGACTCTTAATCTCAAGGCTGCGGGTTCGACCCCCGCATTGGGCTCAAATCCCAATGCGCCTTCTAAGAAGGCACATCCGAAATCCTTTTTTTTTTTTTCGTTTTTTTTTTCCCTTTTCCCCTTCTCTTTCTCTTCCACTTTTCCTTTTCCCCGTTCTTTTTTTTTCCCTCTTTCCTCCCCCACTTCTCTCTCCTCAGTACTCTCTTCAATATTTAGGAAGAGGCAAGTTCAGAGCCGTGGAAATCCCGGTGCGAGATTGCTTCTCTAATGCCTTAGTCCATGACGTTAGATTCCAAAAACAGGCGTGGGCCAATTTGCTGTGATCAAAAGCCATGTCTAAGAGGACGCATTGTCCAGGCTCCAGAGCAGATCGCGTCCCAAGAAGGATAATTTCTCCTTTTCTGGCAGGTCGTTTGGCGTCCGCAACGAGCAATCTTTGTCAGTCTGCATTTGCTTGATAAGATCAAATGCGATCCCTGACATGCTGGGCAACGTCCATGTTACAGTTCCCTGGGACTCGTCATCGGGCGATCTTCTGGAGGGTGACAGAGAAATCTCATGAGGCGAATTCAGCCATTTTTGTTCACCACATGAAACACCGTCGGGCGCGACCATTGTGGCCGACCTGGAACACGCCAACTATTTACCCCGGATTCGCGGCGATTCAGCGATTTGGGCTCCACCCAACTTGAAACCGATACAAGAAACGTATGGATTATTGAGGAGGCATGGCCTGATCCCGCAACGCCAAGAACAAATTGTCCGCACCATCTTGGTTTCCATTCGCGACATCTTTTGAGTGTTGGTGGTCTTGACTCATGAGGCCGAAGTAGTTTACTTGCTCATCCATGCATCTTGTGGCAGATGCATCTGTCAAAATAATATCGCCAAAATATTAGGGAGGCATTGCGCTAGAAGTGTTGCAGTCTTCGATGTTTAGACTCTCAACCTCTTATTATCAATAACAGATGAAAATGGGTGAAGATGTTTCTTCGCCCTTCTCGAACTTCCCAATCCTGGAATTCCCTGTGCATTGACATGATCCGCGAAAGTACCACCTTTTCCCCAAAACGCACAGCCGGGCCTTGCCTAGTCACCTCCCAAGAGTCCCGAGCACCGTTGCTCCGTGGCTCTGAAGAGGTACGTCATCGAGATTCCGCAAAAATTATCCCAGGTCCTTCGAAACAAGGGGCAGTGCAGACATCGATTTTATCCACAATGCCCGGCACTGAATGTGGTCCCCCACCATCGCGCTGCTCGGTTGGGATTATCGCAGACCTGCCACTGACGCCCGTCCCAAGGACAGGATGACCCACCTGGCCCACGTTGCCGTCTCAAACCGTCACACCAAGATCTGCCAAGATCGGAATGATCCCGATTACTCGCTTAAGCCTGGTCTGCCGCTCGCGAGTGGCAGCTGCTACCGAAGAGAAAGAACAAGGGGGGTCCACAATCGGAGTCTCGAGTCTCATCTTTGATGCGGGACTGCTGATGCTCGGTGACATGCATTCGACCAGGAAATCCATCAGTAGAGCCACCTTTATGAGGGTATCGAGATCGTACCAAACTGGTCTAGATCCGGGTGGGGCCTCACTTCACTGCAAGTCGGAGGCGAACCCCCACCTTTCCGATGACACGGCGATTCGCAGTGAAGGAGAATGTCCGCAGTTTGGGTTGGTAATCCGTCCTGACCCTCGACAAACAAAAACACATTATCTCGGCCCCCGGGGGCACACTTCGTTCCTTCTTTTCTCATCTTTTTTTCTTCACTTCTTCTTTTTGATATTTCGTTTCTTTTGATTTAGCCCTCCGCGAGCGCACTAATCTAGAGCTGTAGACCAGCATCTCTTCTATTCTATTTCTTTGACATATCCATTGTCATTACAACGGTTTGTCGCTGAGCAGGACTCTTTTTACCCAAGTCACTCTTTTTGCCAACATTCCCTAAGTTTCCTTCAACTGCGTCGAAGTATTTCATAGTATAATCTTTGGTCACATTGGCCACACTATGCGGATTACACTTGCTTCCATCCTCCTAGCCATTACGGCCGAGGCGGCGCCTCTCATTGCTATCGGTGGCATACCAAGTAAGTCGCTGGCTTTGATAATAATGGGTAGCCATCTAACCTCCCTGTGTAGTTCTATCAACCGTCAGGCTTGCCCGTGTCATCCCAGTAGTAGTCGGCGGCCCCCAGGACACCTTCATCCCCAACATCGTATCCGCCTCCCCCGGTGATATCATCCAGTTCCAGTTCAGCTCCGGCAACCACACCGTGACGCAGAGCGCCGCCAACGCTCCCTGTCAGCCTCTACAAGCCACCGTTCCTGGAGCGATTCACAGCGGCCACATCCCTTTCCAGGCGGGCCAGCAGACCGTCGGTGTTTTCAATATGCCCGTCACGAGCTCCGCGACGATGTTTCTCTACTGCGCTACTGGACCTCATTGTCAGACCGGCCAGGTCATGATTGTCAATCCGTAAGAGACTGAGCCGCCTCTCCCCGCCAAGATCGTCTTTCGGAAACTAACCAAACTTTGTCTTGACCCAGTTTGAGTACCGACCAGCTCGTTAGCTACTCCAGGTTGGCAGCTGGCGCTCCTGCGAATATTGACGGAACGACAGTTGCTGGTGGCGTGGTTGGTCAGATCCCGTTGGCATCTGCAGCATTCATCCCCGCTGCAGAGGAGGAAGGGCCCCCCGGAGGCGCGCCACCAGTAGGCAATGCCACTGCGACATAGGTGGGATTTGTAATAGGGTCTCGCGGGAGTACGCCGAGGGAGCACCTGCTACCTTATGAGGGGATATGAGGAGATACATACTGTACGTTTTATGAGGGTGTCCCTTTGACCAGGTGGCGTAGAATATCAATGACATAGAAGAGGATTCCGCCCGTTGTCCTCTTATCCGAAATATATGACCCGTCGGTTCTAGGTGTGATATACTCAACAGCTTTTGTTATGTGAAATTTAGGCTTTCTCACCCCCAGCCTTTTGGTTTGCTTGCATCTATTTTCTCACTAGGCCATCGGGAGACAACATGGAAGCTGGCCCAGTCAGCATCGAGTCCTCTAAACCTGGACTGTTGAGCAAATTGAAATGGTTAATATAACGCCACTTTCGAGAGCAAATAGCCCGACGACGGACATAAGGTGCTGCCGCGAGGAAGAACCAGATGCAAAGGTCTCTTCGCAGACGTCTTCCCATACATTTAATTAACCGGTTACTCTCGGATTCCAGGCGATATCTTCCAGGGGTGTCAGTGTGGACTGCCGACACGACAGAGACCTGAAAGTTCAAAGCCGAAAATGTGGATAGCTATAAACAAGTCAAATAAGAATACCGGTCCTATCTCCCGATTTATTCTCTTCTGCAAACGCTTTAATGGCATCCCAATCTCTGCACTGGTGTATTGACTTTGCCCCTGTGAATCCATATCTTGTGATCAGCCCATCTGGCCCGACTGTCTGGTCATCAGCGTAATCTAGTGTCGTGTCTCCAGCACAGAGAATGGCCTGCCTAATGTACTACTCGACAAAGTTAGAACGAACCAAAGACTCCCCATGTACGCTCTCGTTAGTTGAGGCATACTTACATCTAAACAGTGATATTCATGCCCGTTCCCCGCAAAGCGAGACTTGTCACGCTTCTCGTACTTGATGATGACATCGCGCAAAACGGCCTAGAGAAAATCAGCTCGTGCTCGGTATCAGTTGTGGCAACCGCAGACATACTAAGCAGTGGAGTTGATGGGTAACAGACAGAGAATAGACTTCTGCTTCCTCGGGGTCGTCGGCGATGGGCTCGCTCACTGGCATGTCAAATCGCCTTGGATTTGGGACCCGAACGAAGCCCGAACCATCTTCAAAGAAAACATAAAAACGTCAATGGCTACTGTGTCGCTGATGGCGCGAGCCTGTCAATGGGCCTGATATCAATTCCTACCTGGCATGAGGTCATTCCAAAGTTGATCCCCTTCCGGACCAGTGTCCTCATATTCGGTGGGGAAGTCAAAGGCGACGCTTCTCATGGGTACTACCGATAACCGTCAGTGCTAATTGACGCTTTTGGAGGGCGTTGCTCTAATCACACTCTCGGGAAGAAATGCCTGTGGAGGCAGAAGGCCATTTGCCGAAGGGATCGAAGCCGATGTGCTAGGCAGATCGGACTCATTTTGGTCGACGACCATGCCAATGATGAAAGAGGATATTGTCAGCACAGCAACTGTGAGTGCTACCCCTGCGATCCAAATACTCCAAAGAGATATTGGTCTTCTCTGGCAAGAGGTGGCCCGGTCATCTTCGTCCGGTGGAACTGCCGTATATATCGATGACATTTGATGACTATGCCTTCAGTCAGGATGCGGGCAATGAAGTTCAGGACAGCAAAGCCGTCGTTGTTCGAATGATCAGCATAAATTAAAACTTCCTTATGAAGAGCGTTAGAGCGCAACACCAGCCACGATTGATCAAACAGGCTAAATAATGCCGAGTCAGGCGGGAGATGCTATCACTGGCACTTTCTGATATATCCTCCACGCCAATCGCATGTGCGTTCCCTACACGTCGATACGTTTTCGATTTCTGATACCCAATAGAGTTGTGGTCCGCTGCTAGCCTACGCTAGACTGTCTCGACGAAGAAAAAAGCCCTCGAGATTGCTATCTCATGAATTTGCGGAATGAATATCGTCGATGTTTGATCATAAAGGCAATCATTCTTGTGTCCCATCAAGTGGAATGAACACCAGGGTCTTGCTCCAGATGACAAAATCCGGTGCTATTGGAATATTGATGAGTTTCGTATGTCGCAGGGAAGAGTCTATATTCACTAAAGATGGCTCCTGCACGGGAGCATGTCGACGATCATGAAAATGTCCAACAATCCTCCACTCCCAGCCCCTGCTTCCCAGCAGGCTGAACTTGAAATACTAGATAGGAATTAGGAGATCATCGAAAACTGGATATTTAATGGGCTGGCCGATCCCTTCCACCCTAACACACCTCCCTGCCATCGATGGGCGCTGCCAGGTTGATTGATGCTGCGGCGCTGCGAGATTTGTGGCCAAGTGTACTGGGGTACGATAGGGAGAGTGCCCTTGTCCCCCTTTCGACAGCCCAGGCATCAGCTCCGTCTATCCCCTCACTCGGACACACGGCATTCAACGTGGCTTCTAAAGCGGCGGTCGATAGTGAGGACGCTTTGCATGCTCTCGCCTCTGTCGAGATACCCGGATTTAGAAACAGACTCGTCAGACACCCGACAGAGAATCCGGAACTAGTTTCGCGATTAGCCGGAGTTCTGACCCTCTAGCATTCTCTGCATGCTTCAGACGGAAAGCTCCTGGACCTCTCAACTTGGCCGTCGCTAACAGATGAGGATACCATTAATCTTGCGAAAATCACAAAATCGGATTCGATTGTTGAAGTGGATGTTTCCAACATCCCTCACGTTATTACACCGTCTTGCATTGCGTCTCTGGTCAAGATATGCCCACAGATGAGGTTCCTGTCCGCTATCGATACGCCCTCACTTCTCTACGAGGAATTGCAAGCAGCTTGCGCCGAACCAAAACTCTATCGCATCTGGCATACTTCAAATCTCCGAGTACCGCGGGCCAGCAATAGACGGGTACTCGCGCCTGAGATCGAGGCTATGTCCAGCACTGCTGTCGGCCTGCGACAAGCTAGAGATACCGTCATACAAGTGTTCCACCACAACTCATTCCCCAGGGCGAATCGAACCGGCGGGGAAGGTTATTCAGAAACACGTGACCCATCGGGTCTTCCGTGGAGGCAAGACGCAGAAGAATTAGTTCAAAATCCGAGCAAACTATGCGGACGCGGTATATACCTGCTTATGACGTTTGCTGGCGGGCGAGCAAGTTCTAGAGTGGTTTTGGCAGCTAATGCGGTTTGAACTGTCCTCGTTTAATTCTAAGCCTAACTGAATGAGAAAATCCTCTATGGCCTTGGGAGTCGGGCCTTCAGGTATGATTGCACACTACATAGACACATATGTACACAGATGGCTTTACTGACACCGCCGGCGCGTTTCTAGGACCGATGGAGAATGTATCCCTCCCAGTCCGTGCCTACAGGTGCAACGCTTTCGATCCCTTCGACGAATTCGTACCGCAGGGCCGAGAAGTTGAAGAGGGATAGTGGACTCTTCTCCTTTTTACCAACAATATACGATACGTAGCAACAACCCTTATGACCTCTGGCCGCATGTCGATAGAGTGCACTACGCTTTCCTAACGAGGGGGGAAGATGAGAATGTGGTCGTAAAGGATCTTGAGGGCTTCGTGGCGATGAGTGTTGACGACGTCAAGGCTCGCGATGAAATAACTTCGAAAATGGCTCCCCTGATGAGTGCCTCTCAGAAGTCTAGCATTGCGGTGGGCCTGGATCAAGATTGAACTGATACGACTTCTCCGAGGCCCTCACGAGGCGATAAGCTCTCGGCTTTTGATTGGAAGAGGGTGAAGGGATTCGATGAAAACGAGTTAAAGTCCATCGTGGAGGTGTACTTTCCGGCTTGGGAAAAGGTGCGAAGGAAGATTTTCGAAACGCGGGAAGGCGAAACAGCGCGCTGAGGCGAGCTTAGTGTTATAACTTGTGCTATAGTTCTCATGTCCCTTTCTTAGGACCCTTATTCTTCCTTTCGATCCGATGCTTTAGAACTCTTCGTTAGACAATTAGACAACAGGCCAGCCGCTGGAGAAATCAATCTTATTCCATCCGAATCGCTTCTGGCCGTCTGCATAGCCGATCCTAGTGTCAACATAGTGATAGTACAGAATCTAAAGCTCACGTTAATTCCGACTGGATCCTACACGTTCCGGGAATAAGTTCACTCACAGGACCATGCGTAGGATCTTGGTAAACGCCTTGGCCTCCAGGTCCATACACCCAGTTGTGAGACTTCAGAACCGTTGTTCCACCACCGCTCGTGCAGGATGTCCCGTCCTGGTCGACGAAACCGCCCGTCGCCGTTGTGGATCTGCACACTAGGATCCTGTACTCTTCGCCGGCAGCCGGACGATCTTTGTCATACCCGCAGCACTTGCCTCTAGAGTAGAACAGATAATAGAAGTCTCTATTTTTGAACATGTAGCCACCCTCTGTGGCCGGATCATTTGGGTCGAAGCCAAGCTGCACGGCTTGTGAATCCTGCTTGACTGATGTAGGCTCACCGTCCAACTGTACTTGGTGTAGCCCTTTCCACCAGCTACCGAAAGAGAGAAGAGCCGTTCCATTGCAGTCTATTAAAAAATTGCCGTCGATTGAGTTATAGGGTTTCGTTGGATCAGAGTCCAGACCAATGGAACCCAAATCTTGCCAGGTGCCTACGTCCAGGGTGGAAGATCGCGCAACGCCAATTGCAGAACTCTGCGAGCCAAAAGTGCTAACGGAATAGTATAGGTAGAACATGTCGCCGACCTGACTTACATCGGGCGCCTATGCCATCGGGGCTCGTTAGATTTCTTAGCACTGGTGATGAAGGTTGAGCAAAAACGAACCCAAAGATCACTGTTCCCGGGCAACTTGATGACAGATCCTCCCGTAATGGCTGAGCCTTTGTATGTCCACGGACCCGAGATGTCCGGTGCGGTATGGACAGCGATGTTTCCACCAGTAGAGAAACGGAAGTAAGTGCCATCTGGACGGGAAATCACAGAAGGATCGTGAGAATTGGTGCAGATACCCGAACAGGCCTCTGGAAGAGCATATGCACCCACCAGACCCGGGCTGAAGACCAGGAAAGAGAGCCCTATTGGCTTCATCGAAAAAAATGCGCTGAGTAGAAATGCAATTATCAATGTGAATGAGCGAATGTAATCGCTGGATACGACTTGTCCCCGTCGAGGGGCATGGGGCACTTGTTTATCTCGTTCAGTGTCTCGAAAGTGCGCATGGGGAAAAGCGGCGGCAGGTGCCCGGAACTAAGGGCTGTAACATGGCCGCTATTTGGGTGGATAAGGTGTTCCTTTATTAAATGGCACATTGTCCCATGTTTCTGGCCTAAATGAACGTGCAATCTATCTGTGGGACAATAACCATGCTCTCCATAACTCGGGTTTCCCACGGATGTTGGACACGGCAGCTGCCGAGTGATCGATGTATGCGTGAGGAGCCTAGTATGCTTTCGAATCATTGACCGGTAACCTTTAATGTTCTTTGATGAGCGAGACAATAAGGGGCATGGAATGCCATCTAATCCGTCTTGATTCGAATTACCCGGATGCTGGGAAAGACGGTCAGAACAAGATGCACTACCCGCGCCAATAGGACTGTCCATTACCAACACCAACTACTGAAGATGGAAGTCCTCGATGGTTAGATCAGGGACGTGTTTACATTGTAACTAGAGGGCCGAATGGTATTGGAGAAAGAGAAGTCAGTAACCACAGAGTTTGTGATTCAAGTAGCATTTGGGAATATATCCGACGCATTAAGCTACAATTCATCAAATTTAGAATCAAGAGCCAAGGTAATACTAAGGAGAAAGAAGGTACATTATCGTTACATCTTCACGCTCTTCTTTTAAGACTATACCGCACCTATTTCAACGAAGAAGTCGAGAGATGTGAGCTCCAGCGTTATGACGATGCCCTCACACAGAGCTCGCACCTGTCTCATCGTGAGAAGCCAGAATACGGCATTTTGGCCATTCTAACCACTTATAATACTCATCGCCGACAAAATTCGTGATTCGAGAAAGTAAATGACCGGACCACCCCTGTACGAACCAGGCATTCTTCATAGCCCCAAAAAGCACGGCGTAATATGCCAAAATGAGCAAAGCAGGTGCTTCCCGCCTCCTAACGCACGATATATAGTCGTTGTTTAGCCGGTACAACCACCCAAAAACGAACCCATATTCCGGGGGTCCGTCATATTCCCCATCGCCTATGCCGAATATGGCATTGTAAGTCTGGATCAAACCGTCCAAAGCTCGGATGTATATATCCCTATTTGAACTTTCATCATCGGAAACGAAGTTGTGGAGCTTATCCAGAGCCCCTTCCCAGGCGATTCGCGGAAATCCTTCGCGCGCAAACGTTGGCCCGGTATTATCGCTCACCTCATCCGACGGCCCGAGAGGGGCCATGAGTCCTGAGTATAATATGGACGAGTCCACGGTGGTATGGATCAATCTAACACATCTATGCTCACGTTCATCGTCAACGTCGCAGATAAGAAGATCGCTTTGCCCCGTAGGGCCAGCCGCGAACGTGGAGTAACATACGAGCGCCGCGCCAATGTATAAAGCCTGGCAGTTGTCGTCGTTGATACTTGATAGCGTTTTAGTCATTTCCGTAACGCCCCGTGATAGATGATCTCCGGCTAGAGTAATGTAGTGGTCTCGTTCATTTCTGTCGTCTTTCGTGAAAGCGAGATGGTAGGCTGCGATGGCATACATCAAATGGAGAACGAAGTGGTGCATAAATGCGAGACGAGGGACATTGTCCTTCCAAAATTTGACGAAAGGATCTCGCCATGATTCTTCTTCATCTACTGCCACGAAAGTTGGCGCAACTCTAGAGATGAAGTGGAAGAGGAGCTCAGCTTCAGCAACATTGAGTGTGGGCTGCACGATGCTCGTTTCTGTTGAAGACGTTGGTGTGTCGTGAGACGATGAGGACGGAGTGTCGATCGATATGTCAGAGGATTCGACACTATTAATTATGACGGGGGTCCAGTCCCTCCGGGGTCGGCCTCGACCGCGGCGAGGGGGACTGCTATTATCGTCTGTGCCCTGTGACGTTCGAGCATTGGAAAGGTAACTGAATGACTGTGTATGGCTCTGGGTGCCCGAACGGTCGTGCCCGAACGAACAAGGGACGTTGAACCGGATACAATTTGTGCATTCGGGTTTCTCCTCATCGCACTAGGCAAGGTTAGTAGAAGTCGGCAGCAACCCCAATGCCCATTCATTACCTACTTTTACTTTGCGTTTTTTGCAGTTCAAACATCCAGCCCGTGATTTGCGATGAGGTCTCTTTGATGACCCTCGGCGGATGGGCATGATGGACTCTGTTGCCATTGCGATGGTGGAAATAAGAGAATGCAGGACCGAATATTGCCCAGACGACACCGAGTGCGTGCTACGAGTCTGCTTATTTTATGACCAGACCTGGAATAGGTCCCAAAAGAGATGGTCTTCGAACCAGTCTCACGAAACAGAATAAAAATCCAATAAAAACCTAGTTCCCAGGCACCATTACGTTTCCTACAGTACTCCCAGACTCACGCAGGGGGTGGGTCAAACATGGCGTTTCCAATGACGCGTCCTTTGGCATTGACTGACCAGAAGGGGGAACGACTCACAGACGCACTAAAAGGGGCCGTTGGTATTAAGCTTTTCAGGCAATGAGCGGATTGGTCTGAATTTTCGCATTTAGAATGCGAAAAATCAACCAATTTTCGGATTTGGGAATGCGAATAATGCTGGAGGCCGCGTTCTGGAACAGACGAGCTCATAGATATTGAACAGATTTGGTCCATATATATTGGAAGATTCGCAGATGGCATCGAGAATGGATATTCTAAATATTCTACCTCGTCTCCGATGTGTGAGAGAGGCGGTTTTTGTTCTTTTTCTTTTTTCTTTTCCCGGTCAACGCATTTATTCTTCGAGTCTCTCAAACGTGAAGAGATCAAAGCCTTCAAAGGTAGAAAGAGACAATTTTGAACATGAACGCCGAGCCACCTTTTGGACCGATCGTCAACGGCACCCAGGTCGTGGTCTTTTACTACTACCGTCCAAATAAAGGCGCTGCCTACACTTTCATTGTTCTCTTCGGATTGGCAACCCTCGGGCACCTAGTTTACTTGGTCCGCCTTCGAGCATGGTTTTTCATCCCTCTCATCTTAGGCGGCATCGGTATGTCCAAAGACCCTTTTTTTGCTGAAATCAAGACACTTGCTAATGTGGCTGGTCGATTTCCCAGGAGAGGTGTTCGGATACTTTGGTCGTGCGCAGTCTTCCGATGAGCCCGACAAGGTCGGCCCATTCATTCTGCAAAATCTCCTGCTTCTTAGCTCAGCGCCGATGATCGCTGCTACGATATACATGGCTCTCGGCCGCGTCATAAGTGCCCTCGCCGCTGAACGCCACGCATTCATCAGCCCTCGATGGATGACAAAACTCTACGTCCTCATCGACATTGGTTCTCTTGGCACCCAAATTGCCGGTTCCATCATGCCTGCATCCGGTGATCCTTCAGCTATCGAACTGAGCCGGAAGATTGTCATCACGGGTCTAATAGTACAGTTTGTCGCCCTATCGTTCTTTATCTTGACTTCCTGGCACGTTCAACGTCGCACAAAGAGGAACCCGACACCTGTCACCTTGAAGTGCCGCTCGATAAACTGGCAGAACCATTTCAGGGTTATCAAAGTTATCACGGCGGCGGTAATTGTACGGAGCATGGTACGAGCAGTCGAATATATCCAGGGCGAGAATGGATTTGTTATGGCGCACGAGGTGTTCATTTACCTCTTTGACGCGACGTTGATGTTTTTGGTCTTGCTCGCATTTTTGATCCTACATCCTGCAAGGTTGATGAGGGATGCGCGACAAGCAGAAAAGGAAGACTGGGGAGGCGAAGAGTTGGCGATCATTCGTCCAAATCATCTTTGAGCAGGTTAAAATGGTTTTCGATCTTTGTGTTGTTTAGATGTCGTGGACGGTATTCTCGTGGCCCCGGTAGCCCGTTGCGAGCAAAGAAACAAATGGTTCGCCTTCAAAGTGAGCACGAAGCAGCTGCGTGAGGAGCATGAGCAAAATAAGGAAGGCATGGGCAGATCTAACTAGTACCAGCCATCAAGATCCAGCTAGCAAATTACCTAACAATCCCAATGTATAATCCCACCTATAAACCGACCATTGTAGTTTCTAAGTATGTATGTCTCAGTCTCTGTATCCTTGTCCATCATTACCAAAAGGCCCAGTGTTCCATCTCCTAGCACCAAACGCGCCATATCATATCCAAGCAGATTACCAGTAACAAAAATCAAAGAAGGATGCTCAGGAGGGGAAGACCAATGTGTCCGCCGATCTGATTAGCAAGCGGAACAATCGAAGTCCAGTCCGAAATCTCCCACCCGACTGGAGCAAACTGGGCCAAATAGACCATGCCAGCGGCGATGGGAATGGTGAAGAGCAGCGCCCACTTGAAAGTCTGCAAGACTCTCTCCAAGCTAATGAAGAAGCCCGAACTCTCCAGCTCCTTGGCCGTGCTGCTCCACTCGATGGGCAGCGAGAGAATATGTGCCAGCAAAGCATACGAAAGATGCCAACTAAGGCCGCCGAAAAAGACGACGAAAAAAGGCAACCACTTCCACGCCTCGAGGAGCGCCCACCAGAATTTCATATTGCCAAGGCGGTGGCGGTACCAGGCAAATAGGATGGGCGAAGCACCCACAAAGATAACGAGCTGGCCGGCGAGGACGTTCCAGCTGTCCATGTACGCTTGGTCGATGTCACCGGCGATCCAGCCGGTCAGGAAGTAGTTTGCTAGGGCAAGGGGGAGGGCGGCTGCGATAGAGTAGTAGGTACCGACGTATCCAAGGATGGTGAATTTGGAGGAGAGCTTCATGTTGGACCAGAGGAAGCGCAAGAAGAGCTTTGTAAAGGGGCCCCGCCAGAGCCATGTGTACATGGGATTGAAGATCTGATAACGATTAGCATGATGCGTATTGTATTATCGATAGATTATTAGTGAACCTACAAGTTCAGAACAACCGTAGGCATATTTCTCCCAGCGAAGTAACTCATCAAAGACGGTAAGCGACACACCTTCCTTGAATTCGCCATTATCTATTGCCACTTGTTAGAATGTGCAAAGAGGCCGGGTAGGAGGGCTATTCAAGGCGATGAAACATACCATAAGTCGCAAGGCGAACGACAAAGCCAGCCGTTTGCAAACGAAGCGACATGTCAAAGTCTTCTGAGACGTGATCCTCACTCCAGAACAGCTCCCGTCCTTTACTATCAGTGAACCGGACGCTTTGAAGAGCCTTCCATCGGAGGAATGCGTTGTGGCCGACAAATGGGGCATAGTCGCCGTTGCCGACGGAGAAGCGGATAAGGAGGTAGACAAGATCGGTAAAGTACGTGACTAAAGATTAAATGTTAGGGACTATGCTGGGGAATTGGGCACGTTGAATATCAGTGGAATGGTACTTACTTGCGTTCTCGAAGAAGCTGTGGGTAACATTCATCACACCCGATGCGTGCTGTATTATGGCGACCTCAGGGCTTTCCTCCATCTCCATGGCGGCAAGAGAGAGGCAATCAACAGGCTGGAGGGGGGAAACGATAGACGTTAGCGCTGCTTTCAATGTTATATGCAGCTTGCCAGTAGACTTACCACCCTAGTATCGCAGTCAATAAGCAGGATAATATCTCCCATGCGAATGTTACCAGCAGCCATCGTCCGACCTTCATCAGCAGCGAGCATTGTTTGCAATGCCTCTTCGTACAACTCGTTTTCAATCTCGACGGAGATGTCTTCTTCGCGGCATTGAAGATGCGCTGCCTTGACCCTCAGGAGTTTGAGGAGCTCATCCTCTACCCTCAGGCTGAAGTCGAGCGCATAGTTCATGTTACTCGCCTTCTTGAACTTGCCGGCACGGACAAAGCCGTCTTTGTTATGCGGGGGACGGGCGACCCATCCAATGTTGTTGGCGCGGTAGAACTTCCGTCTCATCTCGGCAATCTCGGGCTTCACAGCTTGCATTCCGTCTTCGCAGACAAAGACGGAAGCTGTACCGCCAAGTCGCTCGTAATGGGCAATTGCCGGGAGGACAGAGTTAATTGTAGGGATAATGACGCCCTTCAAGCCCTCTTTGTAGACAGGCATCTGGATAGTGATGTGTGGCCACTGAATGTTGGGGTGGCGGCGTAGCTCAGGTGCTCGAGCGCTGAAGTAGCGAGTGTTTCCGCTCTTGATGTCATGCATAGGACCAAAGGCCTGGAACAGACAGCCGAACAGGACAGTGAAGACGAACATTCCCATGAACATGAATATGGGGAGAGTAGCAAGAAGGGCAAGACGATTGTATGCAGCCGACCCCAGTAGGCGGATTTCAACGATGATGACGCGGACGGCGAGAGCTTCGACGACGATCAAGAGACACATTGCGAGGCCAATCATAATGGAGTGGGTGAGGACAAAGGGCCGAGGTGGTACCTTGAGGGCTTCTTCATCTTCAGCGTCGAGAGAGATGGAGCTGCTGTCAGCTTCGATGGCCTTTTCGGAGCCATAGTAGCTGACTGGTCTCTCGAAGCCTCTGGAGTCGGGAGTATGCATTCCCGTCCTCCCAGGGGGTGTCGGGAGACCCTCAAGGCTGCTACCCCATATCTACGAAACAAAAAGGTTAGTGGTGATATTATTATTATCAGAGGATGAGTGTTACTTACTGCTCCCATCATCTTGGTTTCGAGATGGTTGGCGTGAGGTATCAGCCCATCTGCGGTTTGGCTCCAGGCAAGAAGAAGCTTTTCTTTCCTCACGAAGCAAGCAAAGTCACGACGCCTTACGCTCAAGTCATTGCGTACAAGGTCACTGAGTGAAGACACAACTGGTATTATTTGATCGGATGCCAGTGTGATCTCGGTTGTGTCGTGATGAAGTCTTTGGAAGATGTGGCCGACTACATCACCCTGCATCGTGCACAGAGCGGCAATGTCTGCCTTGCGACAAAAGTCGACTAGCTCGGGGTAGCAATTGTCTGGCTCGGAGACGAAGATGGCTTCATCGCCAGTTGCAAGGACAACGCCACCTTGTCTGCCACTCTCATCGGGTGTGGAGTGGACCCAACCCTGAGCAGTGAGTCGACGGTGGAGAAACTTAGCCATCTAAAGAGAAGTGTCAGAACTTAGTGAGACAAAAGACGATCTTCACCAAGGCGTATATTACCGTGCTACACCGTCCCTGGCTGTCATCGTCGCCCTGCCCATCTTCGGGCACGGGAAGCTGGAAGGTCGACATGCGTATCGACCTATGGCCCAGGCCTTGAGACACTGACTTGACTTCCTCCATCTCGACAAGACTGTCTTTGAGTAACGAGAGTGGTGTTATCAAGAGACACTGCGGGTCTTTGAAGAAAGGAAAAGAACAAGAAAAGCAAGAAACTGGAGAGTCTCTGAAAACACGGGGCCAGAGAACCATCTAAAGATTGGGATGGGATTCCCGGCTTCATTCCACGTGCTACCAGGCTCTGCTATCACGCCTTAATACGCGCCTGCTATTCCGTTCTTCCATCCCCCTCCCTTTCTTACCGCTGTTCAGGATTGATAGACCCCAACAATCTACCCCCTCCCGGTCCTCAGGAAAAGAAAAAGATCTTGCCATCTCAGCCGCAATGAAATACGAGCCAGCACTAGTTCAATCAATATTTCCGGCTTTGGCTTTGCATTAGAGATTTCCACAGTAGTCCTTAGTCGATAGGGACATATGATGTGCTTCTCCTGTTGAAAACGGGAAGCGCCATTGGCCACGGTCCGAAAATATCAGGCACAATCTTCCTCAGCGCGCTCGGAAAGGGAAATCAATGCGATGGCGAACCGAGAATATTGCCTTGGGCATTCCGGGCTTAGTGCAAGCTACAAGGGCGGGACAAGCGTTTGTTCGATGACAGGGTAGTAGTCAATGTCCCAAACGGAAAGAGAAGCGGGTCCTGGCCTTTCAAGGGAGAGTTCGATATCGCATAAACGGGCGACAAAACTGCAGCTTGCCTTGGGCTGAAACGGAGAGGCTCTGCTGGCATCATGTCGTTTCCTTCGTGAAACCGCCCTTTTGGGCTCGATCAATCGATATCCCATCAAGGTACCATCCACTAGCATCACGGCATGATAACTAGTCGTGGCGTGTGCTGTCGTGATAGGACGGAATGGGTCCAGGGGAGCAAACTTGACAAGGGAGGTGCGTTATCGTTCGTGCAGGTCAGTGACATACTCTCGACCGATCAATCCAATAGACTCAATAGATTCCATCTGCCAAGATAGCGACGATCCCCCACCAGCCCCCCCACCTAACGGTTTTGCCAACTCTAATTGTGGATCTGGACCCAGCGACCGAAAGAAGTGGCCGGAATTGGAAAATATTGGTCTCCTATCTTATCATCGAAGCGGAAAAGGGAAAAAGGATCAAGCTGACATCCCTGTCAATCGAAGAAACACATGTTGTGGCGCTGCGCTTGCTGTCACTCGGCGCAGATATCGAGATTGAGGATGGAAATCCATGGAATGTAAGGTGCAGTGAGCTGAAAGAAGGATGAAGTGTTGGGCTAGATTTCGCAGTAAATAGTGAGAGATGTTCTCGCGGTCTGTCTCTTCGCTTGTTCGCTTGCTGACCCGCTTGTCGACTCGCTCTTCGTCTTATGGTTCTCGCTCTCTTTTCTTCTTTCTTGATTTTCCTGCGCCCCCTTCATGATCTTAACATCCCGTCGGGATCATGGCCTTTGCATCAAGGAACTCCTCGCACCGAGGGTCGATTAACAACACCGACTTCCTCGCTCAAGATCCTTTCAGGACGCCAACCCGTGCCCAGAGCGTTCGAGCATCGACGATATTATCCGGCAGAGCCTCATTCATAGCATCATGTAAGTTTCGTCTTCATTGCCCAACAGTGTGTGGACCTGGAGCTAATACTCACTTGCATTTAATTTCACAGGCATCCAGAGACCCCCTCCAAAACAAAGGAGATTCAAGAGTTCGAGACTGATTGGCGACTACGACAAGCCATGGCTAGAAAAGCGCGACCCTCGAATTTCCTATGACAGATGGATATTCTATTTTATGGCATTGGTGGGCTCCGCCATTGGAGCTTATATTTGCTGGGATGGATGGAACTCGTATGGTAGCCGTGATGTGAGTCCATCATTCCTCCTTAGCCTAAAGTTTACATTCACTGACGTCTCATGTCTTAAGTTCTGCCTTATCTGGGAAGACAACTTCTCCAATGGCATCGACCCAGCCAGCTGGAACTATGAGATCCAGCGCGGCGGGTTTGGCTCCGGTGCCTTTGACTGGACCACAAATGATCCTCGCAACGTGTACAGCGACGGTGAGGGTCTGCACATTGTCCCAACACTGACGGTTGACGATATTGGAATTAGCGAAGGCGAGCTTCTAGATGGCTACAAGCTCAACCTCACGACAGACGGGACGTGTACCGGCACAACCATTGAGGCATGCGGCATCACGTCAAACAAAACCACTGGCGAAATCATCAACCCCATCCGCAGCGCGAGGTTGAACACAAAGGGGAAGCACACCCTTCAGTATGGGAAAGTCGAGATTGTCGCCAAGCTACCCAAAGGTGACTGGCTTTGGCCAGCATTATGGTACGACACGAAACCTACGGCTGGCTATGATAATTTCGTGAGTTACTTGCTGACATCGAGGCCTCAGGATGATGCCTGAAGAGGAGTTCTATGGCACATGGCCAGCATCGGGTGAGATCGACATCATGGAGTCTCGCGGAAATGAGGGAACCAACTACAAGGGTGGACGAAACGAAGTAAGGCTATCACTGTAATAGATCACCACTGATAGGCTGACAGCGAGACATAAGGTTGGGGGAACCCTGCACTGGGGACCGACTGCAGAACTGGACATGTTTAGGCAGACGTCAGGGAAGCGCGAACTACGGCGCACTGACTATTCAGAAGCCTTTCATACTTTCGGTGTTGAATGTAAGTCGCGGCTGGGGCAATGCAAGTTCAGATATGCGCATGGGTGCTGATTAAATTTGTTAATTATAGGGTCCTCGGATTACATTTTTATCTATGTAGACTCCGTCCTTGTCCAGACCATCTACACCTCTTTCCGAAAACGGGATGGTACTCTCTATCAACGAGGCAGGTTTGGCAATATGGAGATTAACGAGACTGTGCCGGTTTGTTCTTCCCAATTATTCTCCATTCGAGGCCCGCGTTTCTAACGGATTTTAGGAAAACCCATGGGCCAAATCGCCCAATGCCAACGCGCCGTTTGACCGGCCATTCTACCTCATCCTGAATGTGGCTGTTGGGACGACCAACGGTTATTTCCTGTATGTTTCTCATCTCACAATAGAACGGCCTTCTCTATTCAACTATCTACATAAGCGGCTGGTGCTAACATGAGTTCAGAGACGGATATGGGCGCAAGCCATGGCGGGACGGGGCCGAAGACGCTCAGCGCCAGTTCTGGTACGCACGTCCTGTCTGGGAGCCAACTTGGGGCCAGGGAGATTCTCGTGGCATGACCGTGAAGAACATCAAGATGTGGAAGCCAGGAAAATGCACATAATCATCTCTGTCGTTATTCTGTTTTTATCTTAATGATTTTACTACGTTCTTCTGGAATATTTGGGCACTGGGGACTTAATACCAGCGGGAAAGATTATCACTTAAATGGGACGCAAGCGAGCGGTAATACACGACTCTATTTTGGTCATTTCCGTCTCAATTAAAGTATCAATGAAGCCAAATCGACCCCGAACTGCAAGAAAACGGTCCGTGCTACGAAGTAGAAATCGATGAGATGCCACGTGTGGTGTAGGACAACTCGACCAAGATCCGGCACAGATGAAGTGTCGGCACTTCGATTGGGATCCATACCGGATGCAACATGATGAGGCGAAGCAGCGAATGCGATGGTGGAAGGGCGATGATGCCGGAGGCTGCAAAGACGTGTGGGGTTTATCCCCGAATGCGGCATCTTCGGGATGTTATCCTCGAGGTCTTTAATTCTTCGAGCCCAAGACAGTTGAATCCTTCGAGAGGGAAATCCCGCCTCTGATGAATCTGATTGGAGATTGGAAGTCCTCTCAATTGGTCAACCCTGCATTATCCATGTCGCCTGAAAATTAGTGCTTATGTCAAACGTCACCCAATTGCCAATCTTAAATGTCCCGCGATCACAATTAAAAAGGGGGCCGAGACCTCTTCCTCTTCTTTCTTTGTCGACGCCAGAGACACACGGGGAGTTTAATCTACGATGGCTTCGTTCATATCGCGTCTGTTGGGCTCCGGGCCGAAGCGGTCCCCGCCGCCGACGGACCCAACCGACGAGATTCTTGCCTGTCATTTTTGGGACGACACCAAGGTTATCCGATCGTACACGTTAATGTGGACGTTCCGATTCGAAGATGTGCTGGACCCGGATATCCTCCATAACGCGTTGGTCGAATTGTTTGAAATCGATAGTTGGAGGCGACTTGGTGGGAGACTACGTTTGAGGGTAAGTGGGAGTGGTATCGTTCTCTAAGTCGAGAGGACAACTTATTGACAATGGGATAGCCGGACGGGAAGGCAGAGGTCCATATTCCGCGGGCCTTTACGCCCAAGAGGCCCGCCGTATACTACACTCGAGAACACCATTCCATGCGCATGTCCGACCATCCGGAAGCTTCCAAGCTCCCTGTCGCGGGATCTAAGCCGGCCTCGTTCCCGAGTGCGCGTAATTATGCCGGAATCGGAGTCGGGCCCGGATCCCCGCGTTGCATTGACGACTACTTCTACTCAGACATGCCGCTGTATGCTCTTCATGTTGTCACCTTCGAAGACGGAACTCTGGTTTCTTTAAACCATAGCCACACGACAAGCGACATGGGCGGGCTGGCAGCCATCGTTTCTGCGTGGAGCTTAGTTCTGGCGGGACGCAAAGATGAAGTCCCTCCGCTCGCCGGCTGGCGCAGCGACCCCATGGCCGCGCTCTACAAACCCGAAGTTACCAAAGAAGCGCCGCTTGAAGAGGCTGGTCTAGCCTCTAAGTTGCTTACCGGATGGCGACTGGCCGTATTTGGCATCAGATTTCTCTTCGAGTCATATTGGTATACGTACAACTCACGCATTGTCAGCATCCCGCGCAAAACGATAGACGCCCTTATCGCCCAAGCACGGAGTCAGCTCCCCCAGGTTGTTGACGCCAAGACTGCCGAAAAACCCTTTATTAGCGAAAACGATGTAATAGTGGCCCTGATGCAGCAAATGTACGCTCGAAGCCAGCCCGCCGGCTCCACGCGCACCATCGGGATTCTTATGGCCGTTGATCCTCGAGAACGTGCGTCGGCTTTCCGGTCTGACACGGCCTATGTGCAGAACGCACCTTGTGGTGTGTTTGTCTATTGCGCAGTCAACAACGCACAAGACATGTCCCTGGGCGAGCTGGCTCTCGAGTGTCGTAAGGCAGTCGCAGCGCAGACGACAGAGGGTCAGATGAAGGCCATGGCGTCCCTCGCGTACGAACGAATGAAAATTGACGGAAACCAGCCCATGTTTGGAGATAGCACCATGCAGTTCACTGTCATGTCTAACTGGTCTAAAGGGAAGTTGCTAGATAGGACTGATTTCAGCTCTGCAGTTGTCAAAGCTGGAAATGGCCCCACCCCGGGAAAACCCGTATATTACCATTCCCAGAGTATCGAGCCAAAGGGACCTCTCTCCATGACTATTTGCATCATTATGGGCAGGGATAAGAATGGGGATCTCTGGATGAGCTGTGATTTTAAGCCGGAAACATGGTCTGATTTGATGGGTTTCCTGGAGCAAATAGAGACGAGCGAATAGTGAGGTGGGATGGAAAGGAGAATCCCGCGTTACTATCCTCGACAGGGGGTACACACTGAATTAGCAACCCGAGGAATGGATTCGATTTCCCAGAAGCAAACCTGGCGACAAAGACCTGTGCTGAAAAGAGCCGTAAAACTAAGTTAAGAAACACAGAGGAACTATCCTCTAAACATGATAGCCTGATGTTAATTACTACAACGTCAAAAACTTGAAAGAAAAGAAAAGAAGCATGGAAAGAGAAAGAAGCCCCCTTCTCCCAAGCCCGGAAATTCCCTTTTCCGTCCCGTCACACACGCCAAGCCCACTGCTACACCTTGGGGAAGACTCCTCTCAGTGCCCGGCTCCACCGATGGCACTTTTGACACCATCTCACCAGTATCCATACCATAAATGCTGGTCTTATTACTACTGATGACGGCCATGGCGATGATGGTACCTGGGCTCTCCACAGCTTCCAGGAACCCAAAATATTCATAACCAACCCAAGACGGGCGGTATTTCGCTCAGACCTAGACGCGCAAGGAGAGCTACTCCATATTCCGCGGCCACGTAATCTATGCCAATGAAGAGCGCATCAGCATTCGCAGTGTTCCGATTTTAAACAGGCGGCTAGCGTAGGTCTACCATTGAGAGGTGATGCGGGTATAGTTCCTAAGGTGGGCCTCAGAATGTGGCTCACGATCCTCCAACCACGTAATAGCTACGAATATACGAGCGCTCCACGCGGCCGCGTGCCCCCGAAAGCGCAATAAGAAGCATCCAAAAGGTGAATCCTTTGGCAAATTCCCCTAGAATATCGCGGCACAGGGTTTCATTGCCTCGGGTCAGACTTTACTCCGCCACTGCCACTGCCGGCAGAGCAACCAAATCTGCCTCACCTGCACAACGGCGCATCGGAAATTAATTCGGATTGAGGCAGGTTAATTTGTCGGATTGTAAGCCTCTCTGTATTCCTACGTCCATCATGCAGGAAGGGCGCGAGCAACGGCGGATGTGGGGGTGGATGTCATACGCCCAGATGGAGATCTGGAAATATTATCTCTGGAGAAGAAACAATAATATATTAAGGCATCACCCAACCCAGAATTGTGGTTTTCTTGAAATCAAACACTTGAGGATAATTTGGATTCTTTGACTGGAGACGAACTCAACATGCCCCGCTACTTCTGGAGGTCCCTTACCTCGGCCTTCGCGCTCTTACTCGCACCAACATCTACGCGTGGCTTTGTGTGGGAGACGATTGAGCCGTCTTCAAACCTCGAATACCACGACTGCTACAACGATTTCAAATGCGCCCGCCTTTCCGTCCGTTTGGACTGGTTGGATTTAGAAAACCCTCACAAGGTCGACATTGCCATCATCAAACTTCCCGCCACTGTACCCGATAATGATACCAGCTTTGGAGGAAGCGTGCTGCTCAATCCGGGAGGACCTGGTGGTAGCGGCGTCACTCTTGCTCTTGAATGGGGCAAGCAGGCACAGTCCATCCTAGACGGGAATAAACACTACGAAATTATCGGTTTCGACCCGCGCGGCGTCAACTTCACCACTCCCCATGCCAATTGTTATCCTGATCCCCTTACCGCGGCTGCGAACACTTACCTGGTCAGTGGAATTGGGCCCCTGGAGCCGGGAGAGGATGCCCGAACCAAGTGGAGGATGGCGCTGAACAGCGCCTACGCAAAGAGCTGCGCTGCAACCTTGGACCGCGAAGGAGGCATCCTAAGGTACGCCTCCACGGCGTCAGTGGCCCGGGATATGGTAGAGATTATCGACAAGATCGAAGAACTGCGCGAGAAGGAAAGCGAAGCAGAGATCCCAAGAAACGTCACAGAGTGTAATATTGGCAAAAAGCAGCCAGCAAGGCTTCAATACCTCGGGTTCTCTTACGGCACTATTCTCGGAAATACTTTCGCCTCAATGTTCCCTGGGCGTGTTGGAAGGATGGTCCTAGATGGAGTCGCTGATGCTAATGACTATACCGCCGGGGTACGTGTTGAAGTTCTCGCTTGCGGCTGTTACTATTCCATGGAGACTACCAAGGCACTAACTTTTTTGAACAGACGTGGTTGACCAATTTGCAAGACGCAGACGAGATCATCGACTATTTTTATAAACTCTGCTTTGAAATCGGAACTCAATGTCCCTTATTGGAGAATACTGATACCAGCTGGGAGGATATCAAGAAGAGGGTCGGCGACGTAATCGCCAACCTTCGAGATTCGCCGATATCCTTCAACGCGCCCTCCGGCCCCGTTCTTCTCAGAGACGTTGATGTCTATGCTGTCCTTCGCACCGCTCTTTATCAACCCAAGATGTTTTTCCCAGTCGTCTATCAGGGCTTGTACATACTACTGAATGGGAACTACGACGCCTTCGGCTCTGCCTGGGAGTCAATATATCCGAAGCTTGACAACCTCTGCCCGAGCAACAACCCCCCACCAAGTCCTCTTGATGCCCTCGCAATCATTTCATGCTCCGACGGGGAGGATAAAACAAAGTTGGGTGTTGACTACTGGGACGACTACGTCTCCCAACTTCGGAACCAATCCGAGGTTCTTGCCTCCCCGTGGGCCGAAGCCTCATTTCTATGCTCGGGCTGGGATATCCGTCCCAAATACCGGTACTCCGGCCCGTTCAAAACCCCGGAACCTGACTCGGCCGTTGTTGAGGGCAAGCCGGCAGCGCCCCTCCTATTCCTCTCAGGCCGTCTTGACCCGGTAACGCCACTTCGCAACGCGTTCGCCATGGCTGCTGGACATCCCGACTCTTCCGTCTTAATCCAGGAGTCTGTCGGTCATTGTGCACTTGTCACAGCGCGAAGCAACTGCACAGAGGCTTTCGTCAGGGAGTATTTTGAGCACGGATCTGTGCCCGAGTCCGGAACGGCCTGCGAGCCAGAATGTGGTGCACTGGAGATATGTGAGGAAGAGGAGTCTGGCGGAGCTCCTATGTTGCGAAGACGGAGATTGGGCATGGGCGGAGCACCTTTCCACCGGGGCTTCTAATAAGACAGCCATAGGTTCGCAGATAGCTTCTATTCGTCAGAAAAATGTTCAATGGCCGGGTAAGGGTGTGGGTGGGCTGCCGCTTGAGCAATGGAAATCGGACACCTTGATAGGAGATGTCGATAATACTACGGACTCCTAAGCGTTTCTTTGTCCACTGTCTTTGCTGTTTCGTGCATGCGCTAAACTCTAATGAGACAGTCCGTCAGCTCGGTCTAATAATTCATCGAGTCCTTGAATCATGCTGCATGTACAAATAGAAGAGGATAACCGTTTCTGGACAGCACCATCAATCCTGGAAAATCTCTGCAATTCCCTTTCTACACTCCGCCAGTTCCGTATAAATCATAGTCGGCGCGATGAGGCTCCTCAACATCAGGACTATGAGGCTAGAGTCCTTTCTCTACGGAAATACTCCTCCCTACGCAATTCTCTCTCATACTTGGGGCGAAGGCGAGGTCACCTTCCAGGACGTGACCCTCCCCCACCCTGATCTAGGCACAAAACGGGGATGGCTAAAAATCGTAGGATTTCGAGACGCCATCATCGCCAAGTCCAATCTTCTGAAAAGCCCAGTCCAATACGTTTGGGTAGACACGTGCTGCATCGACAAAACCAGCAGCTCGGAACTGTCAGAAGCAATCAACTCCATGTTCCGCTGGTATCGTGAATCTGTCATTTGCTTTGCACTCTTAGAGGACGTTGCTTTGCCGACGAAGGACGACTCGTCGGTGCGTACCGTGGGTGACGACTTTGAGCAAGCTCGATGGTTTACTCGGGGCTGGACACTTCAAGAGCTTTTGGCGCCAAGTCAAGTAGAGTTTTTCGACCAAAATTGGGCCTGGATCGGAAGCAAAGCCGACCTCGCATCTCGGATATCTCTTCGGACAAACATTGCCGAGGAGGTTGTCCTGACCGGCGAGTGGCCCTTTGCCAGTATCTCACAGAGGATGGCTTGGGCAGCGGGCAGAGTCACGACACAGATGGAAGACATGGCTTATTGTCTCCTTGGCATCTTTGATGTGCACATGCCTATGCTGTACGGAGAGGGAGAGCGTGCCTTTGTCAGGCTGCAGGAGGAAATCATCAAGGAGTCCGACGATCATTCGATATTTGCCTGGGACGCCGCGGATAAACCAGAGTCGGTTGAAACCATCGGAATTTTCGCGACGTCTCCTTCATACTTCAAGGATGGAGCGTCCATCGAGCCCAATTTGGCTGGCGGGGAGCCGTTTTCTCTCACTAATAAGGGATTGAACATATCGGTCCCCATCATCGAGCGTTCCGGGTTTCCGGGCGAGCAAGTGGTTATCCTTTCGTGCACCCATGCTGGAGATGTATCATCTTTTGTCGGTATTCAAGTCCGGTGTGACCCAGCCAACCCTTCGATCTTCAGTCGGCTGCGCGCTTCTCCCGTCACGGTTCCGCTTCAGAACCCGGCCGCCATACTACATTCCAGTCGCTCCGTTTTTCTCGCCAAGAGAGATCAGAAGTACCAGCTCGACTACAGGCCATTGAAATATCATATACGAGGCCTAGACGGATACATAAACAATCTTGAATTCGTTGCTGCCAGCCCTCGCGACTCTTGGACGTTTAGCCCCGCAGAGACCATGACCCTGTTGGTTCCTCTATCACGAAAGCCACAGGACGAGGCCGGATTTTCCGCAGTCCTCGTTTTCAGACATATCCCGAGTTCAGATGCCTTCTGCCTCATAATTCACTCTGATGTCACTAGGTCATCCCAGTTGAGTTTGATCGCGGCTCCGAGTGACTTACCTGAGGGGGAAGCTCTAGAGTTGATGATGAACAAGCTCAGGGAAACGGCTCCCCTTCTCGATGGATCCGAGTATGCCACTTTACGACTGCCCAAGGTCACAATTTCCGCTGCTGGCACTCTTGGACGCTCACTATCATCGACTACTTTTCAGGTAGTTTTGGGGACTTCAAGGTGATGAAAGGGGTATCACAGACAAATTACGTTTCGTATTTTCTAGGCCTAGCTCGAACTGACCAATGGACTCCATTTCCGTTTTCTCCGGGATCCCCTCACTCCCTCACAAAAGAAAACTCCCATTAATACAAATCTTCGTCCTCGTACCACAAGGTCTCATGTTCCTTATTGATGTGGTCGTAGATGGTTTCCTCCGTTGCCTCGACCCCACAAGCATAGCACCAATGAGCGCCGCACGGGCAGGTGATGTGGTCGCATCCAAACATCTTCTCAGTCATGACGCCGCAAGAGGGACAAACCGTTGGTGGACGTTCCACATTGAGGAGCCTTTGGGTGGCCGCTTCCTGTAGTGCCTGGCAGTCCGCGCAGAACCAATTTTGCAGCTCTGCTGGGGCCGCCTGGGCACACACACGCTCAATGTACTGCTTTGCAAAGCCACATGAACGGCACCATCCGTAGATCCACTCCCCGGAATTTTTGATTGCTTCTTGCGCGTGTCCCAGCCGTGTGAGGCCGAAGCTGGTGACAATGCTTGGGGCAGGGATACGCCGACAGAAGGGACACGAGAGCGCAGCGATGTTGAGGATCCTCCCTGGGGCGTTGAGACCGTACCAGCCCTTGCGGCAATCTATGCAGACGAGTTGGTGGCACCCCTTTCGGCCGCAGGCGGGGTGGATGGCTGACTTGGCCACCGTTGCGAAACATAGAGAGCACTGGGTGGCTTCAGTTCGCCTCGACAAGACCCATTTGCGAAGGGAGTCCTTGACCTCATCCATGTTCTGAACGAGCTTGCCGCGCAGTTTCAGCTCCACGCTCGAGTTGGGAAGAATTTCGACCTTTTGTGCGAGGTTTTCAAGGTCGCAATGAGTCGCCGTGTAAAACACAGTCCTAACTCTGAGAGGGTCCCAGAGAGCCCTGTCTCGGTTGGTGAGGAGCCAGTCCGATCCATTTTCCTCCATCAGTGCCTGGGCCGTGGTATCAGCGTCAACGACGGTACTCATGCCACCGACGCAGTGGGGGCATTGCCACACGGAAGCATCAAAGTCCTTTGGACGATACTCCTCCGGATAGACCATCCTGTTGAGGCACTTTGTGCAGTCCACGACTGGAGCGTCGCCACACTTGTAGTCATTCGGATGGCGGCAGTAGAAACATTTGGCCCGCACGTTGAGCGCCTGGGGATTGTACACCACGTACTGCGCGCGGCATTCCCGCATCACACACTCGACCCAAGTGACCTTCGTGTTCTCAGAGTCATCCTGGCTCACCAAGTTGGACAGGCGGAAGTCGTGATCGTCGGCCTTCTGGCACACTTTACACTTGCAGAAGGTCCCGCAGGAGCACATTCCACAGATGTTCTTGGGGCCCATGATTGTGACGGACCGGGGGAATTGACACTTGCGGCAGATGGTGACTGGTCCGAGAGGAGCCTTGTCCTTTCGGGGACTCCAACCAACTCGTGCAGTGACCGTTGTGTTGAGGTTGAGCTCCAGCATCTTGTGGTCCACCAGTACCTTGAACAGGGCCTTGTCTTTGGCCGTCAAGATGGTTCCGACCTCGTCCTTCGCCTTGGTAGTACCCTCCTTGATCCTCTGGGCGTAGTCATTATCGGCATCCAAAAGAAGACCAAGACACCCAATATTCCAAGTTTCAGGAATCTCCAGGGTGTTCCATGAGTCCCTGTAGCCGATGAGCTCCTCATCTGCCACATCACGGAGGGTCTGGATGCCCATCCGCAGGGCCAAAGCAGCTAAGAGGGCAGCAGGGCGTCGAGCAAGAATAGTTCCCGGAAGGACAACATGAAGCAGGACCCTCCAGAACTCGCGTTTGTGCTCCTCCTTCGACAACGCGAGGGGAATCCTGGGAACAAGGTCCTGACCGGCGGTTCGGATATGAAGAGGCAGATCCTCGGACTTCTCGACGTGAGACAGCCGGGTTAAGACCTTGCCGAGTCGGCGAAGGATACGGTAGTCGCAAGAGCGGCCAATTTCCAAGAGCTCGTTTCGCGTGAATTTGTTGAGAGGCTTGTTGTCGTCGCCGGAATCGGGGCCATCTTTGACTGTGAAGTCCTGGGTGGGGTCGAGATACACACAAGGGAACTTGTCCTGCTCAGGAACCTCAGCGATCATGTTTTCGATCTCCTCGGCAAAATTGTATGATTCCTCAAGCCAGGCCTTCATCTTCGCTTTTGCGTCATTGACCGTTGTAAGCTTATCGACCTGCGCACCGAACAATTGAATCAGGCCATCCCTGGCAGGGTTCTTTCGGTCATTGCACACTGCTCTCCAGAGGGTGCCAAAGATTGGGTTTACCGTCATGGCCGTGACGTTTTCGGTGATGATGTCGCGCAGCTGAGTGGCAACGAAGTCCTTGTAGGCGGTGTCGCTGTTGTATCGTTTCGAAAAATCGACAATCCTGCTCGCCCGACTTGGGACAACACGTGAGAGATTTGCAAGCTCAAGGTCCTCTGCTTCGATCTCGAATCCCTTGGCCATTTTCAAAGAGGTGTCGAAGGAGTGGAACAGGACACGGCCTTCAAGCTCCTTTTCCTTTTGCAGTTTCGTCAGAGTATGTGGCTGCGTAAAGGTTTTTACCGACACTTTGTACTTCGAGGTCACCCCAGATGTGTCGACGCCCATCCAAGCCAATAGAATTCCGATAGTGAGCTCCGAGATCAAAGTCTTTGAATGCACAGAGAGGCCGAAGGACAACCCATGGGTCACAGTGGATAGGTAGGTGTAGGGGCCGACAATGGCGTTCGTAGAGCCGGCCAAAATGGAATACACATGCGCCTTCTTTCCTCCGCCTTCGCCGGTGAGAGTCTTTGCAGCAGTGACCCAATCAGCGAACTGTTTCCCGAAGCCACCGTAAGATTCTTTGGTGAGGGCCTTGATTTCCCCTTGCCGTTCCATACCCCCGGTCTTTTCGAAGTGGGGAGGTGCATCGGTGTAGAGCATCATGATGGTCGTCGCCTCGGCTCGCATCACTTCGTGGGCCATAGCCAGGCCGGTCTTCGTCGCTTCGGGATAATCGCCTCCTCCGTATGGTCGTAAGGACTTGACGAATTCTAGCAGCTGCGCCTGTGTCGCCCGCTTTGCGGATGGGTTCTTATTCGACGCGTCAGATGGCTCAGATCCGCAGTTAGCAGGGAGCTGGGCCGTTGGAGACGGGTAGCACCATCCTGACCACTCGAGGAGAAGTTTGCCGTCGCAGTAGTCGCGGTAGGCGACGACACCAATACGCGCGAAGCAGTCGGTCAGGGCGGAGATGCGGATGATTTCAGGTAAGGAGCTGGTGAGGGCGTTGAGGAAGGTGCTCATGGAGGAGGTCGCATCAGTGAGGATTAGGAGGTCGAAGACCTCGTTCTTCTTCCGAGTCGGTAGAGTCTTCGAGGACGCCATAGTGACAGAGCGTCGAATTGATCGTTCAATAATTGAGACTGGGAGTATTCGATGACATGGGATTCTGGCTGACTGTAGGGGCAAGAACAGAGGAGCGAACGAATGTGATGGGGAACCAGTGAAGGTTAATGGCTCGACTGGCTGCTTGCCGTTTGAGGGATCAGAATCAGACAGAATGTTTCGAGGCGAACTCAGAGATCGGTGTCCCTTTATCTATGGCCCTCCAATGATTGACGCCTGAGAATGCTCTTCACTCGCCTGGTTCAGCCCAGGGCTGATGTGACATGTCCCTGCCCGTCCCTGTCATCCAGGGCCGACATTCCAGATTCGGATTGGATTGGGGGAGGGAGTGGGTACGTACCAACGGAGAGAAGAAAGTTGGAATGATGGACCAATCAGATACACATACCCCACTCCTCGCAAAAAGTGTGGGGACAATTCGCTTACAATTGTAGTCCCATTTATTCCTGTATTGAGGCTTCTTCATTAACAATGTTTGAGAGTGTTCAATTGAGAGTATTCGCTGAAGGCTCGAACGGGTCTTTTGAGCCGGATTTTATTTTATTGCTAGCATGCTTGGTAACAGCAAGCTTGCATATGGTACTTTGATTTACCGCAATGAAATCCATGCTGCGTTCCACGTCCATGAAACTTCGTTCCAAGTTTGAAGTGGTGAGGCGAATGAAATTATCGTTGTACTGAGTCACTTGGTTTGACTTGATTTGGGACTTGCGAGAATGTCACAGATCTGGTTCGATTGATCCTTTGAATTCCTGCCAATGCGGGCGCCTCGGTGCGGCTGGGAGACTAAGACCGTCGACCGTCAAAGAAAATGAGCAAAGTCAAAAATTACTTTATACATTTCCAAGGAGTACAGCCCCTCAGGCTAGTCCATTTCGGCAAGGGGGCGTGGTTGCCTGGAACTTTGAACTCCCTCCCATAACGCAGAACGTGTCAATGCTTGCAGGTTTCCAGGATTCTAGAATATCCCTGAGTCACCGGTGACCCGTCCTCAACAAGACAGTCACTTCCCGCGTCATCAGTTTCACAAACACTTCCGAAAGAAGTCCAGATGCTGACTCTGTGTTTGGAGGCAACGTGTCACCCAAACGTCAAAGGGAAAGTGCCAGTCATCATCTCGGAAGGCTGCAGCTGGGATACGTGGCAGGGAGTCTCTGTTGGTATGAACTATGCAGAAACGAATGAGGGATCGTATGAGATCATAAGAGTGATCAAATGGTTATGTATAATCTTTGAAGGGTTACATTCCTCCACCGAATGTCATCAAAATCTTTGAAATGCGATGTTTGGTATTTGGTATTGCGATGCCTGTTGAACAATAATGATTGAACCATTCCCACGCAAATCCGCGCATAACTTCCAGGCATAAACTAGCAAGTAATTGGGCGCATTCCGGGTGCCTGGTACGGCTTGCCGCTGTTATCGGCAACATTAGGAGTGGGGCCCCAGATGTTGGCAAGAATTGAAGGGTCGTTCTGCTGATAAGCTCCCGGGAAGCTGAATGTCTCGGTTGGCGAGAAGGTACCGTCTCCAGAGACCCGAATATTGGCGCAGGAGATGTAGAACTGGGCTCCCCTGGGGGAATATGCTCCATGAAGCGCGATGAGCTCGACTCGGAGGATGTAGTCGCCGGGCGCAATGCACGTCGGCATGTTGAAGTAGCTCCATCCACCGTTCTTGATCATGTTGTCGACGCCCCACGTATTAGTAGCTACATCGAAATTGTCCTCAGCCACCTTGAAGAATTTCAGATTGGTTCCGATCTGAGCCGTAGCGGCGTTGTCAACCTTGGCAAGCCATGCTGTGATCGGGCCGTGGTGCGACCTCGCGATAGGGTGGTCTGGATCATTGGGGATTTGTTCGCCTCCAAGCACGTGTCCCCACCATGCTCCAACCTTGTCACCTGGCGCGACGGAGATGACCTCATTGGATGTCAAGGCGACCTTGCCGCAGGTCATATCAGCATTGTTGACGTCCTGCGTGGGATAATCTTGGTTCGGCGCACGGAGGCCGACAAGTTGGCCATAGTCCTTGCCGTTGACCGACAGTTTCTGGAAGAAGCTCAGTTAGACGTGCATATGATTCAATTGAGCCTGAGGGCAGTTCTGCTTGCCTGGAAGATCGTATGGCCGGCAGCTGCACTAATGCAACCAAGGGTTGTGACAAGAGAGAGCTTCATTTTGACCTTGGCTGTTTGCGGCGCGCATTCGAATACTAAACTTGTCTATGTAGAGAGAGATGGCAGCTGTTAGGGATAGGAAACAATCTCCAAGGTTCAGATGGATAACAGGTAGAGATTATATCCCCGTCAACAGTGAGAAAGACCTCAAGTGACTACCGCCAAGGCGGAGGGTGGACATGCGTCCTTGATTGTCGCCCTCCATGAATTGGCACAAGGATTACCGTGCTCCCCGCAACCCCAACTTGCTAAGCCCAATCATAGTCAGTCGGGTTGGATATTCATTTATTTGACAACGGCATTTGAACCGTGTCAGATGGGGAATCGAGTAATGGATGTTGTTTCCAGATAACTGGTGTGGTTGTGGTTGGAGGGGATGTGATGACATCCAGGCAGTCAGCAAAGCCACACATAATATTGGCGGTTTTCTTAATTACCATAGTTTGTTTCAGGGGCGACTTTTTTTTTCATGACTGCTTTAAATGGATGGGGCGTGGGATTCTTCGGTTGGAAGATCGCACAACCAGGTTGGGATCGGTTTTCTTTGTAACTTCAAAACTCATCCCAGCTTCTCAACTGCGGGATTTGGCGCCGGCACTCTGGATGGAACATCTCACTCAATGGATGGGTCAAAATCTAGGCGAGCGCGACAAACGAGAATTCTGGTTTTCTAACAAGCCCGGGATATCAACATCAATGTCCGGAGATTCTCGTCAATAAACAGACTGGGCACGCTCTTGGCTGCGATCTCTTGACACAAGCATCTAAGTATATCCAGAAAGAGCCAGGGACGGACGGATGTCTATGCTCCGGCTTTCTCGGAGGAAACATTCCCATATTAGCCAATCAGCTGAGTGTGATAAATAGCGCCAATGTGGGATAACTCATGGCCGCCGCACGCCGTTGGGATATAACCGGGAATTCGAATCCTCGCTTGAATGGCTCCTAGTATGTAGATAGCGTGTTTAAATATCTAGGTCGATATTAACAGCGTGAACTCACTGCCAACGCCTGCTTTGGTTGACGATGTCCAATCTCACGACATTTAACATTGCAGCTCAAAATGGTTAGGGTATCTCAAGTAGCGACAAGTCTGCTCCTCGGGTTCGTTACCCCAGTGGTATGCCATGGCTACTTGAAGAGCATCCAGGTAAACGGGCAAGACTACCTCGCATGGCAAGTTGACCAAGATGACTTCCTCTCTCCGCCGCCAGTCCGATATGCCAGGAAGCTCAAGGATAATGGATCCGTGCCGAACTTCACAACTGCGGACATAACGTGAGACCGGGTCCCTACCAATGTTACCCGTGAGGGACGGTTGTGGTTAGAACTAACATAAGTTGGTTATTAGATGCGGTGCTGGAGGCAACATTCCGGCTGAAGGAACAATCGAGCTCAAGGCAGGCGATAAAGTGTTTGCATTTCCATGTTGGTATATGGGCTTTGAATTCGGATACGCTGACGTAAAATGGAGTAGCACGATGAAGTGGGATCAATGGGGAAGCTCGCATAGTGGGCCAGTAATGAAGTAAGGATCCTATCAAACTAAGCCCAGATCTCAGGATGTCTCTCACTTGCTGACAGAATCTGATAGTTATCTTGCGCATTGCACCAATGACGACTGCAAGTCCTTCAAAGGCGACAAGGGCAATGTTTGGGTGAAGATCTCGCAGTTGGGTTACAACCCGAGCGCCCAACCACCCTGGGCGTCTGATCTTCTTCGCGAACAAGGGGCCAAATGGAACATTGTCATACCGCCGACCTTGGCGCCGGGAGAGTATCTTCTCCGTCACGAGATCCTCGGACTCCACGTTGTGGATAAGCGGATGGCGGCTCAGTTCTATCCTAGCTGCACACATATTCGGGTCACGGAGGGAGGATCGAGTCAACTGCCTGAGGGCGTGTCGCTTCCCGGCGCGTATGACCCCGATGATACCGCCGGGGTAAGTTTTATTAATTTCCATTATAAGAAGCCTATTGGGTAATTATTTGAGGGTGACTTTCTAATGAGAGCTACAGATCCTTGTCCCTCTGTGGAAGGTTAACCAGGGCCAGCAAGAATACATTCCCCCGGGAGGCCCTGTTTGGAGCGAGGCGGCTCCCGATCCGAATCGGTCGGGTCCATGAACGCTTTCACCCGACAATGTATAATGGGGCTGGAGAGAGATCAGGGCTTGGAGTGTGAAGCCTGGAGCCGTCATGACTTACGAGTCTACCGTTGGTCGACTTAGGAATTCCTCACTCGCGTAAAGCCTCCAAATACGGTAAACTCTATACATACGATAAATACGGCTCAGTTGTCTATCAAAGATAAGAGAGCGCTCGCTGTGGAGAATTGTGCGTCGACACTTGGAGTAAAATCTGCTGATCTCGGATATCCACAATCCTCTGCGGAATCACGCAAGAGAAGCCGATGGAGGCGTGACATGGCTTACGCTATCACATTGATGCAAGATTCCCTCTCAACTGAAAGCCCACGAACCAGCCCCTACCAGCCAAAAACGGTTCGGGGAACATTGCGCTCCCCCAGACGCGTACGGAGTATGGTCCCGATTGTGTTTTCTCCTCTCCGCCCCGGTTCCCTTATCATCTCCTGATATTCCTGTGTGCCAAGCCTTACTCTCTACTCCGTACGCACACCTCAAAGTCGTGAGACAATCTTATCCTTACTTCCTCAATATCGGACTAGATCCCGCTTAGGAGTGTCGATCCTTCCGGTCGTAAACTGTCCAGACGGTCGGTACATGTCAGAATGTAGATTAGCTGGTGTGTCTCACCAATCACTTGTTATTTGAATTTCATCATTGACGATTTCGGGCAGAATTTGTAATGTTGGCGGGATTCCGCATCTGATTATCAATCAAGCCTTCCTGGTCTGAATGCAAGAGCTGCTCACCGAAATGGCGTTAAATTTAAGCCGGTAGCACGGTCCTGTATGGTATACCGTTAAATGATAGCATCGTCCAATTCTGCGGGTTCTACCAAGCTTCCGGCTTTTTATAAAATCGTGCAAAATGTCGAAACTCTTTGTCGTCTTCGGAGCTACCGGACAGCAGGGCGGCTCTTTGATCAACTATCTGATCCATCACCCGGAATTCTCAAAGACCTTTCGAGTCCGCGGGATCACCCGTGATCCTTCAAAGCAGGCTGCTAAGGACTTGAGTGAGAAAGGGGTCGAAATTGTGCGAGTATGTGCGAGCTTGCGTGTTTTGGATATAATAATAGTTGAAATCCCCTGACAGCCTTGCTTAGGCAGACCTTAGCGATCCCAAGACACTGGCCCCTGCGCTTGAAGGCGCGTATGCCGTCTTTGCAGTAACCAACTGTGTGTAAATCGTTGTGTGAGCTACTTTTTGGCCATGCCGCTAACGACCAATACCAGATTGGGACACGGGAAGCCATGAAGCTGAAGAAGCTCAAGGCAAAGCTGTGGCAGACGCAGCATTGGCAGCCGGTGTCTCGTTGATCATTTGGTCCTCGCTTCCCAATATAACCAGAGTCACAGGGGGAAGGGTAACAAATTTTGTCCACTTCGACAGCAAATCGAGGGTTGAGGACTATATTCGTACGCTGGGATTCCCAAGCAGTGTGTTCTACTTGCCCGGCTGGTACATGCAAAACTCGAAGCACCCTCTGTTTCCTCCACCCACCACGGTATGTGACAGCATTCTGTCCAGCTTCTCGACGATCAGAAAACGGAACCAGCTTGCTAAACTTCTATATAGAATCCCGATGGAACCGTTGTACTTCCATATGCGTGGCCCGATGAACTGGAGATGCCATATATTGATGTGACTGATACAGGCAAATACCTGGCACCTGCCATTGGCGATCCCGCTAAGTATAATGGGAAGCAACTCATTGGAGCAACCGCTTTCTACAGTTCCAAGGAAGTTGCAGATACTTGGTCTCGTATCACTGGAAAGAAAGTGAGACATGCCACCCCCGAAGAGCTTCCCGTGTCGTCGGGCAGCTTTATGGAGGATAACGTCATTCGACCGAACCCGTTCCTGACAGATACGGGTTATTACGGGCCTACTGGTCGTGCAGAGCTAGAATGGCTTCACTCGCAGTTGGATCCGGCGGATAAGCTGACAACTTGGGAGGAGTATGTAAAGGCGAACGGACCGTGGTTCAGTGCTTAAGAACCGTGTGATGGCGTCGTTTTGACCCAACATAAACCGGGCTTCTTCACCCGTTTCTCCGCTCCTAGTCTCACCTGTCATGCGCTTCCACAGTTGCTAGAGAGTTTCCGCCGGTTTTTTTTAGAGGTCTGCGCTGAATTGTAAGAGCCCCCTTTTCAGGGCTGGAATTCTAAGTTAAGTTATCTCGTTATAGCGGTTCGGTCTAGGTTGAATACAATAAGCATCGTCTGACTTTTTGCCCACGCCGCCGCACCTAGACTGCACCCGAGATGGGAAAGGTTCAAATGGCCTCTTCCAATGGCAGTCTGGATTCTACGTGCACGTTCCCGACGATGGACGATACTCTTAAAGTTAGTCTTGACCACACGGCAACGTTGACCGTAAGATCCGAGTGGGCAAGAGTATTTCCAGCTACCTTCCTCATAGAGTAGTGTTCGAGTGTGGAAACAGTTAAGGATGTCAGTGTGAGTTTTGAGGAGAGGGCTGTTCAGAACTGACTCAACCTCGACTCAAAATAAGCATGAAAGATCCTAATAACTTCGGCTAATCATCTGAACGCCTGAATGCCAGGGTCGTGAGACGCGACGTCCCGGGAGCCGACCCCAATCCACGTGGTTTTATGGAGGCTCTGTCGGCAGCCGGCGTTTCCTGTTCAAAGGTCCTCTCGGCAGTCATTTCGGCATCCGAGTAAGTCGTGTTAAATTTCAAATGTCGTGAAATCGGAAGGGATAGACAGAAGCCGGAGCTCGCGTGTCAGATTCGCCGATGTGTGCTTAATAATTCGCCTGTTTGAGACGCGGCTTCCCGAGCGAGTGTTTGCGAGCCGACCAATAATAACTTGCAATGACTGAAGGGTTTCTCCGAGGAGATTGTCAGTTGTCAATTACCAATTGCCAATTGCTACCAGTGCCATATTTCCTACAGCCGAAACTAACACGACGACCGGCGAGTCGGGGATTTGGCCTCTGTTGAAACGCGAACGAAAAGTGAAGAACTTTCTTTCAATAGAAAACGCATTCCCCTTGATTTCTAATACCAGTTTTAGTTTGATGTATCCATTGGCGCCTCGATGTTCTAGGGAGTATAAAGTCGCTGGAAAACGACGGCGAATCTTAGTTTGAAGGAGGGACAGGCATCAGATCTTCTCTTGAATCTGAGGCAAGAATTATTACCTCCCAGATATCAGCGTCTCTTTCTCAGAATGACACACCAATTGAATGCCCTTCATCCTGGCTCGATCGTCCTCATTACGGGCGTGAACGGCTATATTGGCTCCCACATCGCTAACATCCTCCTAGGACTAGGGTTTCGGGTGAGGGGAACTGTCCGTTCGCCTAAACCATGGCTCGACGAAATGTTTACGGCCAAGTTTGGTGAAGGAGTTTTCGAGACCACCTTACTGAGCGGATTCGATGACGTGCCAAGTCTGGAGCGAGTAATGGATGGGGTAGCGGCCGTTATCCATGTGGTGGGGTTTCCATATCATCTCAAGATGGAAAAGAAATGTCGAATTAATGATCTGTGGTGTTCCAGGCAACCGACTTAACGTTCGGGAGCGACCCGAAAGCAATCATTCCCTGGGTGGTTAAGGCCACTGAAAATATGCTCGTCGCTGCCGCCTCCCAGCCCCAGGTCAAACGATTCGTCTTGACTTCATCCTCGACCGCGGCGGTGATTCCTGTGGCGGATAAGCTTAACGTCCGGGTTGGCGAAGGTAAGACCGTCCTCGAAACTATTCGATGGAAAAGAAATAAAATGATTACTTTATATCATTAACCTGCACATGTAGGCACATTCAATGAAGCTGCGATAACTGCAGCTTGGGATCCTGCAACCCCAGATGACTTTAAATTCTACGCCGTATACGCGGCTTCCAAGACTCAGGGGGAGAAGGCTGCCTGGAACTGGATCAAGGAAAACAAACCCAACTTCGTCTTTAACACGGTACTTCCAAGCTTTAATGTAGGATCCTGCAGCTCGCCCACACCACAAATGACTGGTATTAGGGGACTAACACTGTTCATTCAGACGGGAGAAATCCTTCACCCAGAGATTCACGGCTCCACAATGGGCTGGGTCCGTCTCCTCTTGAAAGGGGATAAGCTTCTCTTTTCACGTTTCCCCCCAGGTTCGTCAATCAACGTGGATCCCATAGAATCCTCCAAGTTCTCCTCATCACTAACTCGTTTTCCCGAGGAAAGAATATTCCGTTGATGTCAAAGACACGGCTCGACTCCATGTTATCGGCCTCCTCGGCCCCGATGTCAGATTTCGAAGGCTCTTCGCTTGGGCGCACTCTGTCAACATCACTGATCTCATAACTACGCTGAGGAGCTTAAGACCCGACAACAAGTTGATCCCTGATCCACCGGAAAATGACGGTCGAGACCTCACGGAAGTCGTTCCCGCTGCTGCAGCGCAACAGTTGTTGAAACAGTACTTCGGTCAGGATGGGTGGACTGACTTTTCAACGAGTGTAGCTGAGGGCATCGAGGACTTGGATTAGATCTGCCAAGCATGCGCAAGGCCGTCTATTCTAATTATTTGAGGTCAATAGTTTGGTCCTGTTCTTGTTCGAGGTCTTCGTTTTTCCTCTTTTTCTGAACACACATCATAACTCAGTCTCGTCTATTAAAATACAGGGTTAGGAAGTAGTGTGTCACAGAGGCGGTGGATGGATTCGAAGTCACGGTGTCAAGACGGAGATTATTATGCATTTATTATTACCCTTCGTATCTCATCCATGCTCCCACATCTAGTTTCAGTCTTCACTGTAGTCAGTTATCCCATTCCCTAACTTTGCAGACAGCCTTATCCCCGAAGTAGAGAGTCGAGTCGTTGACACAGAGAGCTTTTGTCGCGGCCCATAGAATTGCGTTGTCAACCCAACGTAGGCGCTCCTCCCCAATACCCGTTATCGCATCGAAAGTCACCACCAGATCTTTCCCCCAGTTGTTTAACAGCGTCCCCTCCCAGTGGGGTTCCGCCACATCGAAGTTAATATTCGGAAGTGCGGCTTTGACTTCGACCAGGAGCTTTCTAGCCCACCTGGCAGTCCCTATGTCTGAGTAGCTGAGCCCAGCTGGTGAGAATCTTATGATATAGCGGTGGTAACCAAAGACTCCAAAGTCCTGGTCATTGGGGGATCGAGCACGACTGCACGTAACTGTTACGCGGGGCTTGTAGTAGTGAGCGCCGGTGCAGGTGAAATCGTCCGAATATTTAGGCCAAGTGTTACTCGAGTCCATGGCGAATGCCAACTCGGGGCGGCCACTCTTAGCTCGCACTGTCTCGTTAGAGCTGGTTGATGTGTCGATGCTCTTGCCCTTTGTTGGCAGGCGCGAGGCCGATGCGAGATGAGCTTTGAGCAAGGAAATAGACGGATCATTAGCGAGAGACGCTGTGGGTGCACTTGGGACCTGGACGCCACGATCGCTATCCGTCGATTGGGAGACCAGTGCCAAGAGAGGTACCGCAAAGGCCAAAAGAACACGAGACGCGAGCATTCTAAATGCTTGGGCGGGAATCTAACGACAACTATAAGAGCAGTTAGACAAAGTTAAGAAGAGAAGGGGGAGAGGGCAGTAGGAAAAACGCGCCTACTGCGGGCTGTTGAATAATTCGCAGCTTTCGGTGCGTTTCGATCGACAGTAAAACTGAGCACCAGCCCCGTTTTCCGGGCTTCTTGTTTTTGTAAGGGTTGGGAAAAGTATTGGAAAAAGGATTTGAAACAGGAAAAAAAGAGGTGAGGGAGTCATGATGCTGTTGGGATTCAGGTTGTCAGCAAGGAACGACTTGTTCCTCGCACCTTCCTGTTCGAACAATCAAAATACCACAACGTTAAGATGCTGCCGAATGTCACTGCCATTCGCGCTCTATGTCTTTGGAGAATCTCGAGGGGAAATTTTCTAAAGTAGTATACTTGGTAATTTCTATTGTGATATTTGGCTGTATATTTTTCTTTGCAGGGGCTCGACTGACAAGATGCATGAGTAAAGCAGGATGCGGTTTGTATTTACGTTAATTCGACTAAACTGTCCACTTGCCCAGAGTTTGGGAAGATGTGAGACAGCCCAGGACTGCGAGTAGATTATCTCATGTCTTGAGTGTATTTCAGTTAAGCTCAATTGCGCCTGGGTGCCTTCTGTCTTACACCTGAAAAGACAATTGCATCTTGATCTTCTCGGGGCACTCCAGTTCTGGCCGTCCACAGCGAGCCCAGTCGTTACCTTGGCCCATAGACCGAAAGCAATGTTCATTGCTAAACCTGGTGACCCTGCTTTCCAACATGTGATCAGCAGGACGCGGAATCTGTCAATTAGACGTAGCCATGTCCCCGAATCTAGCCATCTTCTGGCCCTCGTGCTCACACGACACTTTCAGCCTTTTCTCAGGGAAGATTAGGCCTAGGTTCAGTTCATCTCAAATAGCACCAGGATCTGATTGAATCTTACCAGCTTCACTGGGGGACTAGTCGATGTAGTGGTATTGTGTGAGGTGCCTGATGTATGGGTAATTTATTAGACAGCTTGCCACATTCCCGCTGTTGCAAACTCCTTTCTCCGGCGGAGTCTGACCTAGTTTGGGCACGCATACACTTCCCAATACGGACGAACACGGTATTTCAATGATTGGCCTGGCCCGGCCCAGCTGTGCCACTTGACCACCTGACCTCCGACCTCCCTGGTACGATGCTGAATGAAGTATTTAAAAGTTCTCTATGATCCCCACTATTGATTTTCTTTTTTTTCTTCTTTTTTCCTTTTTTCTTTTTTAGATTGCTATCCCCGACATCGCCTCCCTCCCCAAGGCACCATGGCTACCACATCAGGGCCATCTTGCAGTCGCACTGCAAAATCGGAGGAGTTTATGAAGAATCTTATGGAGAGCGAATCCATGAAGCTGGCGCTCGATATACAGGTGAGAAAGAACTTACATCGAGTCATCTAGAAGATTGCTTCTCATGCTATTTGGACCCTAATAGGAGCGGTTTAAGTCACAACCTGAGGTCTTCACCCATTACAACCAAGTTTTTATAGATATTGTCAATGAAATAAATGGTGACCTAGCTAAGGCCCCCCCTAGGGAAGAGGTCATCACCCGCATTTTCACACATACACAAGATGCGTTAAAGGACTATCCGGATCTTTGGGAGAGGCAATTGTTAGTTATCAAACAGATGCAAGAAGCAGTCAGGGGAGAAAAACAACCCTAGTAAAAATGATGAAAGGGTACCGGAGGGGCTTTTTTCTGTTTCTTTAAATGTGATGCTGTGGTTGAACGAGTTCTACAGTTCATTCTCGGGTACTATTAAGCTTCCATGCCTAGAGCATTCGCTCTTTCAGCCACAGCTAAGGGAGATTTAAGTATAGCTGCAGGAGGCGCTCGTAGTCTGGTGTTCCCAGCCCTGTAGCCGGATCCCACCCTAGGGCCGCATTAAACCCGCGTCCAGTACCACCACATCTGGTGTTGGATCCCTGAACTACATCATTTAGAGCATGAGGAAACTTATAAAGGACAGGATTCAAGAACCCAACAGGTCTCTTTCCCCGCCGCAGGCACTCATCATTAATTTTGACAATAATAGACGCAAACACAGGCGCCGACGCCGATGTTCCAAAGACTGTGGAATTGCTCGTCGATGGCTGTGACGAAGTTTGCGCTGTGCGCAGCGGCGTCGGGGATGCGCCGTCCATGTGGATTGAACAAGGTTTTCACAGTCTGCAGATCCTGCGCGTGTAGGCTCAGGTACCTGTTACCTCTTGGTGGATTATGGTCTGCGACGTACGAATGATCAGCAGGTTGTTCAGGGACAGGATCGTTCGATGACACTGAACAAGGCAGTGTCGTACTAGGTGAACTTCTCTTCTATACATTCGTTTTAGATTTGCAAGCTGAGCTGCTAAAGCTCCAGTTTTCTTGCATTCAATTTCAAGCTAGCTACTTTTCCCTGTCGAGAAAAGTCCTAATATACATATATATATAGCAGATTACTACGACTGTCGTCTCATGATAATAACACTGGCTGGTGAAGTGGATGTCCGTATTTTATGTATGGGGCATAAGCGAGACTCGAATTGACTTACCGAAGACTCTTGAAATAAAAGCTAGATCTTTGACGTAGAGCCAAAGATTTCATCTTACATGGAAGCTTCTATATCAGCCCTTCGTGTGAAGGGCCCTTCGGCTACTCATCCATCTGTGAGTTGGCCGGGCGGCAAAACTGGCGGAATCTCGCACTCTGTGAATACATTTAGAGGCTTCGGCCATATAATTCTGGCGAGAAGAAGAATGTGAATATTAGAAAGCACGCGACTTCAATCTCAGGATGACCTAGCTGAGCTATGTTTCCTGGTCGTATCTCGCATGCGCGAAAAGCGAGAAGCAATGATCTGTCAAAGGCATCCTACCATCGTTATCCTGACCTGACTGGAATGGGGCTGATGTACAAGACGAAGAAATAATCTCGGACGAGCCAATCTCAACGTCACAAATGCGGAGGCGAAAATCGCCAGTCATCAGTGAGTCCTGGTAGATGCTAGGTACAGTCTACAAACTTCTCCGATTACTGTAAAACGCGCACTCCAGATGAGCAGCCACCTGCTTTAGTCTCGTCGTGACGAAAGCGGCACGCATGGGCTTCGAAACGCACGTATTTTCGCGGTACGACTTGCGTCATGTTTGAGAGCCCGGGGACACCGGCGACGGAGTATCTTCTATCTCGAGTTCTTGGCCCCAAAAGTAGGTTTAGAACTTCATCTCCGCAACTCTACTCTAGTCTTGACACTTCGAAGACAGGATGGCTGAGTCAAGATGGCCCAAAATCATTCAACCCCCTGCTCACCCTTGCTCACCATTACCCAGGCCAAGACGGGGGCTTTTCAGTTCCTCGGAGGGAGATGGAAATTCATGATGAGCATATTGGGGCAGATTCTACTCGGCATACAGAAATATCCGTGTCTATCTGGCGTCGGTCGATATCCTTTCAAAGTATGATGAATGGCACAAACAACCGAACGACAGGGAAAGAACAGAGCGTGGCCAAATCTTTAAGTTGCGCCTGGTTTACCTAAAGTGTCTTCGCAACTGCGGTGGTGGGTGGTATCTGCCGCAGACAGTTTGGCGTTGTACTTGTGAAAGGAGATCAAGAAAGCTGTGGTGACAGTTTTATTGCTCAAGGCACGAGACTTGATAAAACAACCTCGTTCTCGAAATAGTGAAGAGGGTGGAATAACAGCGATTGTTGGAGTGTCGGGGGTGGATGAAGAAGTAGGGTAGAAATAGGCCAGTGTCGAGGGAAGGGCTCACCATCGAAGAAATCTCGAGTCATAGAGTCGTCAGCCATGATCTTTGTACCGGGATATTGCATACCTCTTAATTTTAGCGATGGGCCCTCTCCCACCCTTACCCCAGGATCAGTTTTCGAAGGAACTATAATATCGATGTGAGCCAAGTTGCCACCGGTGGCACTGGAATCGGGATTAGGAGGCTTCGATATAGGCTCTCCGTATGGTCCAATGGTCGAGAAGCGTACATAGATGGCCCTTGCTCGTCGATGATTTGGCGCTCCCTTCCGGCAGATACATGGATGAAGTGCTATGATCTCTCGGCAATGTCCTCCGGACCATCATAGTAGTCTTCCTTATTGCATCGGAAACATGACTCTCTGCGTACTACGCCAACCGGCGAGCGCCATTTCGATACCTGTGCATCTAGGTCTCGGTATCCTCTAGAAGCATGTGCTGGGATGGGGACTCGAGCTTCCGGCTGATGGAGTCATCTTTCAGGTGTGAGAAAGCATCTGTAATATCCGTCTGTATCCGTCAGTCTCTTTATCAAACAAGTGGTACAGTCAAGCTTACTTCCATGGCAACCGAGTCCTCTCATGAATTGAGGCAGTCGGTGATGGCGAGAATGGTTCTATCGACTGAATGGGACCATGACCTCTCAACCACACGTCCCCCGACTGGAGGCGTAGCGATGGGACTGGAAAATGTGTCCTAGGTAACACCGCCCGACAAGAAATAGTTCTTGCAGTTCCTGCTGCCGGGTGTATCTGTATCGACTAGGGAGTTCGAGGCAACGGAGAGACAAAGTGAGGCATTGCCACAGTTATGGCAGGTTAATCGCAACGAGGCGCCGCCAAGAAGGTGTTGGACTGTACTTCATAGGTCCGCTCGCCACTCTTAGCATGAAGACTTGACTGCCTTGAGGGTGTGGATTCTCTTGGGATAGCCTGTGTGGACTTGAAGACGATGAAGATTCAAAACATGAGATCAAACATCGCACCCTCTGGTGGTCAACGACGGCCTTGTTCGAGCAAGCTTTGTGCACATGTGGTATTAGTCACAGAACTCGGACCGGTTGGCCAAGCAAATGTGCGCCCGTGTGTGGTCTTCAAAGGGACACGCGGCTCGGGAACTCCGTACGCACTGGGATCGGGTGACTGAGTTGGGGGTCGTTTGTGAAGAGGTCGTCCGAGTAGGCTTCCCCGGCACCACCGATATTGAGCATGCGTGCTCGCAGGAACGGCGAGTCACTGACGCATAAGCAGGATGGGGAAAGCGTACATGGAGAAGTGGACATCTAGCCCTTTGACTTCTTGGGTTAGAATGGAGCTCAACTCTTGAGACGATCACATTATCAGTGACTGAGAATGGCCAACAACCCACAACCGACAACATTGGGCATCTTGCTTCGTACCGGTGGGGCCCCAAAGGAGCGAGGTTCTAATCTACACCTTATTGATGCTTTGCAGCTTCAATGTTCCATCTGACCACGCCGCCGGAATTGACCGTCATTATACAGGGAGACGTTTCCGAGCCGGATCAAACGAGGAAAATTCCGCCCAGATAGCCGAGGCGCTAGTAATTAAGATTGACGTTCCATCGCAAATACGTTGGGAAATTACAAGCATTCAACTGAATAAACTATTCTCATTTGCTCATGGAACATGGACTGTGCAAGTCATATGACTAACCCCTTAGAAATGGAGACGTCGATGAGTTCAAAAATGGGGACAAAAAACATGGATTTTAAATTTAGATAGGGTTTGGTTTAGTTGGGTACCTCGGCAGTGGGCAATGATGTACGAAAAAAGAAACGTGGGCATCGCGTCGTGGCTGAAGGCGGGTCCGACCATGTGCTTCGTACAGGCAGATGCCCATCTCATGCAGTTCAAATTCTCTTGGGTGCCCAGACTCTTCTCCAACTCATCGATAAATGGTGCAATATAGCGGCATATACCCCTTTATCCGCCACATGGGTAGTCGCATCATGCCAGGCGATCCAGGTTTTCGTGCGACTCCCGCAGAAAGTCAGTGACTTCAGCCAGTATCGACAACACGGGTGCTGCTAGTGTCCCGAAGGATTCTTCGGATGGAACGACCAGGCAATGAAGTACGAAGTTTCTTTTCGGCATCAGTCATTAGCAGGATCTAGTGTGTTAGTCTTGGCATAAAACCTTGACAAGTAGGGAGAAGGATTCAACACGATCCGCAGCGCTTGCACATACTAATGCCTCGTGTCCACGCCGTACTTGATTTAGCTCACGAACCAAGCAAGCTAGTGAGTGGAATTAACTACACTAGTCTTTTAAGGAGCTAGTTTAAATCATGTTCTCAAGTCTCGCCCACCTGGAGAAAGGATCGACTCCTCGCGGGGGGGTTCAGGTGAGGGGATTATTGTTGGAGTTTCCCCCTTTTGGGGAAACGATGCACGCTTGTGGAGAGGAGGAGAACGCCATCCTGGGCTTGGCGAGGTCGTCACTGGAAATGGTACGTGATTTAAGATAGCGAAATGAAACTCCAATGATCATCTTACCCCAATAAAGGAACGTGCGCTACACTAAGAATGAATGGGGAAAGATCTACGAGGCCCTTTTTCAGGCCGGGGGGGGGGGGGGGGGGGGGGGGATCTAGTGGACAAAGGTAGACAAATGGTCCCATAAGCCTACCCCAGATCTTTCTCCGCACACGAAGGAGTCTGACGGACTCCGAGCTACGGGCGGGCGCAGTACGAAGTAAGTTTAGCATCTGAAAAACAGTAACATTGCTACTCCAAACCCCATTTCCCCCGCATATCCCCACCCTTGCCACGCACCATGTTTCGTGTCCAATGGGTCGACCAGGGAGATGGGGAAATGGGGTTCGACAGAATTCGGAATAGCTTGAACACGCCAAGGCGATAGCCGTTTTCGTTTGCCGGTCACCTGAAAAGCTGCGAGGCTTGGAAAAGCCGGACGCATCTACCGGCAGGGTGCAATTGGCTCATGCTTCCCACCCATGTGCTCCCTTCGGCCGTATCGGTTCTACGGACGGAATAAGCTTTGCAGCGCTAAGCGATCTAGAGACTCTACCGCATGAGTTAAACTGGCTCCCCAACAACTGTGCACATACACCAGCTGCGATAATGTCTGATGGTATGAGGGATGGAGGAGGGAATCCCCCATCCTGCCCATATCATATGAAGCTAATAACTGACTCTGCGCGTAGGTGTGTCGATGCAGCCTTGGTGATCCTTTGGGAGTATCATCCAGAGCACTATGGGACTTCAAGAGTATGAGTTGTGCCGAGGCAATACGACATTTCCTTGCCTTCAGGGGTCAAGGCGGGATTTTCCCCTCGAGTCCGAAGGTATCTCCCACCGGTAGGCGATGAAAGACCAGCCACGACGGGAAGAAGAGAGAGGAGGCGAAGAAGAGCAACCGGTCGCGCAGTGCCAAGTTCTGCTGCTTCGCGGCGGGCATCATTGCCACATGGCAACCATGAACCGCGAAGCAAGCTGCGGGAAGGGTTTCTCTAGAATTAGCTAGCGGTGAAAGAGTCTTATTCCCTAAAGCCCTCATTGGGCATGACGATCTATTAGCAAAATGCCTAAGAGGCGAGTCCTCCTGCGGGCCAAGAGGCGAAAGGAATGGCGACGTGCGGGGTAGACGACGTGTTCATCCTAGTTTCTCCATTCCTTCGTGATAAGTGCCCGCACCATGAGTTGGGGGGAGTCGGGACACTCCAACGACGCGAAAAAATGGCGGGCAGGATCTCTACTCCCTCCCCGATTCCTCGTCTCCCCGACTTTTCGACTCCTAGCCTGCGCGACTTTGTCACATCGCCTGGGATGTGCGATCACTGATCCGGGGGTGGTAACTGTACTAACCGAGACCGGTTTGTCTTCTCCATCTTTACCCGTATACTTCGTGATTGACCTCGGGGCACCCGCCTCTTTGGGCATAGACTCGAAATCAATTTCCACATTTCAAGCTCTCGCCGATGCGGAGACAATTGGGGATGCGGGGAAAGGTTGGAGAAAGTCAGGCGAGAAATGTGACCAAGGGATGAGGAGGGTCGGGGAGTGGGACAGGTGCGGGACATTCAATCGTCGTAAATTACCACCAAGGTTGCAGTTGACAGACTCACAGACCTGGAAATGGAAGTCAGGATCTTTTTTTCTTTGCATTGGCGCGCCCGACTTACGACGAACGAAGCCATAGGGGTGCATGACTGGCGTCCTTGGCGCAAATGTCTGATTGGCAAAGGCAAATTTTTTCCTCTTGGCAGTTGAACTAGCGTAGTTGCCCCTTCATAGTGTTCGTTTCATTAATCCATGTCCCCGATCCGATCACCATTGAGAGCTCGAAAGCCTAGAACACAGATCACATCGTATGTTGTACCTCTCTTGGCAGAGGCGCGTTGTCCTGCTAAGAGCAGGGGTGGCTGTACATGGGCATGGTGTCCCCGCGCCGGGGTGGCAACTTACTCGTTGCTTGTTCGAGACCGACCCCAACAAGATATTCCTATAGCGTTAAATGACATGTTTTGAGTGAGATTTGATCAATGTGGCACTCACTTCCCCCGCCCGCAACCCGGCCCTAGGTAATGGTAGTGTCTTTCCCCAGCTTGGGGAGAACGGGGGTATCCGCCCCCGGGACAGCGGGCTTGATTTGGACCTCTCCGCCTTTTGATGTTCTCCGCTGATCCTTTTCCCCATCTCTCCCCATCTCAGCCGCAAATATCAGGACATGGGTGTCTCTTCTGTCCTTTTATAAGAAGGCTCTCTCGCCGCGTTACATCTCGATCCCTTCTCTCATTGTCTTCCCAAGAGAACAGAAGTAGACAGCAAGCTCAGACACGAAGTCTTGGTCTCTGCATCTTTATAAACCATTTCCCAACGACATTTTGGGAATTTCGAACGCTTTACACCCAAAGCCCTTACATTCTCTCAGTTCTATTTCTCCACATCAGCAATGGCGCCAAGTGAGAGCGCCTCCGAGAAGAAGGCCATCCCCCCGCAGCAATGGGACTCCACCTCGGCCGTGGCCGAGATCGAGGCCACTGCGGGCTCCGGCGAGATCGTTGTCGACAAGGAGAAGGCGAGGAAGGTCATGAGGAAGCTCGACATCCGAATCATCCCCACAATCATGTGGGTTTACCTGATGAACATGATGGATCGAGGTATGATATCCGGCTCTATCTACAAGGTGCGAGTCATTCAAGCTGACGTTTTTGTGTGTTAGTCAACATTGGTAACGCCCGCTTGTTCGGTATGGAGGAGGACCTGGGCCTCAAGGGTCAGCAATTCCAGTTGGCCGTCTCAGTACTCTTCGTCACATATTGTGTAAGTCGACTTTGGCTTCATCCTCCAGGTTAAATCCAATACTGACGATTCATACTCGAAGCTGTTCGAAGCACCGTCGAACTTGATTATCAAGAAGCTTCAGCCCGCCCGTTACCTCGCTGGATTGACCATCGGCTGGGGCCTTATCGCGACTTTTAGCGCTTTCGTCCAAAACTTCGCCGGTCTCCTCGTCTGCCGTCTCCTCCTCGGACTTTTCGAAGCTGGATTTTTCCCCGGTGTTGTCCTATACCTTTCCATGTTCTACGGCCGTAACAGCTTGGCTCTCCGCATCGCCTACTTCTTCGGCACAGCTGCTGCCTCCGGTGTCATTGGTGGCCTCATTGCTTATGGTATCAGCTTCATGGATGGCGACGGTGGCTGGCGCGCCTGGCGTTGGATTATCGTCATTGAGGGTGTCCCCACCGTCCTCACTGGAATCCTTATCCCATTTGTGATTCCTAATGATGCTGAGTCGGCGAAGTTCCTCACTGATGACGACAGGCAGACCCTACGAGACATGCATGAGTCTGAGCTCGGAAAGGCACACAACCTCCGAAACCTCGTTTGGTCTGATGTTATGGATGGTGTCAAGGACTGGACCACATGGGCGTTCTGCTTTGCCATCTGGCCTTGCTTGATTATGCTCTACTCCTTCGTTGTCTTCCTCCCTACTATTATCAAGGCTCTCGGAACCTGGAATTCTGCTGAGGTCCAGGCCTTGACTGTCCCTGTCTACGCTGTTGGAGCTATTCTTTATCTGATCGCTGCCTACATCAGCGATAAGACTCAACGTCGCGGTTACTTCATCTTGGCAGCCATCGTCTTTGCCGTTGCTGGTTACGGTATGCTTCTCGCCAACAAGAGTTCCGCCCTCTCATACGCTGGAACATTTTTCGTATCTATCGGCATCTTTACCTCAACTGGCATCTCGGTTGCCTGGGTCACTGCAAACAACCCAAGGTATGGCAAGCGTGCCTTCGCGGGAGGCATGCAGCTTACTGTTGGTAACTCTGCTGGTGTTGCTTCGCCCTTCCTCTTCTCCAGCAAGTTTGCGCCTACGTACGTCACTAGCTATGCTGTGTGCATGGGCATGCTCGGCGTTTCATTGATCTTGGTCACGGCACTCCACGTCCACTTCAGGCGACAGAACAAACTTCGCGATGAGGGCAAGCAGGACTACCTCATGGAGGGTAAGACTGATATCGAGATTGACGCCATGGGTGAACTGAGCCCCAGGTACCGCTTTTCCACTTAAATTAAGGGAGAGGTTTCGCTTCTATGGTATACACGACTGTATACACCATACACTACTAGCCCGACGTGGCATTATTTCTTTATTTATTGTACTTGCATCGAGAGAATAGAAACGGATTTATATTTAACTTGGCTATTTGGGTTGGGGGCCATGGTGGATTAGCGTACATATCACGGTTAGGTATATATCGGATCAACGAGCGTTTCTTTTTCTTCTTCACATTGGTAATTCAAATCTTGCGTGCCTCCGTTTCGGTGAGCATTGGTGGGGCGCCTTGGGCCACCTGAGAAGTTGCTCAGCTCTTAGAACTTTCAATTTGCAGGCTTAGCATATTGCCACCCTGTGATGTTGTTGCTCCCGGTGGCAGTTCTGTTCTCGTAAAGAAATGGCTCCTAGTGGCTGCGCCGTATGGAGTACTAACGGTTGAGGCCGGATCACTTTTGCAACCCGGGCCTGGTTTTGAACATTTCGTCATGGGCGTCCTCTATTATGCCTGACAATCAATGTTTGTGTCGAGATATACTGAGGTATCAGTTGTCCGATTGCACATAATACAGTCCAGATTAAAATCACGTCTGTTCTATGAGCAAGTGCTGCTCCTGCTTCGATGGAGCAAGATGCAATAGCATTTGCCTTAAAACCTGCTAAACAATAAATTGCCGTCGTCATCGGATGCTAATATAGGTCGAACTGGGTTGTTTTCCTCAGCCTCCACCGTAAATTCACTACCTCATCCTGCTCCGCAGTCTCTTGGGGAAAGTGCCACCAGCTCTACTCCGCAGAGATCATCAAGCCTTCCAGGCATTGTGCCACCGATTCGTAAACGTCGACGCGTGTGGTATGCCTGGAATTCCAAAGTATCTGAGGCGAGTCTACGAAGCCGCTGCAGGCGGGCTAAACAGATAGCGAGTTCCCTTTGCCATCTGCGGTGTCGTGAAAAATTGTCTTGGAGTATCTGCGTCAGAAGAGCACAGTTTTGCCACTTTTTCAGCAATGCAGCTGAGGCCAACCATCTTGCCACACACCTTCCAGGCGAGACCGCGGAACAACATGACTCGCGTAGATTCAATGTTGGTTGCTCAATGCGATGGGGGACCATCTATTCCCAATATCCAGAGGAAGTGCGTGATACAGGCGATGATGGCACTCATACGGGGATCATGACGGACCAATAGTAATGGCCACCAGGTGAAGTTCGATTAATGGGGTTAATGCTACGAAGTACATCGGCGTCTCCGAACCCACACAATCTGGTGGCGTTTGCTAGGATTCACGGACGTACCGAACTGAATGAAGTGCGAATCCATTTCACTAGGTCTTTTCTTCGACTTCTCTGCACGCTCTAACCCTTCGTAACTGCATTTGGACGCAAGCCACTCGTGTGTTTCACGTCTGGTGCAGGCGAGGATAACCCACGTAAACCGTGCTGCCGACGAAGCACAGGCATGCAAGGCAGACAAACAAGATGCCCTGGTGATAAGTGCAGGCTGTTTCAAAATGGGTTCCCCGCTACCCCGCACGAGGACGATTTCAGCCCATCGCACCAACATGATACAATTATTTTGGGGGGTAGGTGACCGGGGTAATAATCCTACCCCAATTTCTCCCAGTTGGTCACTTTGTACCTGTGTACTTCGTACCCCAGTCAGATTCTCCGCTTTCAGCTCCCATGTTGGGTTGCTTCGTTTGGTCAACGGGCATAATATGGTTCAGGCCAGTCTGTGCTCTATCCGAACCTCTCCAAACTGTTGTGTACTATGGAAATGTCAAACAAAGTGTTGGTGGCCTTGATACCTTGCAGGGATGGTCAAATATCAATGATCCAGCATAATCCTTAATAACTTTCCCCCACATCCGCCCACATAGATCTCCGATAAACGCCAAGCCTTCTCCAACTTTCCTCCTTCGTATACGAAGTACAATCAAAATAAGTCAACAAAAAAAAAAGGGGGTTACATATACAGCGTCCTGTTCGAATATCAGCATCAAATTAGAGGCTAGAAATGGCATGTGTGAAAACCGTGATTGTTCCAGAACTGAAATTTCCTCCATTTCCAGCCCCTAATTACCTTCCTTAAATAGCCACCGATTTCCACTTAGTTTCCGCCTGAAATATTAGGTTCTATTTTTACATATAGGCCAACACACCCCCTTAGCTATCATAACAAGTTATGATAGCTACAACTTCTAATTCCCACTTAATAATATTTTAATTATTTCATAAAACAGCCCATTCTTCCAGCCTCTTTTTTTTTTAAGTACTAGAGGGAGGTATATAATAATAAGCCCTATATACTATAGTTTTCTATATAAATAAGGGTTCCTAGGACTATTCTTCTCTAAATATCTTAATATCCTAAAAATAAGGAAGTCTTTAATTTATCTTATTTTAAATATCTATAGATCCTAATATATTAAGATTTCTATAAAAATTAATTATTTTAAGTTTTTATAAATATTTCTAGCTAATTAAGTAATATCTAATATCTTAATTTAATAGATAAAAGCTTAAAACTTCTATAAAAGTAGAACTTTAATAAAACTATTAATAACTATTTCCTTTAAGCTTATATAGTCTATATCTACTTTCTTATTTTTCTATTCCTACTTTAACTAGTAGTTATAGATATCTATATATTATAGCTTTATCTATAAGTTTACTTCTAAGTTTATAATAAGCTTAATAATTTAGGTATTATTATATTTTAAAAGAATTTAGTAATTATTAAGTATAATAGATAGTTCCTTTAAGATTTATTAAGTAAAAATAGCTTTCTTAGCTACTTAGGAGAGGGCTAGAAGTTCTACTTCTATAATTAAAGTAATTATAATATCCTATTTTATAGTTTTCTAATTAATAAGCCCTCTAAATAAAACTATAATATATACTTAAAAACTTTTCTAATTAAAGCTATTATTAGTAAAGGAAATATTACTATAAGTAATAAAGTAATTTCTATTTCCTAAAATTAAAGCTAATAATTTTATATTCTTAAGATATTAAAGTATTTAATTTACTATTTTATAATATACTAGACTAGGATTCTTTATAAACCTAGTAGCTCTTAATATTATAAATATTATATCTAGCTTTATAGTTATAGCTATATATAAGATAAAGCTTATCTTCTTCTAATATTAGTTAATTAAAATAAAAGTTATTATTTTATTTTAAGAAAATAATTTCTTAGTTCTTATAGGAATTTTATAGATAAAAGTTATTTTTATTAGCTTACTAATCTTTTTATAATATAATTTCTAATTTAGATAAATTCTCTTTTTCTTTTTATTATAAATAATTTTAATTTTAAAAAATTATTAAAGATCTTCTTCTTTTATAAGCTTATAATATCCTTATAACTATTTTATTAGCTTATAAGCCTCCTCTTTATCTTCTTTCCTATATATAAAACTAATATTATCTATATAGAAAAAGATAATTACTTCTTTTCTAATTAAATAATATAGCTTATAAATTATAAATTTAAAACCTATTAATATCAAAATACTTTTCAACTCTTTATACTATAATAATAATAATTATTTTAAACTATAAAGTACCTTCTTAAGCTAATAGACCTTTCTAGATCTCTTAGAGCTAGGTAATAATCTTATATATACTATTTTATTTAATATTATATTTATAAAAGTATTAATTATATTAAATTATATTAGTTTAAGATTAAATTAAGTAATAATAGTTATAATAATTTAAAATAACCTTACTATAAATATAGTAATATAGATATTATCCTTATATTTTATCTACTAGTCTCCTCTAATAATTAAATAAGCTTTAAATTTCTAAAGTTAATAATATTTATTAAATTTATATATATATATTTATATATAATCTAATATCTAATAGTTCTTAATATTTCTAATATCTTCTTTCTATTAAGATTTTATTTTTCTATAGTTCTATAAATATACTTTCTTAGCTTCCTTAAACTAAAAACTAAAAAGATAATATATAAGTTTATAATAATATTTTAGAAATTTAAATAGTTAGCTCCTATATAAAACTTTAAGGTTTTTATTATTCTAAGCTAATTACTATACTTAAGCTTAATTAATAACTTTATTTTCTAGAAGCTTCCTATTTTTAGCTAGCTTTCTAATAGTAAAAATAGCCTTTTATAACTAAAATAAGGTTACCTTAATAATTAAAAGCTTTAAAAATTATTTTAAAATTATAATAAAAAGAAAAGATAATTTTTATAAGAAAAAATCTAGAAAAATTAAAAAAAATATTTAATATTAGATTTCTTATTTTAATTTCTTTTTAAAATTAATTTCCTTTTTCTTAGCTATTCCCTCTTTATTTTCTTAATCTTCTTCTTTAAATATTAAATTAAGCTTATATTTAAGCTTATATAATATATTAATATTAAAGATTTCTTTATTTTCTTTTTCTTTTAAGATCTAATATTAATTAAAGAAAATATTATAATTAAATAGTAATATTAATTTTTATTTTTTAATAGCTTTTTTTCTTAGATAAAGCTTATTTTTATTAAAAATAATATCTTTAATATTAATAATCTTATTAGTAATTAGATTTTATATTTAGTAGATGTTAAAAAAGCTATATTTTATAAGATAACTAACCTATATTTTTAAATTTAGATATTTTAGTCTATTTTATTTCTATATTACTTCTATAATTAAAGTAAAAGCTTTATATTTATAAGTTTTTAAATATAATTAATTAAGTAGTTTTAATAAAGTTAGGAAGCTTTTTTTCTTTACTATAATAATTTAAAATACTTTAATTAAAGACTTCTATTTTTTAGCTTATTTAAAAATTTTATTAAGTAAATAGATACTAGCTTTTAAAATTTCTAGCTATAATATATTAAGAAGTTTAATATAGATTATATTACCTTTTTTATTCCTAATCTAAACTATTTATATTATAGTTCTAATCTTCTTTTTTACTATACCCTCTAAGCACTTTATTAAACTATTTTATTTTTAAATATATAAAGTAGAGAATT